CGGCCGACTGGCTGAAGGAGATCGAGGCCATCAAGGAGCACATCATCACCGATGAGCCCAAGCAGATCTACAATTTGGCCGGCGACATTGCCAAGATCATTGCGCTGCGCATCTCCAGCTTCCAGTACCTGCAGTTCTGGTGAGGAATCCCTTCTTTCTCTCTCTCTCTCTCTCTCTCTCTCTCTCTACACTGAGCAAAAAATTTAATAGCGAAATCATACATCTGACTATTAAACTCTAAACGATTTATATAATATTTAAAGTAAATATTAAGTCATAATATCAAATACAAGGAATATTAAATACTTGATTTAATATTAAAATATTTGATTTAAAATAAATGTAGCTTAAATTTAAATTACTATTTTAGATTTATAAATTAATATCTCACTATTGAATTCAACACTTTATTTATAATATATAAATTAAATACTTAATCATGTTGATTACAATGCATATTAATTGAATGCTTGACTTAATGTTGAAACATTTTAATTAATGTGCAAAATGTATCATTACTTGCTTAAATTAGACTATAGAATTATTATTGATATTGATGTACTTGTAGTTATCATTGTCAAATCCAATTGCCGCTCTAATATTCATCATGTTTCCTCTAATGTTTTCCAAAGCAAAACCCTGCTGCAATCCTTGCGCGATCCCGAGCAGAGTTCCACCATCGGGGCCAGCGTGGTGCTGAAGTTCTTCATCCAGCAGAAGGGCTCGGAGCTGTTCCATGCCATTCCCGACCTGGTCAAGGACAGCCTGGTGGCGCTGCAGGTGTGCGAGGTGCCCAGGGCCAAGTCCGGAGTGCTCAAGGCCCTGGTGGCCCTCACCAAGCACCATCCCAAGCTGGTCTGCGCCGAGATGCTGGCCCAGCCGCTGCCCTACGACGCCAACCTGGTCGAGTACTGGCACCTGGTCTGCAACGATCCGGAGCTGACTGGCCTCACGCTGGACAACTTCCTGCAGTTGCTCAGCGGCGCCGCTCTGCAGGATGGGCTGCCAGACTCCTTCACCTCCCCCTCCCCATCCCCAGAGCGACAGCGACTGGCCAGCGCCCAGCCGTTTGCCATCTTCTGCGCCCTGCACGAGATGCTGCCCTGCAAGGACATCAAGGGGGTGAGTTGAAGCCGGAGGGGATTACCCATGATTGCTACAGCCACAGAAAAATCATGGTAAATCCAGAATCCATGGTATACTAAACTAAATATCAAAATCAAATCAAAAAATCTATTTAAAAAAATATATATTTTTATAATTTTAAAAATAGATCATATATTAAAAACTATTTTATCCCAATACACGGAGGATTTATTCTCTTTATATTATAAAAAGAATTTCAAGAAATTAAAATAATAGTAGCTTTTGAACTTATTTTTTTGATTTATTGATTTTTCTAAAAAAAAAAAATTGGTAATATAAATGTTTATTATATTATTATTATATTTTAAAAACTTGATCAGATATTAAGTATTTTTTTTACCAGAAAATTCATAATTATTTTCTTAAACATCTTTTAATAATATAATTTACTACATTATAAATAAAAAAAAGTAAATTTTAAGAAATCAACAGGAATTATTAACAGTTTTAATTTTCCTTAAAAAACTAGGACAATATAATGGGTTTATTTTAGATCAGTTTGGTAAATTAAATGCTTACCTTTGAGCACTTAAAATTGTTCCACCAATGTTATTTTGATTGATTATGCTAATTATGCTTTTTATGTATTTCCCAATAGCAACTGGAGTCACGGTTTGCGGACATGTTCTGCATGCTGTTGACCTCGCTGAGCAGCTACACCAACCTGGCCGCCCCGAATCCTGTGCATCCTGCCTCGCTGACGCCCAGTCAGACGCAGTCGGGCAAAACCAAGTTCGGATTCGTGCCCAACAAGGAGCTGATCAAGCTCAATCCCTGCCAAATAGCACTGGAAACGTTTCAGGTGGGTGCTTCTACATGACTAAATTCGTTTTGGGGCTATAGTATCTAGTATGGCTCACATTTTACAACATAGGTTCTACAAAATCATGTCAGAAAACAAAGGGAACTGTTATATATACATAAGTGATACTTTCCAAAACTTTTCACATTTATTTTTTATGTGCTCAAAATGTTTCTTAATTTTTCTCATGTGCTTACACTCTTTAGTTTTATTTATTTTAATTAATTTCCCAGCGAAGCAAGTTTACACATATAAATATTTAAATAAGATTTTTACAATTATTTTAGAACAAATATCTATGTGACAGAAGCAAAGATATAGCGATGCATACATTTTTATTTAGTTTATTTATGACTTTAATTTTCATGGGATAAGAAATAAATACAAAATAGACATAACATATATTGATTGTTTTTCCCCAATTACATATGTACATATACCTTGCTAAATTTGTTTCCTTCTGTAGTTGAGTTGAGTTGACCTGGCATAAATCGAAGTTTATTTTTACTCCTTTGTTTTTTTGTTTGCCAGGCCTTTCTGACCAATCTGGAGATGGAGCAGATCGCCAGCGTGCTGAGCGTGAACGGTCAACTGGCGAGCAGCGCGGACTGGCACAACTACATCGAACTGCTGACCCCGATGGCCATTGGATTGGGTCAGCAGCTGCAGCTGCACGCGGGCAGTGGGCAGATGAGGCAGCTGGTCCACTCGCTGAGCAAATACGTGGCCTCGCCGCACGATGGCCAGAGGGTGGCCGCCGTGGGCCTCTTCTCGCGCCTGGTGCCGCTGAAGCCCACGGGAGAGTTGGCTGCCTCCGTGCTGCTCCACCTGGGGGCAGCTCTGTCCGATCCCAATGCGGTGGTGCGCGGACTGAGCATCCAGGGCATGGGCTATGTGGGCCAGCTGAGCGAGAAGGAGGCGAAGCGCTACGCGGAGACGGCCATTGGAGCGCTGCTCAAGGGCGTGGACGATCCCGTCGGCGACTGCCTGATCAACATCCCGCTGGAGAGCATGCGCGGCCTGTCCGGCATACTGAGGGCGCTGCCCAGCCAGCGGGTGGAGTCCTTCCACGTCTCCCTGGCCATCCGCATCCGGCCATTCCTGGGCAGCTATTCGCTGGAGATGCGCGAGGCGGCCATCCAGTTGTTCGGCGACATTTGCGAGGGCAAGAGGCAGCAGCAGCAGCAGCAGCAGCAGCATGGGGATGATGGGGACGATGGCGGCAGCAGCTCACCCACCTCCGCCTCCTCCTCCTCCTCGATGGAGGCTCTGCGGGAGCAGCTGGTGGCCAACCTCTTCCCGCTGCTCCTCCATCTCAGCGAGAGCGAGGCGGCCATCGTCGCCGCCTGCCGGGGCACCCTGCAGCGGGTGTGCCGCCTCCTCCCCGCCCCCAAGGTCGTCGAGATGGCCCAGCTGCAGTTGGGCGAGGAGCGCGGCCACCAGCTCAACTACAGCTCCTTTGTGCTGGAGTTCGTCAAGTTGATTGTGAGTCTACAGCGGGGATTGTCAATAATATATATATATATTTTATTTTATTATTTATCACTACATTTTATAGTGAAATCAGCTAAGTTATCTCTATAGCGAGGATTGTAAATATTAGTATTTTTGTATTTTATTTTTTTTTTTATTTATTTACAATCTGTTCTCCATAGAGACTATCAATAAAATTTATAGTGAAATCAGCTAAGCTAACTCTATAGCGGGAACTGCAAATAATAGGTTTTTTTGTATATATATATATTGTGTCCTAATTTAATATGGGCATTTCCGCGAAAAAAATAAATTATAGAAACACTCAAATGTTAATAAACGATTACATCCGAGTCCGTTTCCTACTGTTCCACTAAGATAAACGACTTCTAAAGCAGCACTAGATACAAGTTTTTGTACCAATGGTAGAGATGATTAGAGGAGCTATCCTAAACAAAAAACAAACCAAAAATAGAACCTACTCTTTTACGTTTTTTAAATGTTAAAGTTGTCCGTTATTGTTTTTGGAAGCCATTGATAGTTAAGGCAGTTTGACTGCTGAACATAAAACCAGTTTAATTGTTTGCTTATATAGGTATATAACTATTTGTTGCATTTTTCAGGCCATGGAGCTGACGGAGCACATCCAGGACTTCATTGACTCCTGTCTGCCGCAGCTGCGTAGTCAGTGGCCGGAGGTGCGTGGCAGTGCGGCCATCGTGATTGGTGGGTTAGCAAGAATATTACCTGGAATTCCAATAACAATTTCCACTTTCAGGCATCCTGCACAACTTCCTTAGCGAGCGAAACGTGCAGACGGAGACGGTGGCCAGCAAGATCGCCGTGCTGCTGAAGGACGAACAGGCGCTGGTGCGGATGAGGGCGGCCACCGCCTTAGGCTACTTCTTTGGCGACATCTAAATCGATGACAGCTGGCAGCAGCATCGATGCTTAGGACGGGACCAAAATGGGCTACCAATTCGATTCGATTAGTGTTAAATATATGTGTGGTTATATTGTGTGTGTTTTTGTAAATTACGACTTAGTATTGCTCCAAGTGTGATCCCGTGTTGCCTCAGCAATCGTTTCCCTCATATTATGTTTGATATTTAACTCCTTGTTTTGTTATGTAATCAAAGGTCACGTTATATACTATTCTATATATATATATATATTACATATTAATATTCAAGTTTGTGCAAAGCGTTTGGCAGCTTTAAATCAGCTGTGAGTGATAAGAAATCGTATTCTATAGAAGAGTTAGTTACGGACAATAATCACGTCAGCTTTTGTGATTTTAAGTTATTTTGTCAAAATTCCTTGTTAAACTTAATCAAATAATTTAATTGCTGGACCAATTTTAAGGGAATATTTAATTAAAATATTAAGGATTGTGTTCGGAAATGAGGCAACTAGCTTAAAGGTGTTAAACGCTTTGTACATTTCAATCGAATAGGGAAAATGAAAGAGATGTGTTAAGATAGATCCGAATACTTGACACAATTTGTTTGATAGCAAAAGTCAATTGAGATGTTTCACACCTTTTGGATTTAAGGCAATTCCAAAACAAGGCTTTCCCTCCTGTTTATCTGTGTATTAACGCTTACAAAAACCAAATCAAATAAAATATTACAAAGTAAGGATCAGTCGAAGGCATAGTATTGGATGCGCCCGGACGACCAGGCGATGGTCAGCACGGACCGATCGTTATCCCTGTAGAGGGGCTGGAAGCAAACGAAGCTGGGATGCTCGGCCGCCGTCTCCCCACTCAGATAATAGGCCGCCGAGATCTGCAGGTCGAACTTCTGGACGAAGGTGCGGAAGACGGCGATGCAGTTGGTCGACTTGAACGTGACCACCAGGTAGTTGCCGTGCGGATCCCAGGCCAACTGCTGGGCGGGACCACCAATCAGCGTGCGGTTCGCATCGATGCTGCAGGCATTCAGGTCGGCGATGGGCAGGATCTCCTTCTCATCCGCCGAAGCTGCGGGGATAAGGTAATTTTATATATTTAAGCAAACAAAATGGGTATTGTTTATAAAATACAAAGTTGTGCGATTTAAAACGATCTTGAGCAAGGAAAATGACTAAATATGTAGGCATTTTGGGCGAAATGGCCTCTCGTGATTTATAAGTCAGCTTTAATACTGATAAACTAGTGAATACGATTGTAGTCAGCATTATACAGGCGGTCTGGAAGCTTTGGCAGCCGCCAACCTGCGTCTGACAGCTTCAATCTGGGGCAGTCTCTATCCGCAGCCCTGTGTCTCTGGCCGCAACACAAGGAAAGCGACACAACTGGGCTCGGACTGCCCTGGACTACATTACATTACTCAATTGTAAAAGTTGAAGTACTCACAGGAGAGCAGACTCTGCTGCACGAACTGCAGGCGATAGAGGATCGGCTCGGCGCTGCTGACGAAGAGCAGGAAGCGACCGCAGGGCGACCAGCAGGCCGCCTGCACATAACCGCCGGGGCCGCACACCCACCGCTCGGCGGTCCACTGCCGTTGGCAGTTCCACACGCGGAACACCCGGTCCACGGTGGCCGCGAACAGCCAGTCGTTGTCCGGTGACCACTTGAGCAGCGAGCCGGGCGGACCCAGGCGCTTCAGCGGCTGCATCGTGCCGTTGTCCGGCTGCCAGATGATGATGGCGCGATCGCCAATGGAGGCGGTGGCCAGCTGGGTGCCGTCCTTGTTCCACTGCAGCGAGGTCACTGGCAGATTGGCGGGACTAAAATAGCAGGCGACTGTTTACACACACATCATTAGCACACTAACCAATGGTTTTACATACTGCTGGAATGCCTTGCTGGGCGCATTGGTGCGTCCCATGTGCAGGCTGCTGTCCACTTCCCAGAAGCACAGGCCCTGCCGACACCCAATCACGATCTCCGCGGCGCAGAGCGGTCGCCAGGCCATGCAAGTGATCTGCGTTTGACTGGCGCTCTAAAACGAATCGGTTTTTATATAAGCATACATTGTTCATTTAAATTAGACCGTTTTGGATGGAAGTTGAATCCTACAGTGAACCTACCTTTAAGACAGTGGCGGAGGCGGCGTTTGAGTTCTTGCAGTAGATGCGCACCACATCGTCCACGCCGGCAACGGCCAGGTTGAAGAAGTGCCAGTTCCAGGCGAGGAATCGCACATCGCTGTTCAGCCAATCCCTGAAATGCGAATGCAGAAGGACGGGGGTTGTTCATCAGTGTGTAATTGTATTAGTTGAGTGGAGGGTATCCACTAGTCGACTGGCAACCACACCCACCTGGTCTCCACGAACTGCGCTATCCGCTCCGCACTGAGCTGCTGGGTGTGCGGAAATATCCTCAGCTTCAATCCGGTGGCCAGGCCGAGGAGCCGGGCAATCAGATCGCCCGCCTGGGCCACCAGTGGCGCCTGCTCCCGGGTCTTGGCGCTCCGCGCCTCAGCCAGCGACTCCCAGAAGCCCCCGTCGAAGAAAGTGCGCGTGATCCGCTTGAGGACGCCCTCGTCCACCGGCACAAAGCTCTGGCCGCCGTAGAACCGCTGGCCCGCGGGATTGGCCTGCAGTTCGCCTGTCAGGTTTATCCGCGGATAGCGCTCCAGCTCCGGAATGTGATTGTGCCGCAGGGCCAAGTCCGGCTGCGTGGATAACGGCGGACACTGCTTCAGATTGCTGAGGGCCGCCATTATTCCGCAATCCGTTTTATATTACTCACATTAAATAAATGAACAACAAGAATTCTAACACAAAAAATGCGGCAAGCAAAAAGCGCGGTGATAAATACCAGTGTTGCCAGATAAAAAATCTGTTTTCCCGGTAACACTGGCAACACTGATAAATATCGCTAGCTGTCGATAACTCTATATCGGTTAACCCCGATGGCTTGCCTTGACTATCGATTATTGCTTATGGTAAATAACTTAGTTTAAAATTTAAACAGCAAATTCATGGAGCTATTATGATACAAATTTTCAATAATTTTTTTAAATTTAATTAAATTTAAGCATTTTTTTTTTGATTACTTCCAAATCTTACAAAATAATTATAAAATTATTTTATATTATGGAATTTTTTTTTATATAAAACACATATGTACCAAATTCTTTATCAACAAAGTAATAATAATACAATTGTAAAGTGTTTTCAATTAGAGTTCATTAATATACTTCTTTATTCATATTATACATATGTTTTAATTAATTCAATAAAGATTTGTTTTTCTACGTATCGATGGGTCTCACGCACATTTAGGCGACTAATCGATGTTCTCCTAAAGTGTCATCATTATGTTGTGCTTAAGTGCCATCACCATTTTGAAATAGTTTATTTTTTTTTGGGACCTGGTAAATTCATAGACTTGAATTCTTGAAGAAGTTGGTGCGGCATGGCGGACAAACGGAAATACAAGAAGACGGTAAGCTGGCGAAGATTACCATGGCACAATTAATACTATTATTCGATTGTGTGTCCGTAGAAAGAGGAAATCCGGCGCGAGATTGCGAGGGAGTTCGATCTCCCTGAGCGCAAGTCCAAAATAGCCACCATACTGAAGCAGGAGGATCAGGCCTACTGCATCTGCCGCTCCTCCGACTCCGACAGGTTTATGATGTGAGTTCCACAGGACAGTCAGTACAAATATGATCCTCAACTAACATTGATTCCGCCAGCGGTTGCGATGGCTGTGAGGAGTGGTACCACGGCGACTGCATCGGGATCACCGAGAAGGAGGCCAAGCACATCAAGCAGTACTACTGCCGGCGCTGCAAGAAGGAGAATCCGGAGCTGCAGACCATATTCCGCCTGGTGGCCACCGAACGGACGGCCGCCTCGAACGCCGCCTCCACCAGTTTGAGTGCCACACAGGGCTTGGGTTTGGCTCCAAGTGGCGGAGCACCTGGCGGAAGTGGAGCACCTGGCGCGGCACCCGGACCCGCCCAACTGCCATCGCTGAAGCGGAAGAACAGCAATGCTAGGGAGCCAAAGGCGGGCAAGCGGTGCGGCACCTGCGAGGGATGCCGGCGTCCCAATTGCAACCAGTGCGATGCCTGTCGCGTCCGCGTGGGCCACAAGCCGCGCTGCATATTCCGCACGTGCGTGGCCCAGGCCCAGGCGACGACCAGTGGCAAGGAGTCGGCGCCACAGGGTCAGGGCCGCAAGCGGGAGAAGGCCGCGCCCAAGGACCGCAAGCCGAAGGCGGGCCTGCGGGCGGCCAGCCCCGAGGTGTACCTCAATCCGGAGCTGGAGGGCACGCGACAGTGCCACGGTCCGAAGTGCTGCTGCCAGGCGAGGCCGCAGAGCAAGTACTGCAGCGACAAGTGCGGATTCAATCTGGCCACCAACCGCATCTTCCAGGTATGCATATATAAGCTAAGCTAGTGCCAAGCTTTGCACTTAGTTCGTTAGTTCGTGTCAAAACAAAGGGGCATTTTTGACAAAACGCTTAAAATCTAGTATGACATTTAAAGTACATTGTGTTAAATTTTAATAAAGAAATATTAAATAGTATGGCAATGACAGCATTTTCCAGGTTTGCACATATAGCACTTGCAAAACATTCTTTAAGTGTCACACTATAATGAACTTTTGGATTTTAAGAAATTATTTAAGTGTTTCGTCGAAAAGAAACCCCTTTTTTACACAAATGAACGAATTATTATTTTTAAAATAATTAAATAGTAGTAAGATATTTCAAACAAATTTAAGAAAATAACAAAATCCTGTTTCTCTTTGATTTGGAATTAAAACATTTTAAAAACTACAAAACTAACAAATTATGATAAAGGTGAACTTTTATATGTGCTTTAAAACTAGTTTTGATTTCTATTAACATAAGCTTAAAAACTACTATTTTCGTGAACACAGCTGTAAGAAGACTAGTACTAGTGAACAGGTATAAATTTAGCCGTACCTTCGTCCACCACACACTTGAGTTTATGTGATATTCATTGAAGACACCTCTCAAATTGTAAAGGTCCTGCCGCAGCGCCTGCAGGAGTGGAACCTGACGCCCTGCCACGCCGCCGAGGATACGCGCAAGCACCTGGAGGGCATCCGGCACAAGCAGTCGCTGGTGCGCTTCGCCCTCGCCGAGCTGGAGAAGCGCTCCGAGGAGCTGAACATGATTGTGGAGCGGGCCAAGCGCAGCTCCATCGACGCGATGGGGTCGCACGATACGGCGGACATGGAGGACGAGCAGAGCATGTACTGCATCACCTGCGGCCACGAGATTCACTCGCGCACGGCCATCAAGCACATGGAGAAGTGCTTCAACAAATACGAATCGCAGGCCAGCTTCGGCAGCATATTCCAAACGCGCATGGAGGGCAACAATATGTTCTGTGACTTCTACAATCCGGCCAGCAAGACGTACTGCAAGCGCTTGAGAGTGCTGTGTCCCGAGCACAGCAAGGACCCGAAGGTAAGCGACACGGATGTGTGCGGCTCGCCGCTGGTCAACGACGTCTTCACGCCCGCCGGCGAGTTTTGCCGGGCGCCGAAGAAGAATTGCTTCAAGCACTACGCCTGGGAGAAGATCCGGCGGGCGGAGATCGATCTGGAGCGGGTGCGTCAATGGCTCAAAATGGACGACCTGATGGAGCAGGAGCGCATGCTGCGCCAGCAGCTCACCTCGCGCGCCAATCTGCTCGGCCTGATGCTGCACTCCACCTACAACCACGAGGTGATGGACGAGCTGGTGCGCAAGCAGCAGGAGCATTTGGCCGAGTTCGAGAAGCAGAAGCGACGCCAGGCGCACCAGCAGCAGATGCATGCGCAGCAGAAGCTGAATCAGGAAAAGCACCAGCAGCAGCAATTGCTATTGCAACAGCAGCAGCAACAGCAGCAACAGCAGCAACAGCAGCAACAGCAGCAACAGCAGCAACAGCAGCAGCAGCAACAGCAGCAGCAGCAACAGCAGCAGCTGCAACAGCAGCAGCTGCAGCAACAGCAACAACAAAAACTAATCTACCTGCAGCGAAAGCCATAGATATCCATTCCCCTAAGCATACGTAAAAACAAAAGCAATAAACTGACATGCAAGAAACCCTTTGGTACGCGAATCCAGCCGTCTTTTCACAACCCCCACATGGTATGTAAATAATATCTCTCCTGGCAACCGGATCGCACATTGTTAAGTTCCCTAAGAAAGAAAAAATATAAAAACAGGAGGTTGCTAAGCGCCGGGATCGTTTGTTATCGAAAACTAAGCATCAAATATGCATTTATTGATAGCAACCTGGCCATAAAAAGGGAAAGGTTAGATTGGGCTCGCTCGCTCAAAAATATCATTCATGTTGTTTTTAAATAATAACATTAACATTCACTGCAGATTTAACAAGGTTTTAATTTATTTAAGTTTAGTATTTTCTAGACAGTTTTATTTAGACTTAATTTATTGTATAAATATTTCATAGTAAAAGTTAAAATTTGTTTGTCCTTAAATTAATTTTGTTAAAACTTAAAACTTTATTTGTCTTTTTATGTTAAATGTTCTCTAGCTGTCATTGGATTATGATATGTAAGTTAGAAATGTAAATATTAATCTTGTAGGCTGTATTTCTTGTTTGCTTACTTTGAAAATTCTAAAGAATTTGCGTATTTAAAAATTAATACAATTTGGCATTACGATTCTTCTATGTCCTAATCATGTAACCCTCATATATATCTACTCTGTTTAATGTTCTCTAACTGTCATTGGATTATGATATGTAAGTTTGAGATTGTACTTTGGTGTAAGTTAGAAGTGCAAAAATTAATATTTTGTAGGTTGTGTTTCATGTATGTGTACTTTCAAAATTCTAAAGAATTTTCGTGTTTTAAAATTAAGACAATTTGTCATTGCAATTTTTTCCTGATCATTTAACCCTCATATATATATTTACTTTTAACAAAATGTTCTCTAACTGTCATTGGATTATGATATATAAGTTTGAGATTGTACTTTGGTGTAAGTTAGAAGTGCAAAAATTAATATTTTGTAGGTTGTGTTTCATGTATGTGTACTTTCAAAATTCTAAAGAATTTGCGTGTTTTAAAATTAAGACAATTTGTCATTGCAATTTTCTCTGTGTCCTGATCATATAACCGTCATATATATTTACTCTTATTCAAAAAACTTGCGTCTTTATTTGGTTTTTTAAACGGCAATGTGTACTCAACCCCATTGTTAAGCTCTACAACGAGGGTTTTTGGTGAATGATATGCATCTTTGGTGGGCGGGGGCAACCAATGGAAACGATGGAAACTGCTGAATACTTTGGGCTATGGAGGGATTTCGGGACATTTGGGGGGCGGGGAAGTGCAGTCGAAATTTCGAACGAGTCGAAGCACCAAGTAGTCGTGGCGATTTATGGCTGACGGGACAAAAACCAACTCTCGATTGTCAGTTATATTCCGGAATTTTTCTACTTCACACACGACCCGGTTCGTTTCGATTCGATTCGATTCCAAAATATAAAACACTCACACATTTTGGTATTCGATTCGAGAGTCTCTTGTTTTGTAAAATCGGAATCCAAAGGTGAGAGATACCATCGTCCAGCAGGCGACTGCGGCGACTAATGGACTCGACCTCGCCCGAGTATACCGAGCATACCGATCTCTATATACGCATATGTACTACATATATTTTCTATTCCAATTAAATCCGTGCAAATTAAGACGCGCATGGAACCGCGAGTGAAACGTTCAAATTTACAAGTGGCGCCAGCTGATCCGACACCGAATCGGTATAAATCGGGATTGGGAAACCAAAACCAAAACCAAACCATCCAAGGACTTTTTCCGGACAAGTTAGTGGAGACTAGCGAGTGCCAGAATTGGGAATCAAAACAGGATCAGATAGAAAAGGATTATCGCGAGGCATTTTATTTTACACGTTTCGTTTTGTGTGTTCCACAGTCAATGTGCTGAACTGCCTCAGGCTCGCTCATCACATTAACTGCAGGTTAGTCAATGGATTATTATTATGAAAAAACAAAAAACTAACTTTTAAAATCCCCGTATCCCTTACAGTTTGAGATTCGCGTTACGTTCTTTGATTATATATATATTTTGTATCCATATTGTGCAAATTGCCAGTTGACTTACAATCACAAATTCATCCATCCAGCTAACCCCTAGTTAGCCACCATCCCACCGAATCCTCTTTCGGGTAAGTGACGTGCTCCACTTGAAAACTTTTGTGCCACATTCAATTGGGCCATTGTGGCTGTTGTTTTTGGGCCTGGCTAACACTGGCTAACAGAAACTAGATATTACTTAGTTACTTTTTCGGGTATTTTAATTTTTTTTTAATTCCAACTACTCAGAAAAAAATTGCAATTATCATTTTGATATGTATAGGTCCAACAGGCACGTGATATATTAATCTGCATAATAATATTTAAAATGTGTATATAATAGATCACAATACTGAAATATCTTGGAGCTTAATAATTGAAAATAGGAAGTTTGTTATTTGCGTTACTCTTTGAGCTGTGACGTCAGCCATTTGCACCTGCGCAACATGATTTGTACATGCAGGGTTGCATTTCCAGTGCATGATACTGCACTTTTAGGAGCCTACTTTTCAGCGCAGTAGCGCATTTCGATGATCTTATTGGTTGTATTTACGATTTAGCTTCAGTTTTGTTGCCCTGTGTTAGGACCTTTGCCATATGAGGAGTACTTGTGCCTATTTATTTGTTAAACAAATTCATTTGCCAACTTTTGTTGCTGATTTTCGTACTGCCAAATCGCATGACGTGTATTTCCATTTGATTGTTTTGCGGCGTTTCTTGCAGCAACAACAATAAAAGCAACAATAACGGAAGAAGGCGAAGTAACAGTAATACAGTGAACACCATAACGAATGAACGTGCTCTTTGATTAGCTTACGCGAGAGTGAAACTTTTTTTTTACTTAATAACAATACATTTTTGGGAATATAAAAAATATTTTTGTACACAATTTGTGTTAATACTTATAGCCATACTTATTTATTGTCGTTTCCACTTTGTACATCTACAAATTAATTTCACTATAAGATATTAGATTTTTTAATAAGTAAAATACCATTAATGAAATAATAAATATGTGCTTAATTAACGTCCGATAAGATCAATTATTCTGACTGGTTCACTGTAGCGGGCGCGCACTGTGGCAACGTTGCCCTGGGCACTTAAGGGTCCACTGTAGACACATTGTAGGCATTGGCTCTCGTTTTCGCTTTCGCCTTCTCCCCGATCGATCTAACAATAATTCGGTTTCAATCAGGTTCGCCTCGCGATTTATTTATTCCTTTTATTTTGTTTTCTTTTTTTTAGCTTTTTATTTGTGCTCCCGTTATGGCCGTTGTTCCGTTTCCGGTGCATTTGTATACAGAGAGAGAAAAGATATGACTATTTCGTCCACTATCTCATCAATATTATTATTGTTACTTTGTCTTAGTCCAGGCAAAAAACATTTAATCAAAATATTTATAATTGAAAAATATAGTACAGATTTGATTTAACTAATGCATTTTATTTCTTAATTTAATTTTTTTTCTGTAAAGTTGCTTTTTTTGACGTTTTAATATATTATAATATAGTAACAATGCATATGCATTATATTTTTCATAATTTAAACTATTATTTAATCTATTACACCCATTATAGATTATAAATTAAATAATAATTTAAAAGTCACAAAAATATTATATTTATCCTGAAATTTTGAGTTAACCAGCTTTTTTTCTCTGTGAAGTTTCTGTTTTGTTTTTGTTGGCGTTTAATTTTATTTTACATACTTGATGCCGTTTGCATATGGGAGTGAGCACGCGAGGACGAGAGTTCCCCACCAGATGCTCCAGTTCGGTGCCGCAAAACCACTCGTTCGTTACTGCCACTGCCACTGCCACGCGCAACAGCAACAACTACAGTGGCTGCCAATTATAGTTGACGACGACTACGACTGCGACTATACATCTCTCTTACTCCATTTACATCTCCTTAGTCGGGCTGTACATTTTTCGAGTTCTGGGCACCCGGCGGTGCGTCCCAAGTGCTAAAAAACATTACAAAGCTACCCGAGCAGTTGCAGCATCCGAATTCCCATCCCAGCCAGCAGGAGGTGCAGGTTCAAATCCAGTTTCCGGGCCCAAGAACAAGGCCAGGCAGAAGCATAATTGCAAGGATACTATGGCCAGCCAAGCCAGCGGTACCGACCATGAGCGACGCATTCACGAGCTGGACCAAAATGTAGAGCGCAACTTCGATATCCGAAAGGTGAGTCCAAAATCCCTGGAAACCAGAGAAAATTCGAACCCTACAACTTCCTATACCGAACCAGTTAAATTTCCTTTTATAAATGAAAAGTCATGTACCAAATCTATGATTTTATTTCTAAAAATTTACCACTTATTAGTGGTATTAGCGGCACCCAACTGGAGCATCTGTTTCGAAATTCCCAAAAATGGGAATAATATTTTATTACAATTTTACAAAATTTAAAATTTTAAAGTAAAGTTGTCTAGAGTGCAGAGTTCAACCAAAATGAAATAAAAAAAGAAGGTCAAGAAGTTTGAGTAAATTAAACACAACACTTTTTCATTTCGAACCACCGGATATTTAAAATTGATTTTTTTCGTTAAAAAATGAAAAATAAATGTTTAATATTAAAATTAAAATTTCTTTTTTCAGCGCTTGGGCAAAGGTGCCTATGGCATCGTTTGGAAGGCCACTGACAAAAGGCATAACGAGACGGTGGCCCTGAAGAAGATCTTTGATGCGTTCCGGGATGATACCGATGCCCAGCGCACTTACCGCGAGGTGATATTCCTGCGCGCCTTTCGTCACCATCCCAACATTATCCGGCTGATGGATGTGTGCAAGTGGGTATACTATATAACGACGAGCCCATCGTTTTTGAATACTTTCCTTATTAATGCTTTTCCTTCTCTCCGCAGGGCTGCCAACAATTTAGACTTTTATTTGGTGTTCGAGTTCATGGAAAGCGACCTGCACAACGTGATCAAGAAGGGCGATGTCCTCAAGGACATTCACAAGCGCTTCGTCATGTACCAGCTGATCAATGCCATCAAGTACATGCACTCGGGCAACGTCATCCACAGGGACCTGAAGCCCAGTAACATCCTGATCGATAGCAAATGCAGGTGAGTGGATGCCACAGATGAAATTAGCCTATTTTTTGTACTTTACCATAAAAGAGGATATCGAAACTATAGTTCCAAAACCAACTGGAATTTATAAAGATAATTTCTAGCATACAAATTTAAATAGGTTTGTTTTTACCAATTATCGAGCGGGTGTTGAAATGTGTTTTCAATATCACACTACTATTTTCTTATTGATTTTAATTTCTTTTGCCAAATAAAAAATACTATCAATACACTTATACAAATTTGGAATGCTAAAAGTAAACATCTGGCCTTGAATCTAACATTTTTTATTTATATTTAAATTATTCATAAAAACGGTTTGTTAAATAGAATGCATATTAAAATGCATGATTTAATATTGAAAATAAAATACTTGTACTTACTATGTTTTTTATATCAGTGTAAGTTTGCTTTAAAAAAATGGAAATGCTTGTAATATCAAATCCATTCATAACCTATTTCCAAATTGATTTTTTTAGACTCAAAGTGGCCGACTTTGGACTGGCTCGCACACTCTCCACGAAGCGAAAATCTGACTATGATGATTTGGAGGACGACGCCATGCTGACGGATTATGTGGCCACGCGTTGGTATCGCGCCCCTGAAATTCTGGTGGCCAGTCGCAAGTAATTAGCATATATTTTCAATAAGATAAACAAAATATTTTAAATATGTATTATATTTTTTTCAGTTATACCAAAGGCATTGATATGTGGGGTTTGGGCTGCATCCTGGGCGAGATGATAAGACAGAAGCCACTGTTCCAAGGCACTAGCACTGTCAATCAGGTGAGTAAACAAAAAAAAAATTAACTTAAAAGTAAAATTAATAATAATAATAATAATAAAATGTGAAATGCTGTATTTTTGCAGATAGAGAAAATCGTGGCTGCCCTGCCGGCAGTGACCCAGCAGGACATCGAGTCGATCGGACTCACCTTCGGTAGTGTGCTGCTGTGCAAGAAGGTGCATCGCGACCGCCGCCACTCGCTGGACGAGATGCTGCGCAGCTGCTCCGACGACGCCATCTCGCTGGTGAAGTGCCTCCTGGTGTTGGATCCGCACGGCCGGCTGACGGCGAAGGCGGCCCTCAAGCATCCGTATGTGAGCCGCTTCCGGACGGCCTCGGCGGAAATGGAGCTGCGGGTGGACATCCGTCCGCCGCTGAAGGACGATGTGCGGTACCGGGTGGACAAGTACCGGAGCACTCTGTACGACATGATTGGCCTGGGGTCGCGAGGAAGTGCCACGCCTTCGAGCAATCGAGAGACCTCCGCCTCCACAACGACGACGACAACCACGACGACGACGACGACGACCAAACCCCAGCGATCCATGTCAAGGACCAGGTGAGTTCTTGTCATATAAGATGGGATGGGTTGGAATGGGTTGCTGGGTTGGGTTGGTTTTGGTTGGGATGGTGTCACTTGGGAGGAGTGGTCTGGACTGGGCTGAGCTTCTCTAGCTGCTCGTCCCCCTATTTTGCAGGTACCGTCGTCCCTAACATAGGCGCGCCAACTCCTCAACTGCAACCACCACCACCACCACAAACACTTCCACATCCAATTTGCGGCATCAGGAAGCCTCCAAGGAGCGCCTCCAGTCCATCACAGTGCAGGCGGCCCCGTTGAAGGAGCGACTGCATCGCTCCCGGCACAGACAACCGCATCCCAGGCGCCTCAATCATCGCCAGAGCCAATAGGACACCCCCATATCATCCTGGCAGTATGCCTCTCCCTTGGGGTTCTAATGATTTCATAGGAATATATGTATGTTGAGAACGAACTACTACACCCAGAGAAATTTTTGTTTTAAATATACACTTACTTAAAATAGACTAATAGCTTGATAATGTTATTATTAACATAATAATTGCTTTATCCTATAGGCAAATTACAGACTTTAATTTTGTTCTTAATTTAAAACTAAAATTTTTTCATACATAAAAAAAAAATAAAATGCAGTACACTTTAATGAAAACAAAAAAAATATTTTATTCAAAGTGATTTTTCTCTGGGTGTAGTTTCACTGTTGTAGAAAAATATTTACAACTATTTAAGATAAGTCTAAGTCTAAATTGTATGTAATATAATATTAGCTGATTTTTTTTTATTCGATTAAGCAAGATTTCAACTATTACTATAATTACATGTCTAACGTTTGTAGGGTAAAGTTGACAATTTAACGAACATGCCATGATGTCAACTAATAATACTTTATTATCAAGTTTTGAACGATCATGTACTTTAATATTTAGTCAATAAGATACAAGATTTGAAATTAATCAATGAAAAATGAGCTCCTTAGACCCAAACCAACCAAATAACAAAAATGATCAGTAATTGATCTTTATAATGTCTACTCTAAAATGATCTTGCAATTGTAAGACAAGTATTAACTTTCTATCATAACGAGATTAGCTCCCTATATTGGCAACCACACTTCTGCACCCAACCCAACCGAAAACCTTATACACAGTTGCGGTCAAAATAATAGTAGTGGGACAATGTAAAGTGCTCTGAATTCTTGCTTACCAATAAACAAAATGAGGTTTAAAAAACCTTTGAGATTTTTTTTGTTGTTTAAGGATTATGAAAACAGTTAATAAAACCTTAAATTTCACTTTTCAATGTAAATGATTTTATAACAATTTAAGAATATAAAAAACCATTACTGCTCCATTTTTTAAATTACAAATTTTTTTTTCTTAAATGTTTGAAAATATATTTTAGCCTCTAGTTAAGTTTTAATTGCTATTTTATTTATTTAAAAATTTAAAAATATTAAAAAAAAGATTTTTTTTAATTATATAAGTATGAAAAATGTTTTAATTTTTTTTTTATATATTAAAATATTACGCCTATGATAAATATAGATTTGTATATTTGCCTCATTTAGTTTATAGTACTAGTTTTTTTGTTTTGCATAAACTGAAACAGCTACTATTATTTTGAGCGCAACTGTTTGGTCTGTCAGTGGTTAACCTGCCGGGAGAATCACCTGTTCGACTCATCCTAATCCCTCCCCCAGGACATATAGGGCCAGCCAGACGACCCAGGTGGTGGTCAAGAAGAAGGAGAGTTCGCATCCTCATCAGCATGCCCTGGAGATGGTGAATCACCGGAATCGGAGCACCCAAAACTGGGTGGACCAGCAGCAGCAGCAGCAGCAGCAGGTGATCCCAGCCTGTTCCTCATCCCTGCAGCAGCCACGTCATCGCTCCAAGGAGGTCTCAAGGAAACAGCCAGCTCCGGTTCCAACTCCACCTCCAGCTCCAGCTCCTGCTCCTGCTCCTGAAAGAAACTTGCCCAATAACCGGCAGAACCATGTGGCGCTCCACCGGGAACTGGCAGCTGTGGCGGCCACCGCGCCGAAGAAGAAGCACCACGCCAAGTGGCAGTCGCAGGCCCTCGCCCAGACCAAGTTCCATGCCGAGGCCAAGGCCCAGGCGCAGGTCCTGCTCCACACCCAGATGCCCCTGATGACACCCAGCTCGGAGGAGATCAGCAATCAGACCGAGCGACTCCGAAGTCGTTCCCTGAAAGCCAGGGAAAAGGTTCAGAGAAAGGAGAGAGTGCAGGATAAGGATCGGAACGGGGATCGGATTGGGGATCGGAACGGCGATCGGAACGGGGATCGGATTGGGGATCGGAACGGGGATCGGAACGGGGATCGGAACGGGGATCGGGAGCACAAGGATAGCCAACGAAATACGCGTACGACCGAGAACCTGTGGCTGATGAAGTCGGAACGGGAGGAGCTGGAGGTGATAGCCTACATGAAGGCAAAGGTCAAGGCCCAGGCCTTAGAGCTAAAGAAGATTAGGGAGCTGGAGCAGGAGACGGAGCAGAAGGAGGAGCAGGAGAAGTCGGACCCGAACAACGATATATTCTACACGCCGGGACACGTATGCTATGGCACCACGATCAGTTACCTGCAGGCCGAGATGGACAATTGCAAGAGGCAGCTGGTGAACTTTGTCCACGACAACCGGGATGTGCTCGGCCACCGGGAGTTGCGCTACCACTTGGAGCAGCTGCAGCGGAAGCAGGAGGAGCTCGACGATGAGCTCCAGGAGGAGCTCCAGGCGGATCAGTTTGGCCAGTCCTCGTCCAAGGGGGGCAGTGGGGAGCCCTGCTACCACTCGTACGAGTACTTTCGCGAGGAGCAGCGCAAGCAGAAGCAGCTCCAGCTGCAGGAGTTCCTCGCCCGCGACGAGACCAATGAGTTCGAGCATCCCGATTTGGCCAGCGTTTACAAGGCCTCCAGCATTTGCCCTTTTGCCAGGGAATCCAGGGAAGCCAAGGCATCCAAGCAATCCGCATCCCAGGTGGAGCAGGTGGTGACCGCCGACTCAAACGCAGACTACCCTACCACCAGTAACTTGGCCCAAAGGCTAGCAGCCCAGTTGGAGAAATCCCGAATTAGCAAGCGTCTTTACCTCGAGGAGAGGGCCGCCAAGGAGCAGCAGGCCGCTTTGGGACTCCACCACAAGGCGCATCGTTGTCATCGTCATCAGCATTTGCCGACGCCCAGCTACGATCACATGCGACTGCGCCACAACGACATCCAGGAGGCGCACTTCTCCCGGGACTCCTCAAACGGGTCCTTGTCCTAAGTTCTTGTCCCAATATATACGAAAGTGCATAAGTCCCAAACAGAGTTTTTCTTCTTGGTATAGCCAATGAGACCTTTGCAAAGTTCTTGTCCCAATATATACGAATGTGCATTAGTCCCAAATCTCTGAATTTGCATTCAGAGTTATATCTATCTTCCTTGTGTCGATAAAAGGACCTGTCCTAATTTCTTGTCTCAATACAGAGGACTGTGCATTAGTCCCAAACTATTGATTTTCAATTTATTGTCCCAATATATACGAATGTGCACTAGTCCCAATCGTTGGGATCTGGGAGTTTCCATGCAGACGTTACGTTACATCGTAAAGGGATCATTTCTCTAGCCGCAACTATCATATTTCGTATTTTTAAGATATATGCATTTTCGAAACATGGACCCAAATGAATATGAAAATAAGTAGTTCGATTGATTTAGCAAGACGTTGATTGATTTATTGTTAAGCTTGGGATAGACGCACATACTGACTTGCACACACATCAACGACAGCAAATATAACTAAGTTCTGATGTAGATGTTTGTATGTAAGTAGGTCCTCTATCGCTATAGAAAATTGAACACAATAAAGCTCTATATAGGATTTCCTGTATATAGATACAAAGACACGTGCCTTTTTGTTAAATAGTTTTTGGAATCATTCCTTTACCCCCTAATTGTGTACTTTCGATACAAAAAACAATGTGAGGATAGGTGGTAAACAAAACGAAATCCATATCGAAGTGGATTTCAAGTTTGTCATGGATAGACTTGCTTGTAAGTTTAGTTAGGCTCTAGATTCTAGACTCTTGAATTATAGTTAAGTACATACAACATTTATATTATAAGAGCTGGTAGTGAGATACAGATTACTTCTAATCCAAAGCCCAGTTTTGAGAATCGCGCATCAGAGCTTTGATTTATTTTAGCCCATTTCTAGTTGCTAAGTGTATAATTGGAATCTTTATAAATACATGCACTTAATTGTTACAAAGATTAGTCGAATTCGCCCAACTGTGTGTATATAAAAAGAATTCTGTTTTGGTTTCACTTCGTTTCGAGTTGATGTGCTCCCCACTTCCTGCAATTCGGAAGACGCCAACGATTGTTTTGCATATTTAGTCATCGACTCAAGCGGCTTGTTATCTAGTGACAGCTCCAGATTTCCGCATAAATCACTGGCAAAACTAATGGAAAAGCCACTAAGTTATACTCAAAGCTAAATAATTGATAACAGTTTGCAGATCCGTAACTCTTTGGGATACAATGATAACATTAAAGTGAAATCAATAATAGTTTGGCTACAACATGTACAAGAAAGCAGGATTACTCATTATAGATACTTGAAGCAGTGCACTGCAAAACATTGGGTGTTACTAAATAATAATTTAAACCTTACTTTTGGCGCACAGGATACACAAATAACAATCTGCTTTTGGAACACATTCAAAAAGCCACTTTTGCCATCAAATAAATGCGAGGTTTGAGGAGTACGGAGGCTTAGGTCTTCCGCTTCTGCTCAAGCTGCTGCTGCGGCAGCTCCTCCTGCAGCTGGAGGATGTGCTCCAGCGGCTGCGGCCGCCCATCCTTGTCGATCAGCGCCGGCTTGACGATGCCGCCCTGGCGCAGCTGCTCGATCAGATTGACCAGCTGGAGGGCCTCGTACTCCTTCTGCTCCTCGCTCATCCCGTCCAGCGGATTGCGCTGGCCGCGCGGCTCCACACAGCCCAGCACCGGATTGATGCCCTCCTGCTGCCGCTTGTACTCCTCGGTGTCGCTGTCCTCGCTGTCCGAGGAGTAGCTATCGGCGCCCTCCACGCGCCGGCAGTCGAGAATGCCGCGCTTGGCGAACAGCCCGGCCGCATTGCCATAGCCCGTGTACTTGATCATCCGGCCCACGTCCTCTTTGCACAGGACAAAGAGCAGTTCGGCGGAGAGATCGCGTAGGATCATGGCGGGCAGGGTGAGGAAGCGGCACAGGTGATTGCGCAGCTCCTGACCAATCTCTGGCCGCTGGCTTACGTCCCTCAGCGGCGGCAGTATCTCCTGCCGCAGATAGTGACGCATCACACGATCGCTTCGCGCACATTTCACCAGTACAGTGAGCACCGGTGAGAGCAGCTCGTGCGAGGAGCTGGCCTCCGCCTCCTGCTGCGCCAGCGTTTGCCGCAGGTAACCCAGCAGCACGGCCAGACTGCGCACATTGCGCTTCTCGAAGCATTGACTGCAGCATGGCTTGGGCTTGGCCTGAGCTCCCTTATCCGCATCCGCATTCCCAGCCATATCCTTATCCTTATCCTTATCCCTATCCTCCAGTGCATTATCCGCATTGGAGCAGCGCAGTGTGAGCTCAGTGAGGCAGCTGCCCGAGATGTTGGTCAGCAGATTGATGGCATGCGTGATCACGGCACGCTCCTTGTCCGTTGCCATCTGGCCAAAGCGGAGGAGCAGCTCCCTGAGGACGCCCGTCAAATGGAGGCTCTGGATCTCGTACTCATTGGGACTCTTGTCCGGGGCACTGGTCACATTGAACATGACCTTCAGCAGCTCGCAGATGATGTTCAGCTGCTCCTCGCCGGCGGCCACCTCCTCGCCCAGCTTGTCGTCCAGCCACTTGGTCATGTAGGTGAGCCCGTTCAGGTCGATCTGCAGGCGGGATCGGGCCGATGGCTCTAAAGCGGTGAGCAGGAAGAGCAGCTTCATGTCGTAGTACTCCAGGGCACAGGGATGGCGCATCGAGGAGGCCACCCGCTTGAGGATCGCATCCAGGCAGTGCTGGCGCAGGCACTGCCGCCGGCAGTCCGCGTTCTGGTAGACCAGATTGCACAGGCACTTGAGTGCCTCGGCTATCACCTCCGATTGCCCGGGACTGGGCTGCTGCTCCTCCTCCTGCTTCTGCTTCTGCTCCTGCTGCTTCAGCTCGTCCGGCGTGGCGGGCAGCTTCAAGGAACTAGCCTCAATCCTGGCCAGACGCAGCAGCGTATTGACCTCCTGCTCGATGTAGTTCGTCTGCAGGCTGAACTCGTCGCGCGTGAGAATCCTCACTGTATTCAAGCACTGCGTGTGCAGGTGACTCAGCTGCTGGTCGTCGAGGATGCCAAAGATGGCCAGCCACAGCTCGTGCCACTGGTTGTCCGTGCGGAAGCTGTCGAAGATCAGCAGATCCGCATGCTGACAGGGAAAAACAGGGAGTAAGACAGGGACTAAAAGGCACTGCAAGTCTGGAGGAGATTGAGATCTCACTTACCTTCGTGTTGAACTCGTCCAGGATGGCGGGGATTTGGTCCGCCTCCTTGGCCTCCAGACGCTTCAGTTGCTCCGCTTCCATGTCGCCACCGATGGCCAATTGCAGCTGTAAGTGCCCTTAATTGCCTTTAAGTTCTTTAAGTTTAATTTAATTAATTTTTGTAATTCCACCAGTGTGACCGCGTTGTGACCCTTTTAATATACCATATATCGATAGTATCGATTAGAAATTTATCAGTTGCCCATCTCTATTAAATTCTGGTATGTTTTTCGTATTTTTTTCTTGCTTCAATTGATAAGCTATCAAAATAATTGCTTTCAAGAATGCTGCACAAAAATAGTTAAATAGTTTAATAATATATAATAGTTTAAATTTCTTACTATTATTTTGTACTCAATCGAGTTAATAATTATTACTTAAGGTCTATTTTTAAAATTCTTTTGGAGGATTGCCCAAGTAATTCAATTGCTAAATAGTCGATTATTTTTTCATGTCGCCATGTAGCCGGATGCATATATCGCCAAAGGTGATAAGTTTAGTTATCCATATATCGATAGTATCGACTAAAATATATTGGATTTACCCATCTCACTTCTTTTTGTTCTGTCTTGGCGTCACTTCGTTTTCAGAGTGACCATTTTTAATACCATAAATACTTTTGGGGGATTCCCAAAACGACTAAAATGCTAAGAAGTTCAAAATTGGACAGAGTCGACATGATAAAGGAATTCAATTGCTTTCCATGCCATTTTCATTTAATAAATAAGGAATAAAATGTAATAATATTTAATCTCAAAACTACGATTTGTATTCCATTTTAAGGAATCAAACAAATATACATAAGAATTGTAGTTATCTTAAAATTTCTTTGAAGTAAAACCATTCCTAAATCCACTAACAACTATGTAGATTTGACAAGGTTTTGAAAGGTTTCTTGTTTAATCATAGATTGTTTATTAATAAAACCTATTGCAAACCATTAAAAATCGTAATATTCCATTTTTTCAATTTGCAACTGCATAGAAATAACCGTTTTATTTTTAGTTTTTATTACAAAAAATACATATCCAGTGTATACATTTATGCAGTGTATGTTTTGTGTAAAAATATATATATGTGTAAATATAAAATAATACATAATATTTGGATTCTTTTTTTTTTTAGTTTTTGTTTTTTGTTTTCTGTAAGTTTGTTTCTTGTGTTTTTCGTAGCTTGGCTTAAATGTTTATAGTTCATAGTTTATAGTTTGTTGTCTTGTCTGTCTTGCATTTACATGTTTACATGTTATAGTAGTCGACAAACTCGACAGATCTGGGACGCCTATTATAGCAGATTGGATCCAATCTCACTGGCTTCCACTTCTTCTTTTTCTTTATTTTTTAAATGCAATCGAAGGGAAAGGGGAAAAGAAAGAAATAAAAAACATAATAAACAATTAGAAATAAATGCTCGCTGTACGCACACACACACATCTAGTATTTACTGGCTAATGCTAATATCGGTACAAAATGACGATGCAGAAGTCGAAATTTAATCATTCCATGGAATACGTATGTATTTACTAACTAAAACTAAGCATTTGCAGTTGTCTTTTTTGATTGTTTTCGTTTTTTGTTTGTTTATGTTTTTGTTTATATGGTCTCGCACACTTCACATGCAAAAATAAGCAAAATTTTTATTTTTTTGGAATTTTGGCTTGACGCAGTCTTATCTAGGATATATACGATATCGATGGAATGTGGGCCCGTCACCGGTGCGAGCGAGATGGCATGCAGTGTGTGAAGCGTACGACACCATGTGAGTGAGTGGGATGGAGAGTAATGGTTACAATCTATGGATCCGGGGATCGTATAAAATACGTTTGGTTAATTACAACTAGGGATCGAATTTCGCTTGAAAGCCTCGCACAGCATGCACTTCTTAAGACCTATGAGATTTTGATTTTGTTTTTTTTTTTTTCAATTACACTTCTTTAGGTAGCAGCCGAATTGTGGGTGATTTACAGGGAAATACTGGTGCATGGGAGGAAGTGGGTGAATTCAGGGTGCACATGTGCCATTCCAAGGGAAATAATGTCAGAGAACACAGACGAGAGCGAGGCGAAGGGGTGAGCTGCATAGCTGCATTTCAAACTGGCCGGGTTAGGGAACACGAGCAACAACCACGAGCAGCTCACAGCAACAGTTACAACAACTACTATAGAATTGGGTGCAGTGTACTTTCGCCAAGTGCATCGCTTTCAGGCTTCAAAATGCAACTACTTAAAGACAAACTACTTTCCTTCTGAAGTCTAAAAAAAAACCTTGCGTTTTTTGGTATTTCTTTTCTTAATTTAATATATGCAAATGAAAATGATTATATTTATAAAAAAAAATATATATATAACCAACCAAAAAGAACTATTTAAGTAAAATGTATTTGAATTTTGCTAATGTGGAATGTGTCTTCAAGAAAGATTATTATAGAATTCAAATTTCCATTGAAACTTATTAATTTTCACCTTAAAAAATGTCTTTAAATTGATTATAATGAAATTTACAAGTTATTTTGCTTCCAGTCAAATTATAAATTCTATAAAATTCGATTAATTAGTTTTCTTTATAAATAAGTCTAGTTTCCTCTAGTCTTAGGTTGAAATTTGGCTGGGCTATAAATGCAAATCGTTCCTAAAAAGCTACTCCTATAGCTATGGATTCCCACTGCGATGCATTCGACGGGCCTACACTGCAACCGAATGTGGAGTGGGTTTAGACTAAACTGTAGCACTGGGCGGCGGCTGTTGGGCCGCCGGCGGTATGACATTGGGTATGGCCACCACACAGGCGCCGGCCCTCGCAAAAGCCATTGGCGCCAGCTCGTTCCATCCGTTGCGCACCGGGTCGTACTCCTCGACGCTCTTCAGCGCATGGTTGCCATCGTAGCCGCCGACGACGATCAGGCGGTCGCCCAGCAGGGCACAGCCGATCGCATCCCGGCCCAGGGCCAGCGAGCAGATCTACGGAATCCGGGATGGGAAGAGGGATTAGAGTTTGGACAAGAAGAAAAGCTATAGTCGAGAGTCCTCGACTATACGATACCCGTTACTCAGCTACTAATTTTAAAATAAATAAGCCATTAGCAAATAATCGTTTTAGGTGGTGCCATCTACATTTACATTTATGTAGATAACTTCTAAAGTATTGGTCTGATTTGCAACATTTTTATATGAATCAATAGATATTGACCAAATAAACATATACAACTAAGTAACTGGCTTCAACCATGTCTCCAAGTGGCGTGGCTGAGAATTAAACGTTCAAACAGACGGACATGGTTAGATCTAGACTAGGCTATTGATCCTGATCAAGTATTTATACATACTTTAGACGCTTCCATCTACCTGTAACGGGTATAACTAGGAGATCGGGAGATCCCAGTACCCCCACTACCACTACTCACCAGTGTCCAGGTATCAGTGGCTGGGTCGTAACGCTCCACTGTCTCCGTGCGACAGACCATCGGATTGCTGGCCGGACAGTCGTGGCCACCCAAGGCGTACAGGAAACCATTGGCCACCGTCACCTGGTAAGTGAAATAATGAATAAGCAGTTAATACAGCTAGAAACCAGTGTTGCCAGTTCAAAATGGTAGTTGAAAAGGTATAATAAAACATGTTTCATGTTCATAGTTTTGTCAGTAAAACTATTACCATTTCAAAATCTATAGCTTGATTGCTTTTAGCTTCAATTGTAAGCTAATATAAGCCTTCTTTTATCCAGAATCTAGCTCAGCAACTGGTAGCACGGCTGAAAACTAGGAATCCAGTAGTTTACTTACGCCCACGCCGCCGCGTCTTCTGTTCATCGGCGCCAGGAGACTCCATTTGTTGGTGTGCGGATCGTAGCACTCGATGGAGCGATGGCAGACGGAACCATCGCGTCCGCCCACCGCGTACAGACGACCGCCCAGGACAGCCACGCCGGCGGTGGAGCGCATCGAGGACATGGGCGCCACGTAGCTCCAAGTGCGCGCAATGGGATCCCATCTGGAGAAGGGATAACGTCGGAATAAGAAGACAAGTAAGTCGAAAACCAATTTTAAAGCACAAATATATACAAGCAATTGATTTAAGGGTGGCGCCATCTGCCGGGTCACTATCAAAAGCTTTTTTCAATTAACCAACAAGTAACGTTTTTGTTCATAACTTCTAAAATAATGACTCGATTTGGAAAATGTTTGGATAAATCAATAGATATTGACCGCATAAACATATACAACTTCATAACTGACCTCTAACCATGTTTTTTGAAGTGACTAGACAGACTCTTGCAATCGTGGTTATATTATGGCTTAAACTAGGCAGAAAGGATAAATATATTCATACTTTAAAGGGTCTGAAATACATTATACCCTTTGACTCTTAGAGTAATAGGTTTAAGTACTCACCTCTCCACGGTGTTCAGGTAGCTCCAGCCGTCGTGACCGCCCACCGCATAGAGCGGACCCTCCAGCACCGCCACGCCCAGTCCGTGACGCGGCGTGGCCATGGCATTGAGCGGCGTCCAGGCCATCGTGTTCAGGTCCAAACTCTCGACGGTGTTCAGAGTCTTCAGGCCGTCGCGTCCGCCCACCAGGATCAGCTTGTCCTCCATGACGGCGACGCCGAACTGCAGTCGCCGACCGGTCATGTGCTTCCACGAGGTCCACTTGTCCAGGCGCGGGCAGTAGCTCTCGATGCTGATGGCCCCCTTGTGGGCATCCATGCCGCCGACGGCGAGCAGACGGCCCACCGTCGATTTGCGCGGCGTGGTCCGCTCGGTGGCGATGCGGGAGCGCCGCTCGGGCATGAGGTGCCACTTGAAGGCCTCCATCACCAGCTGCTGGCACTCGTTGGCGTTGCACACGTTCTCCACGTGGTCCATGATGAAGGCGGGCTGCAGCAGGGGCAGCCGGACGAGGGCCAGCAGCTCGGCGATGTGCGGCTCGCGGGCCGCGGCATCGTGGCGCACCCACGACATCAGGCTGTGGAAGACGTCCTGCTCGGAGGGCACATTGAGATCGTCGCTGCTCAGCAGCTTGCCCAGCTGGTCGGCGTTCAGCTGGAAGAACTCCTGGTTCTGGCACACCTGCATGAAGTACTGGCAGGTGTAGGCCTGCGCCAGTCGCAGCAGCGTGGTGCAGCTCTGCTGCTCCGCAAAGAAGGCGAAGCCCAGGCAGTTGGAGGGATGCAGTTGGCGGGCCAGGAAGTTGCAGCACGCCGTGACGACGGCGTTCAGCTGCAGCAGACAGGCGGTGGCCAGCAGCGTCTCCACGGTGTCCTCGCGCATCTCGATGAAGCCCGTGTAGCAGTACTGCACCAGCAGATGCAGTGCGTCGCCGTGCACCTCGCCGAGGGTCACCTCCTGCTCCTTGGTCTCGCGCAGCGATCCCGTGAACATGGCCGAGAAGTAGGCGCTCGACGCCGACAGCACCAGGCGGTGGGCGGGCACCCTAAAAATATCAATACAACATTCGTTAATGTATTGTGTTAATCTAGGCATAGTTTATAATAAGACATATAGTTTATAATAGGTCAGAAGGTTTAAGCGCATAAGAGGATTTATTTTTTCAACCAACAACTTTTTTTTAATCTTATCAAAACCCGAAAACTTAAATTGCTGTAAACTTGTATTTTGTCTATTTAAGGATGGTTTATAATGAGACAAATTATAGTTCAAAAGTATTAATCGCACCGAAAGAAATATATTTCAAATTTGAAAATGTTTTTTTTTTTTTTAATTTGATCAAGGCCCGAAAAGAAATGTATTTAAAACTTAAAACTTTTTTTTTTAATTTGATCAAAGCCCGAAAAAGTAAAGAACAAAGAAAATTGTATTGTATTAAATTAAGGATAGTTTATAATGAGACAAAATGACAAGGTAAAATATGTGGCCGTAATTAAGGCTTATACATTTTTGTTATATAAGTAATTTTTTCATCTCGTAAACAGTTAAATTAAATGTCAGCTGAACATTTTAAAATCGTCTTTAATCCCCTCATTAATTTTATTTTACTCAGAATACCTAAACGTGCTTAGAGTCTATTTTTTGTTCACTTTGGATGTCATTACAAACTAAATTGGCCACAGAAAACAAACCTGTTTACATTTTATAATAAAATTCAATTGTTTCAGTAACCGAAATACACTTTTTTTTAGGTAAGAAAATAAATAGCTTTATCGTGTTGGGCTTGACATTTTCTGTAACTTCAAAAGAAAATCATTTTTTGTACTCTGTTTCGAGTGAGCACCGTGACACTATTATTCTGACCGCAACTGTATGCTGGTGGATTCTTTTCCCTTTGTTTACCATGGCACAGATCGACAGGTTTTCACGATCCAAAACCGGTTGAGTGCAGCGAGCGGGTGAAGAAATCAAATAAAGCTGCAACTGCACTCGGATCGCAAATCGTTATATCTATATCTTTTCATGCTGCAGTCGCTTTCGTTGTTGTTGTTGTTGTTGGCTCTCTGTCTTCGTCTTTGTTTTTGTTTTGAGACAAATATATCCTTCTCTGTTGCGTTGCATTGCCATTGTTCGGCGAGCAAAAACAAAGTTTAAATGGGTAAGGTTCTCTTTCTCGCTAACTCAGCAGCTCTTTTAAGCCCGGAATCTCTTCGGCTCTCTCATTCTGCACTGTTGCCACAAGGTTTACAGCAGCGGACGCATAAATAACATTTGAAGTTATAAACTCAAGGATATTACCAGTGAACATATTTTAATTGATTTGCACTGCTTCAACTGCCTGTGTTTTTGTACATAATAATCATAGATTTTTTCTTTACATATATAGTTAATTAAATTATATAATCCAATAAGCATTAAAAGCTCAATATCCTTGTTCATTTGCATTTTTCTTGAGTTCAATAAACTTTTAAATTATTTTATCCAAGTTAACATTATTGCGAATGTGATAAACAAATAAGTTCCCTTATCGCCATAATTGTTGATAAGCAAAGAAATCGTAAATGACTTTGATATCAACAATAATGTTATTAAAAACCATTGAATAATAAACGATGCCTAATATGCTACAAACAAACTATATGTGTGATAAAGTTGCATCCACATTAAATTTATATTTTTTGGATCGGTACAATACCGATCGGGATCATTAGTCCATTTAACTAACAATTGCGTGTAAACTAAGTTATAGCACTAGGCATTTGCATAAATCAATATATATTTATTAAATATAAATTAATAAAACCATTGGATAAATATAATTGAATTATAACCAGTATTAAAGGCCTTACGTCTTTCACCTGAACACTGTTTCCTATATAAAGTTGATTTAAGTCGATTTAAACTAAACATTTACTGAAATCGAATTTCTTTTAACGTTCGAAGTCGAAAACCACGTACCACTATATTTTTTTTACTTATCTGTATTTGCATTTAGTTGAGTGCTTTTCTCTAGGTATTATTATTTTGACAGCAGCTGCACTTCCTGCATCTGCGTAGTGCTATTGTCTTGGTCACCACTGTGCAACGAATGTGTGCGTGTGAGTGTTTACTGTTGGAACTGCGTTGGGGACAGCGCATTGGAAAGAGCAGACAAAGAACACAAATGAAGGTCAGTTGGGGGAGGGGGAGGTGGGTAAGTGGGGGCCTGGGGACCGGGATCGGGTAAAGAGGAAGCGGGTGAGAATCGCTAATGAACTTTCCAATTTGAAAGACCATATTCCATTCCTTTGTCTCTGTGGAAATTGGAAAAGGGAATGGGAAATCGGGAATAGGAGTTCCATGATCCCTTCTCGCTGGAAGTCGAAATCGGAAATGGACATCGGGAAAAGGCGTTCCAAACAGAAATTTTAGTTTCATAAATCGAAGACCACATCATTTGGAAAATGTAGTCGGAAATTGGGAATCAGCGATCGAGTCGGAGATTGGAAATAGGAACCGAGAGTGTCAATCGAAACTCACCGCTTGCCATCGATTCCAGCGATGAGGACCACGTCGCAGAGCTGCTGGCTGTCCACATAGAGCTGCATCCGCTTGAGGATGTTGTCCGCATGGTCGCGGCACCGGAAGAACTCGTCCTGGCTGCCAGCCGAGTTCAAGCTGCCCAAGCTGTAGTCCCGCGACAGCGACTCCAAGGTGTTGTCCGCCAGCATCGAGATGTGTCCGGATGTAGAGGCTGTGGAGTCCCGGCTGGGACTCTCCTTCTGGTTCACCGCCGACATGGTAGCTGTGCTGTGCGCGCTCCTTTCCAGTCCAGCGATGAGTAGTTGTTGTTTCAGCGAGACGTCTGCATCGGAGCACTGGCTGGAAGCAACTAGCTCTGGCTCTGGCTGGTGGATCGTGGATCGCTTGGCTAGTGGTAGGTAAGAGAGGGGTGGGAGGGGGGTTCCAACGGTAATTTGCAACAAAGAACGCTGCCGCAAATCGCGCCTGTGTGTGTGTGTTGGTGTCGCCTCCGCTCTCTCTCTTTCTTTTTCTCTGCGTTTTAAATCTTTTCAATTGGCCGGGAATTGCGTGCTGGATCTGATCTCTGTAACTGTAAATCGCTTATCAAGCTGAGTTCCCGTGTGTGTTTAGTTTATGTGTTTATATACAACTTACACAGCTGTTGTGTCCCACTCTGGTCGCACTGCTTTAATTTGTTTTCAGTAGGGGATTGTATTTTTCCCACTCTTTGGTCACACTAATCAAAAACACCATTCATGGAAATGGATGCCGAACTAACAAAGTAAATATTTATATTTAAAGTTATTAAATAACTAAATTAACTTATGTTTTGGCTTTAGCCGGGCCATAGCCGAGCTGATGCGCGAGATAGAAGGCCAGAATCCCAGTTTACCCAGCCACAAACAAGCCGAACGCAAAGTGAATCCACTGGGAAAAACGAATAAGCGCTTTTTGGGCCGCACCATAAACACGGCGATTCGCCACAATAAAAGGGAAGACGAGCGCACGCAGGCCAATTGTCGGCAAAAGCTGCAGGATCTGGATGATATATATGAGCGAAGGCAGTCCAATCACTTCTACAATCGCGATGTCCAGAGGAGCAGGAGTCGCAGTCGAAGTCGAAGTCTGGACAGGAACGGCAGCCGAGTTGCCCACAAAAAGGACAAAAGGCGAGGCAGCAGCAGGAGACGGAGCAGCAGCAGCAGCAGTAGGGAATCTAGCCGCAGTCGCAGCCGCTCCCGTCACAGTCGCTCCCGTCGCAGGAAAAAGCACAAAAAGAAGGCCAAGAAGCACAAGAAGTCCACGAGGAGGCGAAGGAAAAGCAGCAGAAGCAGCAGCAGCAGCAGTAGAAGTAGTAGGCATGGAGAGGCCATGCCCATTGCCCCACCTTCGGAAATGTTCCTCCAACATTCCAAGCAAATGGCTGCGGCCGTGGCCATGGTCTACGGCCAAGTCTTCCTAGCCAATGGCCAAAAGTTGGCCAAAGAACGTTCAGCTTCTCCCTTGAGCGACATAGTTCGCGAGCTGATGTCCGATGATGAAGAGCCGGAAAAATCGAGGAAAACACCCATTGCCCTGACCTGTTCATCCAGCGACGAAGGGCCACATCTACTCACCATTGATGTTAGCTCCAATTCCTCCGCGGAGTGTTTGGATACCGATTCCGATGGCGAGGACAGCGCTGGCAGCTGCATAAACCTAGACGAATCCGAGTCTGAGAACGATAGTGATATGGAATTAATCGAGTGCCATGACGAGCAGCCCAAGGAGATGGCATTCACATCTGCATCTGCATCTGCACCTGAAACCGAAACCTGCAATGAAAAGCAACAGGTGGACGTTCCTACCACCGTGGACCTGACTGAAGATTAATTAGGCTTAAATTATAAGTTACTCTAACTAAATTATCATCTATCAGAGACATAGCATTACTTAATATATATATTAGAAATTGTAAAAAAGCTATGAAAGCGACTAGTCCTTGGAATTCATAATGACTCATTTATTTTCTACTATTATTTAATGCTACATATCCACCTAAGAACTAGTCCAAGCTAGTCTAAAATCAATCAGTTATTATATATATTTCTCGTAAATGCTGTTGTACTCGAATGTGCCTGAAGTATAGAACATATATTCTTGTAATACTGCTAGAGATAAGTACATATATCAACAGCTGTCTTTACTTATTTTCTTTACACTTGAAACACTGAAATTTAAAAACATTTTTTGAAGTTAATAAAATACATGTTATTTACTCAAACAAAAAAACTAATTTTACTTAAGTTAAAAGACAACTTATATGAATGCCTTCTCCTTAGAGTAAATATGCCATTAAAACTATTTCCCTAATTAAAACTTCAAATAAGAACATAAAAAACGGTATTAATAAATATAGGAACCTTTTTCATGCATTACTCATAATTAACAAAAAAAATTATATTTTCTTCTAGAAAGTATATTGAAATATAGAAACTCACAAAATCCTTGTTAAAATAAAAGGAAATTCTAGGTAAATTACAAAATGTGTGAGGAATATTTAATTTAATATTACCCAATTTAAATTAATTTACCCAACCGCGTCGCAAAAATTCTCGCACCGTACATGGTATGACTTCGATTTCTTTATTTTCGATTTAATAATAATAATAGTTCAGTTTGTTTTGCCTTGCGCCGAACAAAGAGCAAATGGTATATGGGGAAAAGGGGAAAGTGGGAAAGTGGGGATATGGATGGGCTGCATCTGCATCAGCACCTGCATCTGCGTCTAGTTGGGCGACGTATTCCGCTTTGGCGTCGACGGCGGCAGATCCATTGTCTTGCACACCCAGCCGGATATATCCACCTCCTCCACTTCCGCCTTGCGAATCCACGGATGACTCTACAAAAGATATACATATATGTATATATACTGTATAGTTTATATGCAGAAATTGCGACGTGAGGGATAAAAATGGGATGAGATTTACCAGCAGGGTCTTGAGATCGGCCCGCTCGTCGGGCTGCTTCTTCAGGCAGATGTCCACGAAGTCCTTGAACTCGCTGGAGAATATCTTGTGCTCCAGCTTCGGCGGCGGTTCGTTCACAATGTAGTCGAGCAGCTCGAAGATGGCCATTGCCCGGGGCTCGTCCGTCGGCTGGCCGCCCTCCTCCGCGTTGTCCGCGAATATGGACTCCAGGGTGGCGGTGTTCGGCGGCGGGATGGGGTACATGCCGATGGCCATCTCCACCAGCGACAGGCCCAGCGACCAGATGTCCGACTGCACCGAGTAATGGGTGCCCTGCAGTCGCTCCGGCTACAACAAAGAGCAGTGCGTGCAAATATTTTGTTTTGTAGTTTACCACATGTCTACTCATATATTATATCTTTGTGTACATTCTGCAATCTTTTGTTAAGCTCGCCCCTTCCCTTTTAAAAATATGTAGCTCCTTTGGGTCTGGGAGTGCCCAAAACTGCCCCATGGCAATACATTTACAAAAAGAATTTATAAAAAACAAGCACAAATCTCAGTGTAAAGTCGAGAAAAAAACAAAACATAAAAATAACTAAGTAATTGTTTTTAATAACACAAAGAAGCAACAAAACAATATTAAAGAGTCTATTAAACCAACAAATTGCATTGTCTAGATATTATATATGTAGCTTATAATCGATTTATGTACTATTAAAATTTTTTTTTGTTTAAAGAAAATAAAAAGAAATGCTCCTGCATCTGCACTTTGAGTTGGAATACAATTATATTAAATCCAACCTATTTTTTTTAAATATAAAATTTTTTTTATATATTATACCTATGTTAAATCTGGGTTTTTTGCATGTGCCCCATTTATTTTATATCCAAGAGTTGCTTCAAAACTTGTTTTAATTGCTATTTTTATAGGCTAAAAAACTACTATTTTCATGACCCCAGCTGTTTGTATTGAAAACTGATTCAATTTGTACTCTCTTTATGTGATTAAAAATTATTTTCAAAGCCTTTAAGCCAAAACCAATCGTGATTATCCCTCGGGTTTGTATAGCAATTGTGATCCACATTTATAGATACTTATATACTGCATCTGGGTACCGAGACAGGACTACTCACCGACATATAGCTGCGGGTGCCCACGAAGGAGTTGGCCATGGAGTCGATCAGTTGGCCGGAGACGCCGAAATCACAGATCTTGATCTCGCCGCTGCTGTTGACGAGGATATTGCTCGGCTTGACGTCCCGGTGGATGATGGCGTGCTTGTCGCGCAGGTAGCTCAGACCCTTGAGCACCGCCAGCGTGATGCGGCCGAGGATGGACTCCGGTATTCGGCCGGCCCGCTTGAGGATCAGGTCCAGCGAGCCACCGTCCATGTACTCCATGCAGATGCTGATCTCGCCGTCGCTGTAGAAGGCGCCGTAGAAGCCAACGATGTGCGGGAAGTTGCATTCGTGGAGGACTTTCAGTTCGCGCAGGATCTGTTTCTTGATCGCCGGCTTCACCTCCAGGTGGATCAGTTTCCTGGCCATGATCAGGTGTGTGTGCGTGTGCCGGACCTTCATCACCACGCCGCCATTCCCCGAACCCAGTTCGCCCAGCTTCTCCAGATCCTCGTCCGACAGCTCGCCGATCTTCTCCTTCTGGCTGAGGAACACCTTGATCCGCTTGCGCTCCGTGTCGTCCATGTCCAGTCCCTCCAGCGTCTCCGTCAGCGCATCGATGCTCGTCTTCGGCTTGCCCAGCAAACTGTGTGTGCTTTAATTTAACCTCTTAATGAATTTTTGCGAACCAAAACGAAAATGTAAAGTGTGCAGGCAATGGGGAATGGAACGAAAACGTGGGGGATGGGCTAATATTATACGATTAGGTACTTCCCTATGCTAAAAACATCAGATGGTTACAAAATAATTGCCTACATATTGATGCTGAGTTAAGGAAATTGTAGAGAAATCATTACCCGTGTAACTCTAAGGATAAATTTGCTTCATGCTTAATAAGCAATCCAATAATGTAAGTAATATGAACATTATTGAAATTTTTATATTTTGAAAAAAAATACAAGTATATTTTAAAACAAAATTAAAGCTATAGTTCTGTAGCTCAAAGAAGACATTCTTAAACCTCGTTTTGTCTTCATAGAAGAGTTGGATCTAACAAAATAAAACGCAGTCACTTCAACGCTATCTGTTCAAATCATTTGAATTATATTTTACAGATAATATGAAAATACCCAAATTTGGAAAAATGTTCCCATTAGAAAATGTATTTTTCAATCTTAATAATTTAGGTTTTTCTAATAAACTTTTCTCGCGGTGTACCTGTTCTTGTGACCGTTATAGCCTATAGTGTGTGGGTGCATGTGTGCGTCACGTTCAAGGAGTGACACCTACGCCAACAAACCGAAAGAGTCTTCTCTCTTTCGCTCTCTCTCTCTTCCTGGATTCCATGGAATCAATCAATTGGCCGAAATTAATTAGCCACCTGACACCCTGGAACAAGGATTTACCCTACTCGAATGATAAATATACAAAATCGAAATGGGATGGGCAGTGCGGGAGGGATAGGGACAAAAAACAAGTAATTTATAAGGAGCATATCAAATGTATCATATTTACTCTGTGCCCGAAGGGGTTTTGAACGGCGGCGTCGGCGCCACTGTGGCGGCGGCAACAGTTGCCTCCGTATTTACCGGCGGCAGCACCAGATTCAGCTTGTTCTTCGACATTTTGAACTATTTAAAACTATATTCCGTGGTCACCGATCAATTATAGAATACAACAATAACAAAAACAATAAAAAAAATTAAAAAAAAAAAATAAATAAATAAAGATAAGAGAGCAGTCCAGTGGCGTCCGAAGAGAGGAGTTGAGGGGCGGGGCGAGGGACGTCGGCGCGGGGGAGGAGGCCAAGTGGAAAACTTCCGTTTGTTGGTCTAGCCGCTTGTAATTGTGCACTCCTTTTTGTTTATGTTTTTTTGCACACACGATAGCACTTTCGAGCCGACCACAATAATAACAAAACGGATAGTTTGTTTTATTTTTACACCATATATACAGCAGGCGGCTGCAAAAAATTTGCCGACTTTTTAGTTTTTTTTTTCTTCGCAGAAGACGCAGTATGACCAGGCCGTGCAACCAAATCCCGTTTCAAATTTGTCGACTATCATGGAGTGCACTTAAAAAAATTATGAAATTTAGCATTGCAATGGCTTTGAAAATATTTTTTTTTTTAAATTTTAAATCAAATATAAATTAAATTTGTTTAAATCAAATATAAGCCTGAAAAAAATATTACCGAAAAATGTTAGGTCATCTTGAATTCTTCAAAACCTTATATGTTCTTCAAAAGAATGTTAATTTCTTTAATTAAAAAAAAACACTTAACAGTTTGTATTGTTTTAAGCCAAACAGAAATAACTCCAAATAGATTTACTTCATTTTGAACGAGATATTTTTTCCGATCAACATTTTTCCTAAGTCGGATAACTTTCTTGAAAGAGATTGTTTTGTTAGCTTATTAAGCGAAATTACATTTTATTTTGTCTTTTGATATACTTTTTAATGTAAACAAAATAAATATTTTGATATTGCCTGTTTTTGTTTGAAAGCTAACAAACAACTTTTGTATTTCAAGAATGCTGCACAAAAAAAAAGCGTTTCCCTCTTAAATCAAATTTGTTTTACTAAATTAGTTTCGATCAAAATTTGGTATTTCCCCATACACCTATGAAATCAAACTGTTATAACCATTTTATTTAAAATAAATTGAAAAATAAAAGTTTTTACCTATGCATTGGAATGTGAAGCTATGCACGTTCGGTATTTTCTTGCCACCGGTTGACGGTCACACTGCCACCCACACCTTCGGCTCTGCGAAAAGTAAAACAATAACATTTCCGGCTTGCCATCCACCTAATCTGACCAAAATGAGGATGCAACGCCAGTGCATTGTGGTCAACATGCGATCGGCCATCGTCCTGATCATGATCTTTGTGCTGACGGGGATCAGGAACAGCGAGACGGCCAGCGGGGGCAACCAAATGGACTTGTCGGACGCGAAAGGCGATCACAAGGACAACAGCAATGCGAGTAATGGCAACAATGGCAACGATAACGAAGTGTATGTGCCACCGATTGTGTCCAGCATGGTGGCCAAAAATGGAGGATCCGGTGGCCCCCTGGACAACATCACTGCCTACAGCAGCAGCAGTAGTAGCAATGGCAATAATAACAACAACAACATGTTGTGCCCGTACGACAAAGAGACACCCTGCGATCGCCTGCACTTCCCGTGCATCCGGTGCAACTACAACTACGGCTGCCTCTACGGCCGGGACGTGAACGTGACCTGCGAGATCGTGGGCAACGTGCAGTGCCAGGGCGAGCGGAGTTTCCAGCGGCAGATGAGCTGTCGCTACTGCTACCAGACGGAGATGTGGCAGCAGAGCTGCGGCCAGCGCTCCAGCTGCAACTCGGCCACGGACAAGCTGTTCCGCACCAACTGCACGGTGCACCAGGACGTGCTCTGCCTGGGCAATCGTTCCTTCACCCGCAACCTGCGCTGCAACTGGACGCAGGGCTATCGCTGGAGCACCGCCCTGCTGATAAGCCTCACCCTGGGCGGCTTTGGAGCCGATCGATTCTATCTGGGCCACTGGCAGGAGGGCATTGGCAAGCTGTTCAGCTTCGGCGGCCTCGGCGTCTGGACCATCATCGATGTCCTGCTCATCTCGATGCACTATCTGGGCCCAGCGGATGGCTCGCTTTACATCTAGTTTAGTCATTAAGTAGCCAAAAAGTGTAGACTGTAAGCTAAATATTTCCATTACCATGTAAATAGTAACGAAGGCATATTTAACCATTAAATACTGTAAGAGGGTGACCCATGGGTGTGAGTGTTCCAAAGAGCTTTACAACTTTTGCAAAACCATGTACATACATAACTAGAAAAGCTATCCAGTTAACTATGCTAATTTTTGGTCTGTAACTATCGCAATATTATACAACCTTTTCTTATTTGTTATTTCTTTTGATCGCACCTATAGAAAAATATAAATTAAATATCATGGATAAACTACAAAATTCACTTTAATTGAAAATTAAGGGCTGGATTCGATTTTTAAAGAACTGAAATGCCAAATTCTTGCAATATTTATATATGTTAGAGTATCTCCTTTTAAAATATATGGTATGAATGTTTTAAACCTTGTAAATCACTTTTTGGTTTTCAAGGACTTTATATTCCCTTCTTACTATAGGTTTTGCAAGCAAATAATCTAAAGTTTGTAAATATACGAATTTTTATAACTATTTATAGCCATCTCTTTCTTATTCCTGTAAGATCAAAGGTATATTTTTTGAAATTCCTTTTTTATAGAAATTAAAATTCTTTTAATTATTTTTAACAATTAAATTATGAATTACGTTTCTTGGCAGATCCTTTTAGAAATTAAAATTAAAATAGAAACAAATTATAAAACTGCTGCTTTTTCGTGTCGCATGCTTACATTTACACATTTGCATTCTAAATTTCTTCAAACAATTTAGAAAGTTCTGTGAAACCATTCATTTGGCTTAAAAGCGATCCCAGATCATACAGTTTGTGACCTTATAACTAGACCCGTAATCGATTTATTCCATGGCGGCCGCCTGTACTTCATCGTCGCCATCGTCGAACTTGATGTGCTTGGCCAGCAGCTTGGAGATCTTCTCGCGGCCTCGCTTCTGCTGCACGCGCACCTTTTTCGAGAGTTTCGCCTCGCGATCCTGCTCGATCTTGCGCCAATAGAGCGTCTCCGGCTGGCCGGAGAGCACCTTCAGCTGCCGCTCGGCACAGTTGACCTGGCGCACCAGCTCCTCGGCGGCGGCGGGCGTGGCCAGGCGCAGTTGGGCCACCTGATCGCCCTCTTTGATGTCCACATACTTAATGTCCGGATACTGGCGCATGTCGGCCTTAAACTCCTTGACATTGGTGCAGGGCTCCAGCAGCGAGCACTCCACAATCAGGCCGGGCTCGTATTTGAAAAGGGGCGTACGCTCCTGCGAGGGCTCCTCGGATTTGGTGGACTCCACGCCGCCGGCGCCGTAGAAGTTCATGTTCATTTTGTGCACCGCCTTGCGTCGCTTGGCCGGCACCGGCACCGCCGCCTCCCCGGCAGCTTCGCCGCCTTCGCTGGGGATCTCTGGACCGCCGGCTTCCTCCTCCTTATTGGCCACCTCGGGCAGCTGCGAGGGTTTGGATTGGTTCTGGTTATGGTGCTGCTGCTGGTGGTGGTGATGGTGCGGCTGGTTTTGTGGGTGGTTCTCACGCCACAGCTTGCTCTTGGCTTCGCTTATCAGGCGACGCTGCAGATTCAAGTACTTATTGCGCAGACTGCTCCAGCTGGTCTTGGGCAGCACCTTGAGCTCCAAGGCACTGGGCTCAATGTTCGGCTTGTCCACAATGGCCTTCTTCTTGCGCTTGCGACGACGCTTCTTGGTCTCGCCGTCGGTTGGCTCTGTTTTATCCTCCTGATCGGTGGTGGCTTCTCCAGCTGCTGTGCCCTCTGCCTCCGTTTCGCTGGACGTTCCTTCCGCCGTGGAGCTCTCGCTGGGCTGCTCCTCCTCCAGCTTGACCCGTTTCACCTCGGGACCCGTTTCGGTGATGGCCACAGCCTCTCTCTTGGCATTCCGCTTGAGTAGCGGTGGCGGCGGCGGCGGTTCAAGCGTATCATTCTCATCGGCTGTCGACTCTGCTTTCTGTTGCAGCTGCTGCTGCTGCTGGAAGGAGCGCACGCTGGCCAGTTCGCCAGGATCCGTTTCCACGGAGAGGACGCCCTGGACCTGGGCAAATGCCTTCACAGCCTTCTCCACAGAGCCGGCCTTCTCGAATTCGATGAAGGCGAACTCCTTGATTTTCTTGGTGCCCGGATAGTGAGGCAGCGAGACGTAGGCCACCGATCCGTAGCGGCTGAACACCTCCTTCAACCAATCGTGGCTAGCATTGGCGGGCAGGGCCTCCACATACAGCGTCTTGTCGTTGACATCGCGCTGATCCGGAAGCTTGGTCTTGCGCCGCACCTTCAGCTTGGTCTCGTCCAGTTCCAGGAGCTGGGAGTTGCTCAGCGCCTTGGCTATCTGCTGCACATCCTGGGTGAGCGTCTTGATTTTGTTGAACGTGAGGAAAATCTCCAGGGGCACATCTGAAACGGGATCCCGTTGTTAGCGTTGTTTTGGCTGGGAAGAGCACCCTGCCCCACTTACATGGATCCTGCTCTACGTAGCGACGCAGAAAGCGATCCTTACTCAAATTGGCGTCTCCGAAATAGAACTCCATTTGGCCGCGAATCGAGTTGAATAAATGCCTCTTCCGTTTGCGTCCTCCATCCTTTTTAGCCGGCGTTGTGTTTTCAGCCGCCGGTTCATTGGCGTTTTCCTCGAGTGGCTCACTGGATGCGGCAGTATCGGGCTTTTCCACCGGCGTGGCGGGTTCCTGGCCATCGGCCTTTTCCTTCTCCGTGCTTTTGGCTGCCATTTATAGCCGGAAAACCATTAAAAACTCGGAAATACCTTTGCTTATGGCAATTGGTTTTTGCTTTTTGCACTAGCCGGCAACGCTGCGTAGCTGTAAATGGCAGGGTTGTCAGGTGTTTGCAACACCGCCTTATCGATAGTTTGCAGTACTCTATATATATATCGATCACATTCAACGAGGAATAGTTACAAGCTCTACAAGGTTTAAATAACATCTCAAAAGGCATAGTGAAGTTTGAAAAATTATCGTTTTATCTACTTTGATATTTCTTTTAGAATTTTGTTGATAGTCTGAAAATTTCAAAAATGACTTTATTAAAAATAAGTAAACAAAATTCAATAAAACTTTATTTGTCACATCTTGAATATTAAAATTGAAGTGTTAATCCATTTTGTTTTATATATTACCTTTTAATATATCTTCGCTCTGTGATTACGCTCGATATTTAGCCGAGCCCAAATCGATATTGGGACAAGGTGGCAGCCCAGTTGCGTTGTTTTGGCGGGCGGCAAAAAAAAAAAAAAACAGATGCTATGCTAATGCTAACCTATGTGTGTTGTACAGTGCTACAATCGGCAACAACAAAACGAAAATAGTCGGCAAATAAGCAAGAAAATGTGTTTGTGCTCTCGCTAATAAAACAACCAAACCAATTCCCTGTATCCACTGCAATATATAAGCCATTAAGAATTGCGCCCAAGGAAGGTAATAAACCAGAAAAAAAGCGGAAAGCAAAGGAAAGGAAACGAAAGGAAAGGCATTTGTGTTCCAGTTTGAGGATTGGAAGGTGATGCTCCGCTGAGCCGGAAAATTCCAGCCATGGAATCGATTGTGCTGCATTCGGATGTGGCGCGCTTGGTCCTAGGTGAGTTTCGTTTGCTGCTCCTGCTGTTGGATCCGTGAATCATCCATGATCCATCATATGCATATGTAGGCTATCTGGTCAACCAGAATCTGAAGCGGGCGGCCCACACGCTGTGCCGCACTTCGCCGCACCTGCGCCACGAGTTCCTGGCCCTGAAACAGGGCCTGCAGACGCACAACTTCCTCAACGGCGGCCTGGAGGAGATCATCTGCGAGCATGTGAAGATCACGGGCTTGGGTGAGTGTTTGCCGCCGCTCTAAGGTACAGTCCTCCTGACTGAAACTCCTCTTCTTTTTCCTGCCCTTTTGCAGTGGCCAGTGCCGTGCAGAAGCTGCCGTTGGAGACGCGCCTGCAGCTGCAGCAGCTGAAGCTGTCCGAAAGGGTCAACGAACTGATAGGCACCGGCGCCGAGCGGAGCAGCTGCACCAATGACAGTAGCAACCAGGGTCCCGAGTCCAGCATATCGCAGTCGCATCGCAAGAGGAGGCGCTTGTAATTATATCTACACATTGGGAAGTTCCTAAGAACTCTCATGTTTACTGATCATGATTATTATCCCTCCACAGACGCACTCAATCCCCCGGAAATAACCTGTCCTCGCCTTCGTTCAGCAAGCGTCCGCGTTTGCTGCCGCCGCACTTCTACTGCAGCATTAACCGTGAGAAGATCAAGCTCAGCTTTATGGCCAGCCAGGAGAACCAAGAGGATCTGGCGGAGGAGGAGGAGGAGGACGGGGAGGACGTGGAGAGCACCACGGCCACCGATGACTTGGAGGAGGAGGAGCTGCTGCCTCCCGGGCCGCGCAACAATTCCACGCCGCGTCAGGTTCAAGCCGAGTCCAATCCCCTCGTGCTCACGCCGCAAAGCATGCCCGTAAGTGGGGTAACACCAACCAGCTGCGTTAGTTCACCTGGTGATGGAACGTTTGACTAAAGCATTTCGCCATTTTCCAGGAGCTGGCCAGCGCAATAATCAAGAACCAGGACTTCCAGGACACGCTGGTTAAGAACATAAACGTGGCGCTGCAAACGGTGACTGTGACAAATCCGGCGGTGAGCTGCGATGCCATGCTCGATGGTCTGGTGAAGAACATACTGGAGGCCACCGAGAAGGATCCCTCGTTCGATCGCATCATCCAGGAGGTGGTGATCGGTGACGAAGAGCCTCCGGCGGCAGATGAGCTAGCTCTGGCCGCCGCTGTTAATCCCCCTGCGGCCGCTGGTCAAGTGAATCCTCCGGTGGATGCCGTAGAACCCGTGCCGCCGCAAACACCGCTCATCATACGCACCGCCGTGGCAGCATCCACCACTGGCAGCAATGCGGATCCCAACTTCTCCATCTCGAAGCTAATCGTGCTCAACTCCAACGAGAGTGTACAGAAAATGGTGGCCGGCATTGACACCTCGAATGTGAGCTTCACCAGCGACGGCCTGAATCTGAACTTTGCCGATCCGGCATCGATGCTCAGCGAGGCGGAGGCGGCGGCTGCCGGCCAGGTGTGTGTGGACGCCACCTCCGGGCAGCTAACCTTTCCCATGTACCTCTCCAACGGCGGCCTGCTGTCGCACCTCCCCTTCCTGGTGAACAACGAGTGGGTGGCCCAGCAACTGGGCCCGGATGCCTTCGCCAACGTGGACGACTCGCACATCGAGATCTGCCTGCCGGAGCCGATAACGCTGTCGGCCAATCAGCTGCCGCCCAATTCCATAATCATCAACAGTGCCCAGAAGCAGCCACCGGCGCAGCCAAGCGTGCAGCCGCCCATCCAATTGATAAAGGAGGACGAAAGGGCCCAGAAGGAGGCGGCGGGGGAGGAGCTGCGGAAGCTGCCGCCCGCCTCCCTGGACTCGTCGCGCCAGGTCATGGAACGCGTGACGCCCTCCACGGCCGGAATAATCAATGTAAAGGCCTTCCGTAGCTTATCCACTCCCCGAAAGAGAACCTCGCATGTACGAACTTTAACTTTCTCCCCCAAGGTCTCCGCCGGTGGCGTCCTGCATCCCAATACGCCGCTCTCCACCCGGCGACCTGGTTTGCTGGCCAAAGCCAAAGAGAAGCCCATTATCAACCATGTGGAGATCATACAGCCAGCCGCCGCCAGCGATCTCAGCTCGAACGAGGGCTTAGGCGGTGTGCCACCTCTATTTGCCATGGAGGAGTGCAGCAATCAGACGGTGATCAGGGCCAATCCGCCTGCTCCTGTTCCTGTTCCTGTTCCTGCTCCTGCTCCTGCTCCTGCTGTGCCCCTGGTGGCCACGCCCAAAAGAAAACAGAAACGTCAGGCGGCAGTCAAGGCCTGCAAGCGAATCATCTCGCAGGCGGAATCGGAGTCCAAGCCGGAACAGGATCTGGATAAGAATGGGCCCCGAAACACATCCGCCTGCAGCACATCCTGCTCCACGCACGATGACAGTGCCGAGGCCAGCAAGGAGAATCTCCAGGAGCAGCAGCAGCATCAGCAGCATCAGCAGCAGCAGCAGAAAATCGATAGAAAGACCGATGGAGGTGTAGGAGGAGGATCCTCCTCCTCTTTGGCCAATCGGGAAACTGAGCTGATCGAGAGCGACATGGCCGCCTGGCAGCGCCAGTTGCATGGTTCCAACTCGGACCTAGAGAATCGATTGCGCGAGATCAACTCCAAGCGCGAGGAGGTCAAGAGCACGGCTCGCGCCAGGCGTCCCAAGAAGAAGGAATCGACGCCCGCTACAACTGCTGCCGCACGAGCACGAAAAACCAAAGTGATGGCCAAGAATCAGGTGAAGAAGTCGATGCAGCGCAGTGGCGTTGATGCCACGGAGAAGATCAACATCAAGATAGTCACACCGCAGAAACCCAAGGCGCTCAAAAAGAAAAAGGCGTTGGAACTCAAAGAGGAGGTCATCGAGGAAACGCTGCTGGAGGAGGAGGTCATCGAGGAGACGCTGCTGGAGGAGAAGGAGAAGGAGAAGGAGAGGGAACAGGTCAAGGAGAAGGAACCGAAAAAGGAGCCAAATGAGCTGGAGAAGGCGAGGAATCACGATCGGGAGCAGATCAAAGCCTTGGTGGCCGAGCAGGCGCCACCCAATATGGCCATGTTGCTGGACACGCCCTTCAAGGCATCTCCCAGAGCCAGTGATCCATTCATCGCCACATCCCAGGGAGGAGAAGGAGCAACTGCTGCTGCTGCTGCTGCTGCTGCTGCTGCTGCCGCTGCTGCTGTTGCGACTGCCATTCCACCCACTCCGGGCATGGCCATTCCACCGCTGGACACGCCATATGGCAAGCTGCCCAGCAGCAGTTTTCTCTTCGGTTCGGACACCAAAAGTATCATGGATACGCCCCAGCTGAGCGCCATTACCCCCGGATTCCGTTTGACCCCGTTTGGCCAGATGCCCGGCACGCCCGTGGGCAGTGCCGCCAAGACGGATTACTCCTCGGGCAGCTCCTACTACCGTCCCGACGAAGCGGAGCACACGGATGCCAATGCGCAGTGCGCAATACAGCAGTGGGAGGAACTGCAGGAGAAGAAGCAGCCAGCAGTTGGGTTCAAGGACAAGGACAAGGACACGGACACGGAAAAGAAGATGGAAACAGAGGAGGAGGAGGAGCCTAGTCAGCAGGCAGATAAACCACTAGAGGAGGAGGAGGAGCATCCGGAGGACCACAAGCTTACACCCAAGAGACCAGAAATGCAGAAAGAAGAGATGGTTAAAGAAAAGCCTGCAGAGCAAGCACCAGAGGTGGTGAAGCAACCCGTTGTGCTAGCCCTGGAGCCCACTGTCCTGCGACGCGTGCGTTCCTTCGGCAGCGAGGCGGTGGACAGCGCCGAGTCCGCTGCCGCCGGCTCGTATCCGTCGGATCAGCAGCCGCACTACAAGCTGCTGCCCGGCCTGCCGGAGGCCATCATCGAGGGCTCCGGCAGTTCCAGCTCCTCCTCCGCCACCAGCTCCTCATCCTCCTCCAGTTCGAGCTCCAGTTCGTCCAGCAGCTCCTCCTCCAGTTCCTCCTCCTCGCCGAGTTCCCACAGCGAAAAGGAGGAGGGGGAAAGCGATCCGGAAGAGGAGGAGGAGGTGGAAGCTGCCAAGGAGGCTGGCCAAGTGCTGCTCAACATTGACCAGCTGTCCAATATCAGCAGCACGGAGGACGAGGAGTGGCTGAAGGCGGCCACCGACTTGCAGGCGGATGCCGGCCTGCCCATGCTCACCATTGACAGTCTGCCGGGTCAGCTGGTCAGCCAGGACGGCGAGGTGCGCTACCCCATACGCAACTGGCTCACGCCCAGCAAGGAGCAGCAGGCGGACACCAGTGGGGAACTGCGACCACCAGCACCACCGCTGCCTGTGATTCCGCCAGCAGATGCAGTTGACCCTCCACCACCACCACCTCCTCGGCCAGAGGCCGCGATCCTCCAGCAGCAGCACCAACGCGAGCAGCTGGACGAGAAGCGGCAACGCGTGATGGCCAAGTTCAAGCAGCAAGCACAGCCGCCGCCGGCCAGGATGCAAAGCAAGAAGGCCACGGCCACCAGAAAGCTCACTGCCATGCGCGAAACTGCCAAGCTGGCCAATCCCAGCACCCAGAAGTCACCCAAAAAGCGGGAGCACCTGGAGTCACTGAAAACGAAGGGGGCCCGCAAGGAACTGGAGACGACGGAGCCCTCGCCTGCCATGGAGGCATCCAAAGATGCGCCCGCAGATCCACCAGCCAGCAAACTGGATCCCGCCCTGCTCATGGCCCTCAATCTTTCGGCCAAAAAGCAGGAGCCCTCAACGATCAACACCGCGACCACGACCACGACCATTACCAAGCCCAAGGTGATCCGAGCTGCGGTGGAGATTGCGGCACAGCCTGCGCCGGCCAAGCGGGGACGTCCCAAGAAGCCGCAGAACGCAGAACCGGCCAAGACCTGCATGCGTCGATCCTCGCGGCTAATCGACAATAAAAGTGAGTACCGGTTTTAGTGCCAGAGAAGTTTGTTATACCCGTTACTAGAAGAGTAACCTAGAGTACCTAGATACTTGTTTTTAGGTACAATTTGATTGGTACCTTATTCTTTAGGTTTTAAAATCGAACTTTGCTGTACCCGTTTATAGTAGAGTACAAGTATGCAGAGTTTGGTTGTACCTGAATTACTTTTTTAGGTACATTTTTCTGGTACCTTAAAACTTACCTAGGTTACAAAATCTTAGGCTAGCTTTTACCTAACCTAAGTAACGATTTTTTGTAACTTAAGAATAAGCCATGGTACGATTTTTAGGTACTGAAATATTTGATAGGATATTTGAAAATTCGCCACCTGAAACTATTGTTTTCCATGTGCATAGGTAATACATATTATGTAATTTAAAGTTGAGTAGTCTAGGCAATCAACACTATATCGTTCCTTCTTGTTTCGCAATCTAATGTTTGAAATTTCCATTTAGCTCCTGCCCCCGAGGAGCCCTTCAAAGCCATTGGCGACGATCCAACGAAGGTCAGCACCAAGAAGCCGATGAAGAAGCGATCCGAGACCAGGGTGCCCTCCTCGACGACCGCCAGTGCTGCGGCACTGCCCATGGTGGCGGAGGCGGAATCCACGCAGCGGTCTCCGGAGCAGCAACAGCGGAAAGTGGCGATGCCGCCAGCCAAGTCACAACCACTGCCTCGCCAGAATCCAGATACCCATCCAGATCCACATCCCCAACTCCATGCCGATAGCGACTACGAGCAGGACATGTGCTTGAGCAGCAGCCAGGAGCGTTGTACCTTCAGCTTCACCTATGCGGACAACGGACCCAAGCCCAGCAATCCAGCAATGATGGTGCGCCAGCCGGCCAGCTACTTCCAGAGCTACCAGCGGCTCATGATGACCGACGACGAGGAGCTGCGCACGATGCGCATCGCCCAGGAACAGATGATCAATCTGGGCCAGCAACTGGCCAGCGTCATTCGCAACATACCCAAGAAGCGGATACGCCGCCTGACCAGCAACAGTGGAGCCACAACTGCAATGGGAGCAAGTGCAACTGGCACGGAGGTCGCCGGAGATCAGCCCTCGGCCACGTCCACGCCGCTGACGGGGAAGCCTCCGTCCAAGAGCGAGCCGCAAGACGATGATGATGATCTGGAGGTGGCTATCATGTAAGTGGTTACACAACCAAGGGAGCACTAAAAAAGGGTTTTGAAAGTCAGTCAAATTAGTTGCTATTAAGTTGATATTAAGTTCAAGTAATGAATCCACTTCCCTTGGGACCCTTAATAAAATATAATATTAAACTCTGTTTTAATGCCATACTACCTTATTTTTTTATCGAAACAGCAACTCGGCTCCAAAAGAAGCGAGCAGCGGCAGCAGTGGAGGTGGAAATGGAAAGGAAGTAGACGATGAAACCCCCGAGAATCCTGCGCAGCAGAAGGATGCGCTGAACCAGAACCACAGTGTGGAGATCGAGGACATCGAGTCGATATTGTCGCATCTGCACGGCACCTGATTGCAACTCCACTTCAGTTTTGGATGTTAATAATATGTACACCTAGCTCGTTGGCAATCAGGGGAGTACTCTTCTCTCAGCTTTTTAAGCTCTCCTAGTTAAGCGTAGAAATCGGAAACGGAAACGAAAACGGAAACAATTTTGAAATGAATTTAACCATTTACACCAATTAATTTTTCGACATGCGTAGTGTGTTACTCATGCAAACTGCAATCTTGCATTGTTATCATTAAAGTATTTATTTTCGCCGTAAGTTAAGACGGAGCAGCACAACCTGCTCACACACACACACACACACACACAACAAACACAACACAACATTCACAATAATATCCCAGAAGAATCGCTAATTTATGTTTCATTATTCACATTCGTACATATATAATATCCTTATATAGAAATATATATATCGCTGTACATTGATAGCCAGTTGATTTAATTGTTAAGGCTCGTTTTTTTTTCTCTTATGTATTAGTAAGGCCCTAAACGAACAAAAGTTTATGATTTGATTTGATTTTGTACACTATCGGATAAAGTGAATATATAAGGAAGCTAATCCAATCTTGACTTCGACTTGACTTTTCTGTGTGGGAATGGAGGCCTGTCATTGCCAGCTGCTGAAATATGCATACTGCCCATTGATGGGCACCGCACGCGAATAATAATTGACATAATTGGACGGAAATTGGAGGCACTTGCCCCATTGTCCCATTGTCCTAACATTGTGGGGATTTAAATCCCGGCCAGAAGTCGGGGCAATCGGTTGGCCATGGAGCTGCTACTACTCGCAACACTCGCACTCACCGTTGGCCAAGTCAGCGCGGAAACTCTCAAGATTAGTGGGTGTTCTTGGAAATTCGCCTCCATCGCGGCGCAGTTTAATTTCTGATTACTCCTAACAGCCTTCTGGATTGAGCCCGTTCAGCGGGCGGAGTTCGATGCCGATATGGTGGTGGTGCTCAAGGAGCTGGACGCACTGCGTCTGGATGTAAAGGTGGCCGACACATCCTTGACCCTGACCCGATCGCAAGATGGCCTGGACATGGAGCGATGTGAGTAAGAGGGGTAAATAAAAATTGATACATTAACATGTGGTGGGATATAGGCATTTCCAGGAAATTTTTTTTTTTTTTTTTAAACAATATCTCAGGAAATTACCCTTGTTAAAATATTAGCAATATAAACATTTTATTTCAGCAACGTTTCATTAAATTTTGTGTGTTATGGTCAAAAAGAAAAAAAGTCTTAATTTAAAAATGTATGAATGTACTTTAAGTTATATTAAAAATGCAAAAAATTATATAATAATAATATATTTTTATTGATTATTGTGCTAGTTGTACAATTTAATTATTTTAAGATTAATACATAGATATTACAAAGTTCATTTAAAATAATGGTAATATATTTTGTAGTAGGTTTTTTTTGTTTTATTTTTTTACTTTTATATCTTTTATTTTATCTATTAATTTGCATTTTTCTTCGGTAGTCTGCGAAATCCTATCCACTGCTGGAACTAGCGCCGTGATCGACCTGACTTACCGCCACTGGGAGGAGGGATACAACCTGGTGCGCTCCCTGGGAATCGGCTATGTGCGTCTGGAGAGGATCATGCGACCTTTCTTGGACATGTTCGGCGACTTTATGCGCCAGAAGCGGGCCAACAACGTGGCCATGGTCTTCATGAATGCCCGCGATGCCGGCGAGGCGATGCAGCAGATGCTGGTCGGCTATCCCTTCCGCACGCTCATCCTGGACGCCAGCCAGACCGATCCCGGCCAGAATTTCCTCGAGCGCATTCGGTCCCTGCGTCCGGCGCCCACTTATGTGGCCTTGTTTGCCCGAGCTGCCGCCATGAATGGCATTTTTGAGAAGGTTAGTGAGTGGTATATTAGTTGGGGAATAAACCAAGAACATAAATAAGAATATATAGGTTAGTATTTATTTATTTATGTTGTTCTTATTTTTTTTTTTTAAATTTTTTCTTAATGGTTAAACCTTAGGGCATTTTATTGCTAGGAAACGTGACCAAATTATTGTAGAACCTAATTCCGTTCGTAATTCCTGGCCTCGGGATCTGTAACCATGTATCTTCCTTAAAAATCGGCAGGTGCAAAAGGCTGGATTGTTCCAGCGGCCCTTGGAGTGGCACTTTGTGTTCCTGGACACTCGGGATCGGGTATTCAAGTACAGGCGCCAAGCGGAACTGTGCACCCGGTTCACATTGAGTCCGCGTGCGATCTGCCGATCGATGCCCATGCCGGATCTTTATTGCGGAAGTGGATTCACGGTGAGTTGGGAATACTCATTATTCATAATTTTATTATTTATCGGCAATTAAGAGCGTACCATAGCTCCTCAACTTAGCATTTTTTGCCAGTTAATTTAGTTTGTAAAAAATATTAATTAAAAGTATTAAAATATTAACCCCCCATTCCAGTATTTCGTATTAAATAATAATAATACAATTAAAATATAGTTTGTAGTGCTAATATTTTTATATTACCCAAAAATGAAAGATAATAATATAATTAAAAATAAATAAATAAATTTACTATAGCGGTGTATTTGAACCCGCCATTACAGTACTTCGGATTTAAATGTACTGAAAATATTTGCAATATATATATATGTTAATTTTCCCCGAAAATTTGAAGACTTTGTAGGATATATATACAAAGATGCATAAACCATTTGCTGGCTAATCCCTCCTCCAATCGCAATCCCCTCCAGATGCAGCGCGCCATGCTGTTGAATGTGCTGCGCAGCCTGATAAATGCGGCGCAGCTGAGTCCCGTGTATCCGAGTGCCAGCTACCACGACTGCAATGCCACCGCCTCATCCGCGGAGGTGGGTGAAGGTGGAGCCTTGGAGGAGGACCACAACTGGCTGGACATGGTGCACTGGAGCAACTTCCTCACATACGCCACGCCGGTGCAGCACTATCAGGATTCATCGCAGAGTCCAGTGCCGGGACTGAGTTTTGCCGTCAACATATCCGCCGGCTATTACAGTTCCGAGCACGAGGCCAAAACGGATCTGGCCGCCTGGTCGTCGGTGGCCGGAGAGATGCGTCTCCTCAACGAGACAATCAGTCCGGCTCGCCGTTTCTTCCGCATTGGCACGGCGGAGAGCATTCCGTGGAGCTATCTGCGCCGGAACGAGCACACCGGTGAATTGATAAGGGATCGCAGTGGTTCGCCCATTTGGGAGGGCTACTGCGTGGACTTCATCATGCGCTTGTCGCAGAAACTCAACTTTGAGTACGAGATAGTGGCGCCCAACCAGGGACACATGGGTGAGGTGAATGAGCAGGGCCAATGGGATGGCGTGGTGGGTGATCTGGTTCGTGGTGAAACGGACTTTGCCATAGCCGCCCTCAAGATGTACTCGGAGCGCGAGGAGGTGATTGATTTTCTGCCACCCTACTATGAGCAGACGGGCATATCGATTGCCATACGGAAGCCGGTGCGCAAGACGTCGCTTTTTAAGTTCATGACCGTACTTCGGCTGGAGGTTTGGCTGAGCATCGTGGCCGCTCTGGTGGGCACGGCCATTATGATCTGGTTCATGGACAAGTACTCGCCGTACAGTTCGCGCAACAATCGCGAGGCCTATCCGTACGCCTGTCGGGAGTTCACGCTGCGGGAGAGCTTCTGGTTCGCCCTCACCTCGTTCACCCCCCAGGGTGGTGGCGAAGCACCCAAGGCCATTTCCGGCCGCATGCTGGTGGCAGCCTATTGGCTGTTCGTGGTCCTCATGCTGGCCACTTTCACGGCCAATTTGGCTGCCTTCCTCACCGTGGAGCGCATGCAGACGCCAGTGCAGTCGCTGGAGCAACTGGCTCGCCAGTCGAGGATCAACTACACGGTGGTGAAGAACTCCGACACGCACCAGTACTTCGTCAACATGAAGTTCGCCGAGGACACACTGTACCGCATGTGGAAGGAGCTGGCCCTCAACGCGAGCAAGGACTTCAAGCGGTTTCGCATCTGGGACTACCCCATCAAGGAGCAGTACGGCCACATACTGCTGGCCATCAATAGCTCCCAGCCGGTGCTGGATGCCCGCGAGGGATTCGCCAATGTGGATGCCCACGAGAACGCGGACTATGCCTTCATCCACGACTCGGCGGAGATCAAGTACGAGATCACGAGGAATTGCAACCTCACCGAGGTGGGTGAGGTGTTTGCGGAGCAACCCTACGCCGTGGCCGTCCAGCAGGGTAGTCACCTGGGCGACGAGCTGAGCTACGCCATCCTGGAGCTGCAGAAGGACCGCTTCTTCGAGGAGCTGAAGGCCAAGTACTGGAACCAGTCGAATCTGCGCAATTGCCCCTTGTCCGAGGATCAGGAGGGCATCACTCTGGAGAGTCTGGGTGGTGTCTTCATCGCCACCCTTTTCGGCCTCGTCCTGGCCATGATGACTCTCGGCATGGAGGTGCTCTACTACAAGAAGAAGCAGAACACACTGGAGATCACGCAGGTTCGTCCTGTGGGGGATTTTTTGGCGGATTCGGGGGAATCCTCGACAGCTCCGCCCACGGCAACCAGCCTCACAAAGCAGGCCTGGCACATCCCACTGGCATCGAAGGACGAGGGGGAGAAGGAAAAGCTGGCCGAGAAGGAGCAGCGGCAGGAGAAGGTGTCGCCACCACCCTCCTTCGAGGCAGCCACCTTTCGGGGCCGCAAACTGCCCTCCAGGATCACCCTGGGCGATGGCAAGTTCAAACCCCGTCAGGGACTCTACTCACGCAGGAACCTCGGCGCCTCCGACTCCTACAGTGGCTACATGGAATAGGATCCTTCGTTTTGGTTCTCCTCCTGCACCTAGTCCGCAGAAATTGATTGACCGAAAAAAACATTAATAAACTAAATGATTAAACCAGGGACCATAAATGATAATTATTAATTTAAATTAAAAAAATTTGTTTTTTTTATATAGTTTGTTATTTAGTGTTTGACAGTTTGGTGAATATTTTATAGTGTTTTATTATTATTATTATTTCGTCGCTCACAAAAAAATGATTAGTGTTATTACCGAAAAAAAGATATTCATAAAATAATAAATATTTTTGAGCTATATATTTTTTTAAACAACAATTATTTTAACCAAAAATCAAGACGAACCAACAAAAAAATTGAATTTTAATTTATTATTTATAATAATTACGGTCCCGGGCTTACATGTAAAAATCCAACAAAAATTTAACGACTTAATACATTTTCTTGAGTAGCGATATTCTTGAATAAACATTTTCACTAAAACCCCAAATAATTTTAGTTATTATTTATTAAGAATATAGAATTCAAAAATTTCAGCCTTCAATCCCAGTACAAAGAGTATTTGCTTTTAAATTTGAAAAATATTAAACAAATTTAATAGAACCGCTTAATGTAAAGGTTTTTCGATTTTTAAGGAACAAAAAAATAAATCCCAATAAATGAAGTATATGCTTTTAATTTTTAGATTATTTTAGATTATTTGGTTCTTACATTTTAATTTTGTTTTAAGTTTGTGCAGCAACCCCAAGCAATTCACTAATTAACCAATTTAATCGCTGCAATTTATTAAATTTTTTTATGAATTTAGCCATTTGAAAAAGCTATCTATTTTTACAAAAAAAAACTAGTGGCTTGTTACCTAGTGTCGTTAGTCCGTTATTTGTGGGTATATATTTCGGTATATTTGAATACCATCTGAGTGAGCCGGGTGGTATTTTCGTAACGACAGCCGCACGGTCACACTGGCTCGGCCAAATTGTTCTCAACCTTTTTTTTCCAGGTGAAAAAGGAAATGTCTCTGGGTGTTTGAGTGTTTTTCTGATTTTCCGATCAAGGTGAGAAGGTGTGAATAATAGGAACTGTGACGGCGGTGGCGTTAAATCGATTACTGCATTTTGGAGCGCAGCAATTGGTGCCCTTTCATTGCGCGAGGAGTTGCACCAAAGTGCCACGAAACTGGGGGGAAAAGTCGCGGCGAGTTTTCCACAAAATGCGTGCTCCCGGCATGGATGTTAAATCAATAGTGGTGCTGGCGGCACTTTCGGCGCTGCTCATGGCCCCACCGGAGTGTGTGGCGCGAAAACATCACCTGGAAGTTAGGGTAAGTAGTCTCCGCCAGGAGCAAGTGCCTCCAATCTGTAATCTTTGCTTTATGTCCGCAGAATGACAGGCGGCAGTACATTGCACTCAGCACCTTTGGCTTCTACACCAATGGTCATTTGGATGTGCAGCTCAGCAAGCTGACAATTGACCTGGAACAGTCCACGGATCTGGTGGGTTATCCATTCTATGGGTGATCCCTCTCATTAACCACATTTTCCCCTCTCAAAGCTCGGCCTGTCGCTGGACAAGACCACCATTGACCAGCTGAATCCCTACCTGGACTCGCACCAGAACAAGTGCATACTGGAGGAGCCGCCACAAAAGCAGAACAGCGGACCCATACTCTTCTTTGTCCTGGATCTCAAGGAGCTGAAGTGGGATACCCCTTTTTCTTAACCACACTCCCTCAGCTCTTAATCTGTATATTGCTGTATTGCAGGGTCCGTGTAAAATGCTCACCGGAGTGGGCCAATATGCACATATACAACCAGATTCCATCGCGGACCAAGCGCAATTCGCGCATGGCCAAGATCAGCGATTCCGTTCTCTTCCGCCAGACGCGCGAGGCCCAAATGCCACCAGCCTACTCCGCCGAGGGCCCAGATGATTCCATGGACGATCCCTTGGAACAGGAACCGCTACCGGCTGATTTGAAGTCCTCCTCGCCAGCCGCTGCTGCTGCAGTGGCGGGTAAAATTGAGCCGCCCAAGGAGGAGGTGAATGTTGAGGCCCCCAAAGATGAGGCTGCCCGTCTGAATGCTTCTTCGGTCAAGCAAGAAGCGCCTGCCCAACCGGAAGTGGCCCCTAAAACCGAGGAAGAAGCCAGCTTAAAGGTTAAGGATGAACCTCAGCAGGAGGATTTACCCATCAAAAAGGAGGTGGCTCCTGTTAATAAAGAGGATGTGCCTGTTAAAAAGGACGAGGAAAAGGATATACTAGTAAAACAGGAGGCTTCCGCCCCAGTAAAACCGGTAGCCGTGGAAGCACCCAAAGTAGTGGCACCACCATCTGCTCCAGCTCAAGATGTGAACCCTGTCGACCCGGATGCAGCACCGGCAAATCCCTTTCCACACGACGACGACTCCGCGGAGGATGCGTATGGGGCCAGCCTGTTTAAGCAATCGCAGGAGAATCTGTGCAAGGATTCCACAATGCCGCTGGTCAGGGAGACGATCAACGATGTAAACTACTACAGTTTCAACTTCTCCATGCTGGTGGCCACGCCCAGCGACGAGGGCCTGTACAATCTGTACTTCCACGCCTGTCCCAACTACCACAGCTCCAAAATAATGTCTTTTAATGTGAGTTCCGTACATAGGCTATAGCCTAACCAACTAATACGAGTTAACCCAATTCCAGGTGGACATTGAGGAGAACAACAATGGCAACTACTTGTCGGCTGGCGAGATGCCTCTGCCCGCCTTGTACTTCATGATGAGCCTGCTCTTCTTTCTTTCCGGTCTCTTCTGGGTGTTTATTCTGAAGAAGAGCAAGTGAGTTTGGCCAGGGCATCCGTCTCCATGTGTTTTTATGGCATTAACAAATGTGTTTTTTCATTGTGGCAGGCATACCGTGTATAAAATCCATTATTTGATGGCCGTGCTGGTGTTTTTGAAGTCGCTCTCGCTGATGTTCCACTCGATCAACTATCACTTCATTGAGAAGCGGGGCGAGCACGTGGAGACCTGGGCCATCCTCTACTACATTGCCCATTTGCTTAAGGGCGCCGTGCTCTTCATCACCATCGTGCTGATCGGCACTGGCTGGACGTTCATCAAGCACATTCTCTCCGACAAGGACAAGAAGATCTTCATGATTGTGATCCCACTGCAGGTGAGTGAAGCACTAATGTTGGGGCTCAATCGCAATGAATACATTAGTTTACATAACTACTTTATTTCTTGTTGCTTTAACTTGCTATTATTGGTATCAGTAATCAAAGAATGCTAATGAAAAGCAAACTAGTCAATATTTTTATCATACAAACGCCCATTTATCAGGGTCTGATCATATCAGAAAGATAGTTTACTTGTTGAACAAAATTCATCTATTATTATTTGTTCATTATTTATTTATTTTATTAATCAAACAAATCATTAAAATATTAATATTACAAATTATAACATTATTTTTTTATACAAATACATACTTAACAATGTGGTTTAATTATACAAAATATTTTTGATTTTGGATCTTAAAATATATTCAAAGTGACTTAGTTGATAAGTAAATTTGTTATAATTTTTGTTAGATTTTTATTACCATATTTTCTGGAAATTGTTTTACATTTACAAAAAACGGACTATTTCTTTTTGTAACATTACTTATTCGTTATCTGTAATGAAAGCATTCTAATGAAAAGCGAACTGGTCAATAATTTAATTATACAAACGCCCATTTATCATGGTCACGGTTAATGAAGAACTGTTGGTCATAGCAGAAAGATAGGCATTTATTTAAATCGTCAACAAAAGGCAATTAGAAAGAAAAAACATTACAAATGACAAATGGTTAAACAAAAACACCAAATAATAAAGTGACGATCGCACCTTCAAATCCAAAAAACCTCTGATATCAAATTTTGTGACTATTATTTTTTTTTTTTTTATATTTATCAAACAAATTTACTTTATCTTTTATTTAATAAGTTTTTAATTTGGCATTTTGATTCTCAATATTGTGACATTATACAGTAAGGAGACTACGCACACTTTGCGGTGCTTATCGTCACTACGTCCTCAGTCGTATTGAACGAAAGAGTATAGAATACATCGATTGAACACGTTTTGCTTATTTTGTTATTACATAAATAAACGTATCCTTTTGTCGCGCAGGTTCTGGCCAACGTGGCCCAGATCATTACGGACGAGTCGGACCAGAGCGACGCCGAGTTCCGCACCTGGCACAACATCTTCTTCTTCGTGGACCTGCTGTGCTGCGGCGCCATCCTGTTCCCGATCGTATGGTCCATCCGGCATCTGCACGAGGCATCCGCCACTGACGGCAAGGCTGCCATCAATCTGCGCAAGCTGAAGCTCTTCCGCCAGTTCTACATCATGATCGTGTGCTACATCTACTTCACGCGCATCATCGTCGATCTGCTGCAGATGACGGTGGTCTTCCAGTACGCCTGGCTGGACGAGATGTTCCGCGAGATGGCCACCTACGTGTTCTTCGTCCTCACGGGCTACAAGTTCCGTCCGGTGTCTTCGCATCCGTACTTCACCGTGCCGGACGACGACGAGGACGAGGACGTGGTGGAGGTGCTCACCGAATCGGGACTCACGGAGACCGTCCATCGGGTGAAGCCACTGAATCGCAATCATGGCAGCGCTTCCGGCGGCATCACCATCATCGAGGGCAACGACGATGAGCGCGAGAACCTGATTGCGAAACGGGAGTCGAGCCATGAGTACGATTAGGGAGCGATTACAAAACGATCACCCCCGTATTCCCTGCATTAGTCCGTAGTCTATATAGTCCCCGGGGTCTTATACACACTGCATGCAGCATACTACTGCATACACACGTGTGTGTGTGTGTGTGACTCATTTGCTGAGCCAGCAGCTAGTTCTTTAACTATACATTAATACACATATATATATGTTCTATGTTCAGAGAGTGTCTTGCGGAAAATCAAAGAAACAAATGCGATGGCAATGGCGGGTATAATCTCAGTATCTCAGTGAACTTGTATAGGGCAATGTCGGCACAACGTTTGGTGGGCACTTACTGCTCCTCCATCACCACCACTATCAGCTCCCCCTCCAGCGCGCCCGTCCAGCCGGAACCCTTGTAAATATTTAATCAAAGAAGTTAAAGAAATTAATGAACGCTTGCGACACCCATGCCCTTTCCTTGGTTTAAGATATACTTAAAATAAATACACTTATGTAATTACGTATAATTTTATGAATATAACAAAGCTTTAATATGTAAACTTCAGAGTCAGAGTCATTCTGCCTTGGGTCAAAGGTGTTTTGTTTTAAAAGCGATTTCAACTGGCCTAGATATAGTGAGTGCCGAATTTTGGCATAAATTGGATGGTGTAGATCATGTAGGTGCCCACCGAACAGGCAATCTGTTAGAATAATGTTTGAGCTTTTAAGTTGCGACATTTTATGATGGCAATAACTTGTATTTACCCGCGTAAGCAGACTGCAATCCAAGGTGGTTAGGCCCAGGCAATCGATTCGCACCGGCTGGTGCAGAAGTTGCAGTGAAAAGTTTTGAATCTGCAAAGGAAAATGGTTGGAAATGCAAAAGTGCGAATGGAAGCAATGGTACGAAAGCCCACCTGCAGCGAGAGATCGGGACAGCTGCAGCAGACGGAATCTGTGACTATATTATGCAGCTGGTGGGCAATCCGCGGCACAATCACCATGCAGCTCTGCGAGGCGTAGATAAAAGCGGGAATCTCCATCAGGGCGGGCAAGATTAAATAGTAATCTGTAGGGGAAAAACAACAGGAAGTTTTTATTATAAATATTTTACATCACTGTTATGTTTACAAAGCAAATCAAGAAGGAAAACCATAGTAAATGTGCCTCCGGGTGGCGCCATCAGCCGTACTGCAACAGTTTTAGGCTATTATAAAGTACCAAGTGACGTCATAATTAAAACATTCCTAATAACTTGTAAAGTGATTGTTCGATTTGGAACATGTTTGGTGTGTCAATAGATATTCAGCAAATAAACATATACCGGTCAATAGCTGACCTCTACATTGTCTTAGAATGGCTTGACAGAGTTTTGCGATTTAAGGGCATTTAAGTGGGCGTAGCCAGGATTTTTAAGTTCCAAATCTCTAGCACACAAAATAGCCTTTAATTCATAATTTGTAGAACTCACCAATATTGGCCACATTTTTGTAGATGCTGTAGTACATGAAGTAGCAGTCGACGGCGATGCGGATGTTGATGGTAAGCAGCACTGCGAGGATGGAGAACTTGAAGGCGTTCTGGAAACATTTGAACATGTCGTATATGTCGCAATATAATCGCTGCTTCTGCAGCAGTCTGCGGCGCAGAAAAACCTCGAAGCCGGGGAAACTGCGCCCCGTTTCGCTGGCAAATCGAGAGTACTCCGCCAGCAGACCCAATTCCCGCTGCAGTGCGGCCAGCTGCTCCCTGAGCAGCTCCAAGTGCAGCACAAACTGCACATTCCGCATGTAGGTGAGGCACACGAACGGCTCGTAGCTGCTCCAGAACAGCAGCATGTGGCGACTCAGTGGCTGCACCTGCCACAATCCCAAATGGAACACCAGTTCGGTCAGCATCAGCGAATACAGGGTGATCAGAAAGCGACCATACTGATGCAGCTCCTTCCTCAGACTGATCGCACCACCACCCACACTGATGAAAAAATGAAAAGGTGAAAAAAATATCTGGCTTTTCAATTCAACATTTTATATTACAATGGTTTTAATTTAAATTAAATATTTCAGATATTTAAATCTATTTCGAAAATAGTAAAATCATATGTAATATAATACAAACTTAAACTTAAAACACTTGAATATAATAAGTTTAATATGGTTTAAATATAAATTAAAAATTTTAGATAAATAGTCAAATATAAAATTTAAATAATTTCCATACTTAAAATAACTAAAAATAGCAATGTATAAAAATTAAAGCAAATAATTTAAGTATGAAATGCTCGAATTTACTATTTATGTTTTTTACCAGTGCACTTTGTGGGACAACTTGTAGTGGAGCCACCAGAAGTTGGCCAAGGGCCGCTGGCAGCTGAGTGCCTCCAGATAGATGGCCACCATGGCCAACTCGGCGAATACGTATTTTAGGGCATCGTTCACGCAGCCGAAAATGTCGCCGCGAAACAGGAATGGCCAATCCTCGCCGCTGGCCAGGCACAGTGCAATCAGGGCACTCAGCGCGATGAGCAGGAACAGGCTCCAGGCCTTCAGACGCCTCCTCATCCTGGTCGGATTCGCATCCCCCGGAAGGGGCAGTCCATGGAAGCCGAGCCACTGGAAGAGCCGCAGGTGGAACTGCAGGATCCGACCAAGGCGGCCACTCATCGTGGACTGTTTGGCGGCACATCCTTCTGGGCCACCTTATCCCAGGCTCTGATCTCCCCTCAAACCGGGTCACCAATTTCCATTAGCCTAAGTGGCAAAAGCGCCGAGCAGTGAGAAAAATAAAGGTAAATAGTAAACACCATAACACGTACAGCTGCGGTCAACAGAATAGTACACTGAATTAAAAATTACTAAGTCAAAACTATATATCTTACTACTGAACTCATACTATTGTATACATAATATTTAAATTAAATATTGCATAGTAAATTACATATTAAATTGCATGATTTAATATTAAAATATTTAAATTAATGTGGAAAAATATTAGATTTAAGTGCATTTTATTTAAGTTAAATATGATTTAAGTTTGAATTAATTTTTCGAATATTAAAATGAAAGCCAAGAATAGTCATACGAAAAAATTTAAAGAAATGGTAATATTTAAAAAACTAAATAATAACTAAAATCAACGCGAAAAATATTTAAATTGAGTACAAAATATTTGAATTTACTACGTCTATTTTCTAGCTTATGAAAATAGCACTTTCAAGAAATTTTTTTAACTAAACTAACAAAGATTTCTAAAATAGGTTAATACAAAAACAAATGTTTTTAAATTCCAATGCCAAACTCAAAAGCTATGCCTTAAAAGTATGTTTTTCACAAAAATGTTACTACTATTATTTTGACCGCAGCAGTTCTCATTAACGAATTACTTTATTAAAACTGCCTACGTTTTATATCATGTTTTTAAGTGAAGGTTAAATAATTTAAATAAGTAAGTGGTTAGAGTGCAGTACTAAGAGTTATACTTGCAACATTAAAAATGCTAATAGAACAGGTGGAAATCAGTTCAGCAATTTAATTTTTATTTTTACATTTTTATGTGTTTAAATTAAAGTTTTTTGAATTTAAGTTCAAGTGTGGACAGCCTGTTTATTTGTAATACTCCAACTTCTGTTAAAGTGGATATCGATTTGTTAATTTAATGAAACTAATAAAAGCTAGTTATTGAATGAATAGTTCAGTGCAGAAAATTTTATTATAAATTGGGTTGAAATAAAATTGGCGTCTTATATTGCTCTTTATTGTATTAAAATGTAATATTACTTATGTATACAGTTGCCCACTGTAAATATATATACTCTATATTATTTAATCAAAAACCATATGTTTTAGTATTATTTATCATTTATGATCATATGAGAAATTTATGACAATGGGCAATATAAATTAGTATGCAAACCATAAATGTGAGTTAATGTGCTTATGTCCCACTGTACTTGTAGCCCTATTAAATTAAAATTAAGGTTGACCACATAACACAAAGTTTATATATTATCACTAATATTATTTATTGTATATAAGTATTTATATTTTTGTATATTATTATATATAATGAGTGTACAACGAACATTTCTCTCAGTGTTTTATGCATATTTGTATATTTATCATTTCTAATCTTACAACTGACATGATTAACTTACGTAGCTTCGAAAAATGCAATAAATAGATCTTAGATTATGCTGGTCCACCTTAAAATTTATAAATAAGGTACGAGACATTACACAAAGTTCAAAAACCATTTCTTTTATGCATATTTATGTATTCATCATTTATCATTTGATATCTGATGATTAATATAAATGATGAGTGTGTGTTATATCAATTTAGTTTTCAACAAACATTTCTCTTAGTTTTTGTATATTTATCATTTCTAATCTTACAGCTGACTTAAAAACTACGAAAAAAAATGCAATAAATAGATCTTAGATTATGTACTATGCCGGTCCACCTACAGATAGGGCCCACTGTACTGGTAGCCGCCGGATGGATAGCCTTGGACATGGCCCACATTGTAACTATCGACGCCGCTGTATGTCTCCGCGGCGGCACTGTTGAATCCCTTGGACTCGGGCCAATCTACGAGAGAATGGGAATGGGAGTGGGAGTGGGATGGCCTGTGATGCCTGATTGGTGGACCATAGGTGTCCATCGGCTCCTCCACCTCCTCCTCCGCTGGATCGCTGAAGGGAACCTGAACGGATGGCCGGAAGTCGCTGCTACTGCCGGAGGAGTAATCGTATCCATAGGAGGATTCTTGCGGCGCTTCCAGGGTATAAGCTGGTGCTCTATTGGATTTGGAGTTGCGATGCGCCTGACCGTGGCTGTGACTGTGGCTAGGCGGGATGTAGGCGTGACTGGGCGGCGGTGGCGGCGGTGGTGGGTAGACATAGCCCAAGTCGGGCTCCTGGTCCACATGCTCCTCCACGGGAGCGGGTTCCGCATAGTTGCCAATGCCCAAGGAGCGATGATGATGTTGATAGGAATAGTCGTCCTCATCCTCCTCCTCCTCCGGCTCCTTCTTCGCTGGATGGTGGTACTTGGGCCGGGATTCAATCACCCGGTATGTCTCCACACTGGGCTCCTGGTGATCCAAGTAGTCGTAACCGCCATGTGGCCTGCTGTGCTGCTCCTCTATAACAGTATAGGTGTTCACCTTTTTCTTGGGAGGAGCAGGAGGTGCCTTCTTGGCATACGACTCCGCCAGATGATTGGCCAGCTCCTTGGCGTGAATCAGGTAGTCCGTATGCTCGCTCTGGTGCAGCGGCTTGTCCAAATCCGAGAGGATCACGCTCTCCAGCAGGTGACTCGGTTTGGGACGCGCTCTGCCACGATTACGGAGCAGCTGATGGGGATGCGGATGGTGGTGGTAGTGGTGGATCACCTTGTGCGCCGACTCCTCCGCCGACGACTCCCCCTTGGGCACATGCACCTTGATGTGCACATACTCGTTGCCAAATCCCCTGGCCAATTGAAAGGGTAGGATCACGCAGATCACAAGGATCTGCCAGTGGGAGCCCGTAATCCATGCCATGTCGTCGCGTCGAATGGTCATCACCTTATGGCCGCCGCCTTGCCAAAATTGGTTTAAAGTTTTAACCGAAGTCTTTCTTTTGTCAAAATTTATATACACCAGCCAATGCTGGCCAAGACCAGCATCTTGACCTACGGGGCCCCCGGGTGATAGAGTAACACTTGGGCTCGCGTCGACCTTGGAATGCTCTTTTTTACTTTACAGAAAACAATTTTTTTTTCTTGATGCTTGACTCTACTTCATTCTTCAAATAAAATGTTGATATTTTTGTATGGTATTTAATTATGAATCTCCTTAAACATCAGTCAGGAATTGTTTTCTGACATCATATATTATTAAGTTTTTATATTGATGATCTCTTATAAAATGATTTGATTTCCAAAATTCTCCTATATATCTCTTTTCCAGGTTATGGCTTTGAGAGCGTTACCAACCGCATCGGGGAATCGAAAGACCCCAAAAAACCAAAAGCAGGTGAGTGTAAAAGCAGTGAACTGTAAAATGTCATTTTCTTGCACCGTTCGATGGCATCTCACTCACTCGCACTCTCACTCTCATTCTTTCTCTTACTCATTTTATTTCTTTCACTCTGAACTAGCGGTTGTTTTTTTTATTTGTTTTCGTTTTTTTTCATTTGTTTTAACTTTTGTTTTCATTATTATTGAAATGAAATGCGACGCATATGCATACTTTTTTCTAGCCGCTAGCCAAGCAACAACAACAACAACGAAGGAAAGTTAATACAAATTCAAACACAAATTGAATAATGAAAGCGACCTGATCTGTTCGAACTTTTAAAGCTATTCGGTGAAATATAATAGCGTCTGTAGATATGTACATATATGCGTTCATTCATTATTGATATTCTCACTTATATAATATCGGCATATATTTAGCAAATATATTTTTTAGTTTCGCACCGTTTCTACGGTTTTTTGTTTTTCGTTAGTAAACATTTAATTGTGATGCTAATGGGCAAAAATATACTGAGAAAGTTGCGGCGCGGCATCATTATCATGATCATCATTATTATCATTGCGATTATAGGCCACTTTGAAAGCTCTCCCAAATAATAAAAAAAAAAAACAACAACAACAATATAACAAAATAATTAAAATGCAAGTGGCATATGTATGGATTGAATACAATTCGAAATTCTTCGTTTCTTACCCTAAAGCGGTGTACTTGGCAGTGCTGTCATCTTTGGATCAGAAAAATAAGTTTTTTTTACTGGATTAAAAATGAACAAAAAGCTGAAAAATGTTTGAAAAAATCCAGAATAAAGTTGCAAGATTATCGAAAAAAACTGGATGAAATTAAGGTACCATCTGCAAGGGTATATATATAAAAAAAATGAAGCTTGGTCTACAAAAAAATTTAATTTATTCGCGTTTCACTTGAATAATTCGGATATATGGAATTTCTGAACACCGAAACCAATCTATACTACGCTCATGAATATTAATTATAATTCTAATTCGATAATTATTATAGTTCACACGGTTTTCAGTTGGCGTGGAAATTGTGCAAAATCCAACCCAGTTAAAAAGCAATAAATCGAAATGGAAATGGAAAGAAAAGAAAACGGCGGAACAATCGAAAACGTGTTTATATGGACGGCAAACAAAAGCGAAAATATTCATGGTCAGTTGTTGGTAAAGAAGGGAGGGGGGTATATGGGGGTATATCGGGTAATTCTAGCACTCATATTACGTATCCGCAAAAGAAGAGGGTAACAAAATAAGACAAAAACGTTCTATTAAGCCGTAAAGCCTATTAGACGACGACTAATTGTCTTACCAACCAATAGCATTCTAATATAGAATGTACTCTTTCGACAATTAACAGAATGAGCTTTATAATCGCAGAGTTATCTGTGATTAATAGAATCTGAATGTGCCGAGAGCCCTTTTAACCCTTCACCTAATAATTGGTTTAACATATGCAAAATATAGTTGTTTAATAACAGAAACTAAACAGATTTCTCGAAATTTAGGTAATTGGATTGAACAAAATTATTGTAAATGGATTTTATTAAAACCGTATTTATACAGAATGTAAGTCCAACAAGGGTTTAAAAATATTTTCTAATAATTTTGTAATTTGTTTGGCAGCTATACCTATACATTGGTTTTAAATATATATAAAATCATAAAAAATGTATACAATTGTAAAATCAAAAATACAAAAACATTTTCTTTTAGAAGATTATATTATTACCGTTGAAAACTACTAATTTGTCATTTATGTGTGTAAAAAAGTAATCGATCATATATTGATTAAATTAGTCAAATAAAATGTTAAAACATATTCTTGCTGATCTTTAGACAGGCATGTTAGTTGATCAATTAATCGATAATCCACCAATTATAGCAGATTAAGACTAAAGTTGTCAAATAAAATATTAAAATAACTTCTTACGCATTTAGAGAGGAATGTTAGTTGATCAATTAATCGATAATCCAACAATTACCAATTATGACCGATTAAAATAATTGAATTTGTCAGATATAATTTAAAAAAAATTTCTTTCTAATCATTAGACAGTCATGTAGGCATGTTAGTTAAACAATTAATCGATAATAGCAGATTAAGACTAAATTTGTAAAATATAATATTAAAACAAATTCTTACACATTTAGAGAGGCATGCTATTTGATCAATTAATCGATAATCCAACGATTACCAATTATGACCGATTAAAACAATTGAATTTGTCAAATAAAATGTTAAAACAAATTCTTTGCCGATCTCTAGACTGGCATGTTAGTTGATCAATTAATCATAATCATCATAATGAGTAGTGCACTATGTGAACCCGACTTCGGATCCCAGATGTGCTTGGTCGTTAATGGGTTAACTAACGGCCGGTAATCGATAACGCCGCAGCTGCGTTGGCTACTAAGGCGGCAACTGCGGCAGAGGCAGAGGCGGCGATTGCGACTGCGACGGCGACTGCGACGTTTGCCTGTCGAGGCGCCAAAACAAAAAAAATCAGTTTGAGTTCTGCCTTCAAGCGCTCCAGAACAAATCAGCTGGCGTGCCGAACATATACATATATATATTTTTTGTTTTGTTTACAACCTACGTTTTGTTATCATATCAAGTGCAAGCAAGCTTTTTAAAGATAAGAAACGAGTTGAGATCTCAGAACTTCGAATACCGAATTTCAAACTTCCTTTTCGATACTGAAAACCATGTCCTCCGGAAAGATCCTGCCACGTCGCCAGGCGGTGCCAGTACTCTATACCAGGGGCACCCACTATGAGGTCGGATTCGATATGGTAAGTACACCCTACTCCCGCCCCAAAAAAAAAAACTTTCTCGACCTTTAAGAACTCGCCTTCAATTTGTGAGTGGGTCACGACAGCTACATTTTTAATGGCTTAGGGGCTATTATTGGGAGTTCATTTGGGGAAGAACCTGGTCAACTCATCTTATAACACATTTTTGACACAGTTTTTTAAACACAAATACATATCACATGAAAAAAATATAATTAAAATACGTTTTCTTTAGTTTATGAACTATAATTATTATCATTCGAGAAAAATTACAAAATTAATTAAACTACCAAATACTTTGGTTATTTTGCCGTAGTTTATATGGCAATTTAAGTAATTAACTAAAATTCTTATTTCTCTAATGAACGTTTTTTATGTTATAAAGGGTAATAACCTATTTAATTATTACTTTATTCAATATATTTTATAAACTGGTTTAAAGTTTCAAATACACAGAGAAATTTAAATCCTTAAATTTGACTTTTTGGGTTCAAAATCAGGATTTAAACATATTAATAAGAAAAATAAAACATTTAAATTGAAAAAGAAGAACGAGTATTAAAGCATTTGTATAAAAGCAATTTATCTAAAATATTTCCTAGTTATTATTTTTTGTGTACTAACCACAAAGCTTTATATAAATTACTATAATTTCTTTATTAAGTTTAAGGCAGGACACAATTTCCACAAAAGGGCTGATTCTAGAATCACTTAAAAATTGGTTACCGATGGAATAGAAAATAAGTACCTAATGCACTTCTAGTGGATCACACATATATCGACTTTACCTGATAACCCGCTGCTTTATCTGGAATGCGATCGTTATAAACTAAAGCCAGTTGGGCTTTATCTTAATGGCTGTCCCCCCAAAGACCTCGGTTCTTGATTCGTTTGACAAATCCGCAGCCCAGACGCTGTTTACTAATGCAGATTCGTGATTCTCGTGGCTTTGTCTAACTGTCTTTTTTTCCGGCCAATCGGGCCAAGAATATTTTCTACACTAAAAGCAATAAAATAATAAAATCATTAAATCCTGGTGACACTTTCTGATTTCTTATAATAAAAAAAATAAATAATTAAATAAACAAATACAAGCAGAGAAAAAAACTGTCTATGGAAGTAATAAATACTTTAAAAATTCTACATATATTACAACATAAATTTATGCTTATATTAAACAAAATTTTAATTATCTGAAATGTTAAATATTTATATATATTTAATTTTAAATATTTTATATATTTTAAAGAAGAGAAATAAATACTGTCTAACATTTCTAAAGCTATTAAATAATAGATTTAAGTTGTACAAAATGTTCCTAAATAATTATATGATTGTTTTAAACAAAATTATAATTATTTTTAAATTTAAAATATTTTTCAAAATAAATTAGAATTTTCGTATTCCTCACTTCAAGAAACACATCACGCAGTTCAGAGAACTTTAGCTTGAATAGGGATATTTTTTGTGTTGGTCGTTAATGAATATTTTATATTTTTTGATGGACGTGCCTTTGCATCCGTGTTGTCCACTTTTGTCGCCATGTCTGGGACCCACCCAACAGAAAGGTTACCGCCAGTCAAACTCCATACACTTTGCATCGGCCAACGTTCTCCAATATATATATTGTATAATTATTCATATTTTTTGTGTCTTAGTTGGTGGCTTTGTTTACACTGCGATCGGTCGTGATCGATTATGTTTCTGTTTCTGTTTCGACTTCATTGTTTTTGTCTTCCATTAAGCAAACACCGCGAGCGTTTTGGCGAATCGATCAGAGATCGTGTCCAAATGGGAAAGCATCTAAACGTTTTGAGTAACATAATACGAAATAATAATAATTTAATTGCAGGGCCGCACATTCGGGTCGATGATCAAGAACTTTCTGATCTTGTCGAAGCCTCTCAACGAGACCTACTTGCCGCTCTACCAGTCCCCAAAAGGCAGTGAGTACTCTAAACTGTTGTTTGAGTGCTTTATGATTCACAATGATCTATATTTGTTCACGATGATCTATATTTCGATTTCGATTTGCAGGGCAAATATATAACGAGACCCTTGGATCGGTGAAGGACAGCTTCCCGCAGTATATTCGCGAATTGGAGGGCGTGGCCGATGGTGCGGAGGTGGAATTCCATAAGGTGAGTAGAAGTGTCGATGCGAGTCAACTAATTGGCGCCCAACGGGGTATTAGCTCATTAGCTCATTAGCTATTTGGCTGCTAAGCTAATAATATAATACAAAATTAAATGGCCAGTAAAACGAATTCACACATAATTGCCCGGCTTAAATATTGTAATTGCAATTGCATGGCAAGGCCTGTCGTGGGAGTGGGCTCTAAGTTCTAAGTTTTAAGTTCTAACGGGTCTATCCGTAGTAGTGCCCATTATCCAATCCTAAATAAACAAAACAAATCAAAACCGCCACGAGCTTCGTGTTGCGTGTTGCGTGATTCGTGCTTCGTATTTGCAGTTGTTGGCAAGTTGTAACCCCAATGACAACATTACTATAAATGCAATTTGCGAGTGCACTGCCCCACGTACAGTGCTAATTGCCTACGGTGACTGCTGTTTGCCTCGGCCTATTCCATATTTATGGGTTCGATCGGGTGTTATCTAATCGCCGGCTCGTGCAATTAGATGTTCGACTTAAATTCCGTTTTAATTAATTCTATTGTGCAACAGGTCGGTGAGAACAGTGGACAGTGAACAGTGGTAATTAGCCAGTGCTCACTGTTCTGCGCAAACAGAACTCGAAATGGTGACCGTGCAGAGCGCAGACATTGAACTAGTTCCGTTTCGGGGCCTCGATATTGATACATAGAGTATGATAGTCAGCCGGACTTTTTGCCAGCTGACTGTCTCTTTCTTAATTTATACACTTTTGTTGGGGGTTCATATCTATCATAACTGTGCTGTAATCTAAAGACCCATAAGGTTTCTTTTTCATTTTTTTCATTCGATATCTATGCTATAATCTAAAACTATAGATATACATCACTACGTTGGTAAAAATACTATAATAGTAGTAATATGGTAGAAATTCATCATTATTGTGAGGCAGTGGACCATTTTATTGAACTTCAAGGTACTTTTACAAAAAAAAAAAAAAAAAAAATATTAATAATACAACTTGGGATGACAGCCCTAAATGTTTAATGTTTAGTTCTCATTCAGCAAGGGTATTCAGTTGGCACCATTGATTATTCTCGTATTTTTTTAAGCCAATTTGTCATTGGTCAAGGCGCACACACATTTAAGTAAAAAGCCGTCAAGAGAAGCCGGCGAAAGACGATGACAACCCTTTGTTGGCTTCTTTGAATTGGGATTCGATTCGATTCTTTGAATTTAAATTGGGAGTGGATTTGTATTGGAAATGGGAATGAGATTGAAGTGAAAGCCATCAATTAAACGGGCTTATTAGCATGGCTACACTGATAAAAAAAAGGGAATAGTAAATATAAATATCTGACTAATGAATTAAACATTTTATTTTCAATATTTAGTACAATGCATATACAATTGCATTATGAAATATTAAAATATTTTAATTAATGTAGAGTTTGGTTTAAATTTTATTATTTAAGTTAAATATGGTTTCAATTTAAATTGAATTTAATAATAAAATCAATTTCGAAAATAGTCTTATGAAAAATATAAAAAATTTTAATACATTCATGTTTAAAATAACCAAAAACCGCAATGGTGAAAATCAAAGCGAAAAGTATTTAAATAGAGTACTACATTTTTTTCAACCAGTGTAAGTAGATTCGCCATGGGCAGAGGCAGATAAAAATCGAAGGGGGATAATCTGCTATAATTTCGGCACTCGGCTGCGATGCCAATTAATTGCACGCAAATCGCAGCGACCTTGGCCAAGTATACATCTACTTCAACGTAGATGGCCAGATTCTATGGTCACGGTGCGTCGCACCTCATTGTTGGTGGGATTTCGATTGGGATTGATCATTATGGCGCCCAGGTGGTGGCTTTTTATAATTCAAATTAGCCGCATTAGGAGTGCATTAAAATTGACGATCTTGTGAGCCGCACTTATGTCTGGCAAGTGGGCTATAGCTAAGTCATGATAAGCAGGTTGACTTTGTATGCAACGGGGATAAACTACTCTAATTGTTCAAAATTTATTGCCCGCCTTCATTAAAGTTGTTAATTAATATATTAGTAATGATCTCTTTCTAGGAAAAGCTTTGAACATTTCCTTTTAATTACTTTATATGCTTACTTCTAAAACTTGATTTAAGGAAAGATCTATATTAATTTAATTAATTTACCTACTTACATGGTACACTTTATTTAATTCATGTGCCTTTTAATTTAAATAAATGTATTTGCTAAATAAAGAATAATGTAATGTTTATTGCTAAAAACATAACATACTAAAACAAAATAAATAATTTGTAACAATTCTGTAAGTATGTTTAGAAAAACGACATTGAATTTAACATTAAAATAAGATAAACATAAATTATTATTTTTATAGACCCAATTATTATTCATCAAAATTATATTAAAAAAAACTGGTTTAAAAAAAAAACAGCCAAATTGCATCTGTTTGTATTGCTAACGATTAAATGCATGTGTTTAGTGGTCTCACTTTAGTTTTTCCTTTATATCTCAGCTATTTTTACTGCATCTGGACGAGATTCTGCCGCAGGCATTGAAGCACCAACCACGCAGCAAGAACCAACCCACTGGATGCTCCACTATTATTGTCAACCAAAAGAATTGCGTAAGTACAGGGAGAAAAACAGAGCAATACCAGTCTGATAGTATTTTTCATACCAAATCAATGTTTTTCATTTAAATTGAGCACAAATGATCCAACAAAATGTTATAAAACTTGAATACTGTACTCAAGTTTTTAAAATGTAAACTGATTATGAAAACTTTGCGAAAATTTCAGTTTAATATGCAAATATACCAGCATTCTATAGTACCATAAAAATTGGTTAAATCTGCTATGAGAAAATACCAAGATAATATGTATAAAAATATCAATTTCTTTTGTTCGTACATATCAAATATGCCTTATTTTTGTTGTTATGCAAATATACGCAATAGATGACTAGATTTGATACTTATTTTTCTCTCTGTGTAAAGCACTTATATTGCGTATGTTTTGAGTGTATTTTTAATGTGTGAATTTATTATTATTAGCGCCTGCTGGGCCACACGGAGGATGCCCTGACGGAGACCCTCAACCATTACTACTTCGTGGTGGCCCACATCATCAGCGACAAGCCGCAGGGCAAGTACAACGTGAAGGAGGAGCACTTCATGTCCCTGTGCTACGCAGGCCACCTGCCCGGCTACACCATGAGTCAGAACCACCACGGACTGGTCTTCAGCATCAATACGATCAGTGCGGAGCTTTTGCGCAGCGGCAAGACCCGTAAGTACCCCGAAAAGCCACTTAGTCTATGAAAATCTACACCAAAGTTCAGTTTTAGCTTTTAAATTGAACGTTAAACAAACTATTAGTTCGTTATTCTTGACTTGACCATTTCTTAACTTTTAAAGCTTAGTTTACATGTGTTATTATTTATTATAATAAATATATTTTATATCATACAATTGGTATAATTTGAGATCCAAAAGGAATTTGTATTTTATTGTCACCAGTATACAAAACTATAAAATACATTTTATTTGGCTCGTAATAAATTTAATGTTCAATGTTTTTAAAAGTTTAAATGTCGCTAAAAAAATTAAGATAATGATCCTATAACATTATGTTATGCCTCGTTAAGCTTGTAATTCATTTCAAAAATATATACATTTTTTGTTTTGTATTTATATCAGTTTAACTATGTTATATTTTTTATTTATATTAAATTTCCCGCTCAGCTCGTCACTTCATCACCAGAGCCCTGTTGGCCACCAGCAATGTGGACGATGCTTTTAGGGTGCTCAAGGACGCGGGAGTGGGAGCGGCGGATGCCTGTTCCGTGAACTTCACCTTCCTTGCGTGCGTGTGATGTGTGCTTGTGCTTGGAATTTGCATTAATAATTCAGTTTGCCTACCCAACAGCGATCCGCGACACATGTGCTACAATGTGGAGGTGGCTCCCTCGCCGGAGCGAAAGAACGAGTCCCATTTGAGCATCAAGGAGATTCCCTTGGGGGAGCATAATTACCATGTCAATCAGTGAGTAGATCGGGGAAACTATGAAGGCTATAAGGGCATAATATCTGCTATTAACTGGCGGCACAATCAAAAAAACCGAATTTAGGATAGCACAAAAATTGTAAAGCCCTCAGGCTTTAAACAAACATTACTCATACGACACGTAATCCACCCTGATTTTTCTTTTTCCCATTTCTAAAATTGCCAGTCTTGTTAGTCTTGCTTTGATAAAAGTCTAATTATGGAGAACAAAAGTTGAATTTAGCCACCTAGATGTAAATACATTTTTTATCAACGGCAACAGTACGTATACGTGATAAACTTTAAAACGCGATTTTCTAACAATTTGTTTCGGTTAGATCTCAATTTTTATTTATTTTAAATACGAAAATATTAATATTTTTTTTCTCCTTTGACCATTTTTGAAATTGATTTTAATATGTGAACATTGTTTTTGATAAAATGGAAAATTAATTAACATATGAACCATTTTAAATCTGTTGTTCTCCACAATAATTAAATTATTTTGTGCATGCAATTTCGTATCCCTCCCACCCTTTGCAGATTCGATCGCATCCGGCAGGACCAGGCCAACGAACTGATGATCGACTCGAGCATCTCGCGGATGCGGACCTTCGGAACGTACAAGCCGCCGATGAGCGAGCAGGATGTGCGCCACATGCTCGGCGACGTTTCCGGCGGAGAGTACTGCGTGTGGCGGGAAAACAGAAGGTGCGACGAGGTGGTCAAGACCATTGCCGTGGGCATCTTCGATCTCAGCGGCAGGACGGTCTCCCTCTACTCGGACAATCCCAGCGAGACGGAGCCCCACTGCCGCCTGCCGCTCCTCTTCAAGTAGACTCTGCTGCTGCTTAACCACTCTTAAAAGTTATTATTATATTTCACATTTTCAACATATTTCCAACACTTTCCAAATCGTTTTTTTTTTGCAAATCTCTTATGGGATTTTGACACTGCATTGTTGACCTCATTTCCTTGCTCATTTATGTTTTTAACTATACGATTTTACGTAAGTGCGAGCAAGACAAACGTATTACGATTCCGATGAGCAATGAATGAAGGAAATTGACAGAAGCCGATACCTGATAGTAAAATACTAGACGGGATTGGGTAATAAAAATAACATTCGATAAAATACCACCGGGGCCGATACATCAATGAGCAAAATTGTATTTAAAAGTACAATTTTGGTCATTCATACGGGTATGACAGTACATTGTTCGCCTCATTCATTGACGGATTCATTGAAGCTCAGAGACAGAGACAACTAATGCATACTGCTTTAGATTCTTTTGGCAATAAGTTCACGGTCACACGTTATATTCAATCTTTTTTGTTACATTTTTAAGGATTTCAATTGTTTCCTTTAACTGGTAACAAATATTTCATATACATTTAAGCCTAGCTTTTTTCTTCCGTTTTGTCGTCAACTCCAATCAATGAGCAAAATTGTGCTTTTTAAATACAATTTTGCTCATTGATGTATCGGTCCCGGTGGTATTTCATCGAATGGTATTTTTATACCAAAATCCGGTATATATTTTCTACTATCGGGTATCGGTTCTGACAATTTTCATCATCGAGTAATGTTGGTCACCGACTTCGAAAACACCATTTTGAGCTTGTACTTTCAAGCTCTTTAAAACGCCTTTTAAAATTTACGTGTAACTTCCAAAATATTCCCCTGAACGATTTAACATTTTTTGTGTGTATTCTTCAATGTACATAAACTTCGAAAATAAAATAATAAAAAATAACGGATAAGAAATCCTTGCAATGAAACAAATACCTTAAGTGAGTTTCGCTGATAGGATTTAAAGTTGCTCAGAAGCAGCTCCACACATAATTTGATGGTACGGGCTTAAACACTCCGACAACTCCGTTTTATCTACGGCAAAAAAATATTATACTTTTTTCATTCATATCCTTTGGATTGAAACTATGATTTTTGGTCATTTACAACTGCGGTTCATGAGGACTTAGGTCTAATCATCATTTCAACGTAGGTGAGTGATATTGTCCAGTAGTTGTTCTGCCATGAGCCCCAGTATATTCCGTTCATTCTGTGTTCATTTGATATTTGTCCATCTTTATAGTATTTTCCACTGAGGAAACTGCAATGTTAGGAGGTTGATTTAGTAACAATGAATTACATTTTAATTGAAATTGTTTTGTACCTAAAACCACAACCGCCATACCACCAACCGCCGTTTTCGTCTTCAGCGCAGTTTCCATCGTTATATTCGTCACTATCCCGATCAAATGTAGTGAACTTTTTGTTCTTATTGCGAAAAAGGGAGTCTCCGGCTTCACCCGAATATTTCCCAAGACTCTTCAGCTCATACAATTCGTCCTCACTGCCAATTCGAAAGTCGTCATAGTGAGCATAGCTGGTGGACCCATTAACCTTCCCAAGCTTAATGTAGAGTTCGTGGGGCCGTGCCTCAGTCAATTGATGCAACTTTTCCAGGCCAATGAAAAATTCTCCCTTAACGTTTCCAAATCCTTTTTTATAATCAGCCCAGTTTCGATCGAAGTTCTCGGATCCGTCGATCCGTCTCTGAATTACGGTCCAGCCAGGTGGAGACGACGAACATGACACTTGAAATGGTTCCATCTCATCGAGTTTTAGTCGGCATTTCGAGAGCTCATTGGACTGGTTAAGTTTTGCTGCTTCAATCGATTTAATCTGATTCTTCAGTTCCGCGATTTGGTCATCTCTATTTTTGAAGCCTGCATTGATTTGTTTTTTTTGCGCATTGATAAGATCTTCCTGGGTTTTGATTTGAGTCTGCAAGCTTGCAATAGTCTCTTTCATAGTATTTTGGCACTGGAGTTTATCTTTGGCGTTGACTGCTGTATTGAGCTGTACAAAATGATACGGGCATTAAAACACTAACCATTCATGTCCTTCTGCAATTTTGTCAGTTTTTTGTTCAGTTCGCAACTTACCGCCCTAAGGTGGCTTTCGATTCCGGCTAATCTCGCTCCGTAATCATTTTGCTCCTGGATCTTACAGGAATCTAGCTTTGTATGTACCTCCCGAAGCCCTGTCTTGAGATACAAATCCAGGACCTTCTGCCCTGCTTCGATGCCATCCAACCTGCTTCGGATATTATTAGTTTCGTGAAAGAGCGGATGTAGTGCGCTCAGGCAAAAGGAGTGACTACAAGAGTCTACAAGCGATCCTTGAACGGCAAGGACAATACAGAAAAAAAATAGTGGCAGCCTCGGCATTTTGATTTAATATTACCGACGAAGTATAAGCTTGGGAACGTACTGAATCGAGGTATTTGTTGAACAAACAACAAAGACTCTCATATTGCTGATCACTAAAATAAGCCCCACAAGCATATATGTACGTACATATGTACCTAATAAAAATAGCAGGATTGAACTGGATTGACAAAATATTTGTACAGTGACTCAGAGTTTATTTAGATCAGAATTATTCGGTTTTTCCGTTTAAGGCTTGCATTCGAATTACCTACAGAAAAAAACTGATAACGTCTAATGAATGAGTCCAGTCTCTTGGTAAATTTGTGACTTATCAAAAATAAATATATAATAAGAGCAAATATAACATCCGTTTAAATGTTATTGTCTCTCTGGATTTTTTCAAGAAAAGATTCATTTTTATGTGTACATATGTATGAACAAATGCAGGTCAAAGGTCAAGACAAAAATTATTACTTACATTTGGGACTCATCAAAATTCAAAAGGGATACAAAAAATAAAACATCCGTTTTGACGATTGCAATAAGCAATAAATGATAAACAAATTTTACAAAAATATTTGCTTATTTTGGGAAGTTAAAGTTTCTGTTACTTTATGAATTTTGTGTTTTAATAAATAATTTTTCGTAAAACAGACATTATAAATAACAGTTATATTGGATGTTTAAATCAGAGTTTTTATTAATTTATTTAAAAACCAAATAGTTTATACCGTTGAAAAAGTAAGCTTGGCTTGGAAATAAAACTTCAGTAAAATCAAGATATGTTGAGAAATACAGATTATTATGTGAGTAACTTAGGTAATGTAATGTAAAAATGATTTAAAAATGTGTGTTAAAAGCTTTAGAGCTTTCAATTGGCGGTAAATTAACCTGTAAATTACGACAATCGTCGTAAATTTAAAATTTGTATTTATTCCTAAAGCATTTACCAATGAAAGTGTCTTTTTGAAGTTTTAATTTAAATTAACCCAAAGACCATGGCAACCCTGTGACCAGGGCTGCATAAAGAGAATAGCCTATCGATCGCTTCAAAAGCCAACCGCCAAATTTAAATTGAAATTTAATTTATTGGTGACTTGTACTCATTTTTTTGCGTTCAAAAAACGAAAGACCCTTTTCTATGTTCTTAACTTGCTTTTATTTTTTTCGTTTTCGATTTAGCTGGTTGGTCTTAGCCCTGGTCTTGACCCAAAAATGATAAGCTCAGATTTTTGGCAGCTTGGTGGCCACGACGAGGGGATTGTCGCGCCTGATCTCGTTGGCCCCCATTTCGCGGTAGTCGAACTTGCACTCATGGCGGTCACTGTACCGGTGGGTGCCGCAATAGGTGCCGCCGCATCGGCAGGGGAAGCCGCCGGTGAGGCCGAGCTTCTTGCCGCACTTGTCGCAGCGCTTCTTCGGCGCATCCTGATCTGGATTGGTATGCTGATCTTTTTGGTTTTGGTCCTGATTCTGGGCCGCTTCATTGCTGGTCGCCGCCTTTGAGTCCTGCTCCTCCTCGGCTACATCCTGATGTTGCTGCTGCTGTTGCTGCTGCTGCTGCTGCTGCTGCTGCTCCTCCTCCTCCTGATGATCCAGATGATCCTCCTCCGCCAGGACAAAGCCTATGCCCTGGCCATGGATCCCTGCCGCATCGCTGCTGCCAATGATGGATTCTTTCGGTTGGCTTTTCATTATTTGCAATGAACCGAATCTCTCAGCAGAGCTACACGTTTCATAGGTTCTATTGTAACATATTTTTGAATTTAGCAACTAAGACCTACTGAGTTATCGTTAGCAGGCGCTCTCAGAAAACCTAGCTGCCTACAGATTGCTAACATGTCATAAATATATCTTAGAATACCATATTATTTAACTAAGCATAATGAAATATATTTTGTATTCATAATATAATAACAATTTAAATCTATGTACTTAAAAATATGAATGAATACTGAATACATTTATTTTTATTAATATGTTTATAATAGTATTAGCTTAGTATTTTATTTCTTAAGTATAAGAATTTGGTTTTCAGGGCTTATTACCGCGAAAATTTCCTTTATTTCCGGAATAAGGAATGTAGCCGTAAGTTAAAGGTAATTTTTTAGGTAACTTTAAGGACATGTTTGGTATGTTATTTCTTAAATCAAGGAATTTTTTCCCAAAATCAAATGTTTTTTAAATTTTTTATTTATTTTTTTTTAGGCATTTCCATTGATGACATCGGACATGTGGCGCTTGTACCAGTCGCCCACTGGCGTGGCCATCACACAGGTGAATGCCCGGAAGCACCAGTCGACCACTGCCTGAGATTCCGATACCGAACCCGATCCCCTGGACCTCGTCTTCGCATTGCACCCGTTGATGGCGGGCATCGCCTGCTCCACATTGAGGCGTCGCTCGCCGCCGAAACTCTGGATGATGCGCTGGGCCTGGAACCCGGAGGCGTCCTGCCAGAGCTGCAGCCGCGTCCAGAAGCAGTGCAGGTAGAGGCGCACGTGCGCAGCGTCCCCGTACTGCATCTTGTCCAGCTGGAGGCGCTGGGCGGGAGTGAGGGCACGGGAGCACTGATCGCGGGCGCGCAGCAGGGCCAGCGACTGCGAGGAGCGGATGGCCGTGACCTTGGGCGGTGCCACGCCCTCCAACAGCAGCAGTGGCAAAAAACACTGAAAACAACACATAGAACACGTTATATGTTGTGGTTTTTGTAAACAATTTTAACGGTTTAAATGATTTTTTACGATTTAATGACCGTGGAACAGCATTAAAAATCCATTTGTGAAGAAGAACATTTTAAAGAGAGTTCTTTTTTTATAGTGCTAAATAATTTTTCGTCACAAATAATGATATAATGATAATGATAATGATAAATTAATTACATCAACACTTAAGATTTGTTGGCTTTTATAAATTTAGCTTAAACATTTTTAAAAATTTAATTGTTTTATGTAGCGTTAATAAAACTGAAACCATTTTCGCTTCTAACTTTTATGAGACAGTTTAAAGTACTTGTTTTAGTATTTAGCAAGAAGGGGTTTTGTTGTGATTTTGTTAAACATTTTAACATGTGAGGAAATCAATTATAAATTTTTCTATAAACAATACGAAACGTACTTTGTGGCCTTGGCCATCTAATAAATCGGTCAGTGAAACCGAAAGCCTTATCACTCGAAAAGAGGGCAAATATGAGCCAACCGATGCGATAATCCCCTGAAAAAGATGCTCGCTAATTAGGCTCGCTGGGATGGCGTCTGGTCTAATCTGGGGGGTACTCCTATATAAAATCAATGCATTCCCGGGCGATCCATCAGTTTGTCTTCGCGCCGCAAGCAAAGTGAAAGCAATCCGCCATGTTCGTCGCCAAGATTTTGCTACTGTGCACCGCCTGTGTGCTGGTCAGTGCCACGCCCCACGGATTTGGGGGACCCATGATATTGGGCGGCCCCAGGACTCTGGAGGGTGAGGATCTGGCCGCGGCCCAGCAAACCCTACAGTCATCCCTGACTAAGCTGGCCACTGGCGATGGACCCCACTACCGGTGAGTAGTCAAAACTACTTGGCTTTTTATTTCTTTTGCTCAAGTTCCCTAAGCCCCAGTGCTGGAAAATACCTAGATTCTTATGAGAAGGTACATACATATAGGTAACAAAATGTGGTACTTTTTACTTCATCTATAGCTCAACAAATATTTGGCTACCTTGTAGCTTACCTAGGTAAAGTTTGTTCTTAAAAAATAGCTGATCTACGTTTTTAGGTACTGAAGTTTTGTTTGAATTTTTGTTTTCGAACTGGCCAAATTTAATTTTTATCGTATTTTCTAAATTAAAGATTTTGTTATTTTTAATTTATGCAGGTACAGATTGTTTATTTGCGAGTATTGCTTACATCTTTAAAACCCGTAGCTCTAAGTCACAGTATTGGTTAGTACCTAGACACTCTTAACTAGGTACATTACCTATAGGTCAACAACTACCTCTTAAACGACCTACAGATTTTTATGTACACTACAAAAAAAAGCTGAGCTACGTATTTAGGTATTGAAATATATATATTTATGTTTTTCTTTTAAGTATTTTGATCTCCCAAGTACCCCGTACTTTAACTAGTTACAAAAAAACTAGTCAACTTTTATAACACTGCTAATAATTTATAAATATTTATTGTGTACTTTAGCATCTCAAGGATCCTTTCGGCATCGGTACAGGTAGTTGCCGGCTCCAAACACGTTTACTCCGTGGAGCTGATCGACAACAAGGGTGCCACCAAAGTGTGCGATGTGGAAATTTGGTCCCGATCCTGGCTTGAGAACGGAATCGAAGTGACCTTCAAGTGTCCCAACGAACCAGAACTGGTTAAAAAACATAGTGCATAAATAAATGTTATTGTTTAAACCTTCTAGCAACCGAAATACGTATCTATTTAACAAAGCAAAACATCTTGCCATTGATAACTGATCTGCCCCTAGAAATAGATTTGTCTTCAAGGCTACACTGGTAAAAAAAGGAGGAGATCCAAATATTTCGTTCTCAATTCAAATGTTTTCGCTTTGATTTTTATCCATTTTGGCTTTTTTAGGTTTTTGAAATTGTTAAATATTAAATTTTTTGTTTGGCAATTATCGGAATTGATTTTAATATCTGAAAATTTTAATTTAAATTTAAACCATATTTAGCTTAAATAAAATGCCTTTAAATAAAATAGACATGATTTTAAATCTAATATTTTCCACATTATTCATATTATTTTTAATTTTAATGACTTATTCATGCAATTTAAAATGCATATATGTATATATTTATATTTTCCGTTCCTTGTTTTTATCAGTGTAGTCTTATCAGCAAGATTAATAGTTCTTGATCCCGCAAATCGCAAATTGCTCATCACCACACAAATATAAATATAAATAATCTGTGTTTGCCTATGAAAATTGAAGATTTCACAAAAAAATAAAAAAATAAAGTTTTTTTATTATTTATTATTTTTATTATATTTACACACATTTCAAGTAGACTTTCTTCTAACTTGGGAACGCTCAAAACATATTTGTTAAGGTATTTTTGGTTTGACTAAGGGTATTTTCTTTACTATTACCCTCGATTATTACTTTGGGTAAACTTTGGTTTGCCGGCAATGATCTAATAAAACTAGAATAGCCGCAGATGCATGACCCATGTGAATAATGCCCTGAATCTCCGCTGGCAACCGGTTTGCTTGCCCATACAGACAATACAGTTGTAACAGTTGTCAGTGGGCCATAAATGGGCCATAAATCTCATTTACTCACCCTGAGCAACCAGATCTGCGATCGCCGTGCCATTCTGATGGAGATCTCCTCCGTTGCAGTCGCAAAGCTGGACTAAGTGCTCCAGAAATCGGTGGGATGTCGACACCCCTATCGGCTTGGATATGACTTTACTTGCGGTTACTTTAAATATATCCATAAAAAAACCAGATCAAACTATTTAAAGAATACAACTTACACCGACAAGTAAAAAAATATCTGCCTATTGCATTCAAAATTGTATGTTTAATATTTACATTAAAATTAAAATACATGCTAATTGATGTGGAAAACATAAGATTTTATTTATTTAAGTTACTACGTTTTTAACAAGTGTAACTTTAAAACAGGTATGTATATCTATATTATTTTATACAAAATATATTTTAAAGGTTGCCAATAAAACTAAAGTTTTTAACAGGCATGTATAAATATGTTTTAAGGTAAAGAAAGAAAGATGTTTTTCCATTTTAGGCAAATATTGAAATTCTTGCGCTATAGCATCTGTTTTGAAAAATGAAAATGTTTTTTCAAAAGAGCACTTGGTAAATCGATATCTGCTTAGTTTTTGGGGCGAAATTGGCAGTCACAGCTGCCGTTCATCATCTGTTTTATGTTAGCACATAGGTCGCCGATATATATATAAATATGTGTGTAGTATATATGGATCATGATCATCCGCAGATCATGTGCATATGGAACGCAGCAGGAACATTTTCGTAACATTCCACGGCCGCATTTGGCTTGTAAACAAGTTTTTCCCTGCCACATCTCGTCTCGTCTCCTCTCGTCTCGATTGGACTTTTCTTCAGGTGTGGACTGGGAATCGCTATCCATGACCAGGCCAAATCCCCATCCAAATCCAAATCCAAATCCTCACCCATATTAACAGCCTCACCCACAACCACATCCGCTGAAACCAGAAAACATGGCCTGTTCAAAAGCAAATCAAATCGAATTCGATTCGACAGGCAACCGCAAACGAGAGCAATAAAATTGATTGCGTTTAAGTGTATTAAAATCAAATGCGAAATTCGCCCAAAAAAGACTTTGGGGGGCTTTGAAAATGTCCATGCCGTGTAATTGGCATTGAGGTGAATGAAGTTTGGCATTCCCCTGATGACCGCCATCTGCCCGGTAAAATATTAAAAAAAATATTAGCAAAATATTAGACTCATCGGTTTTTCGAGATCTTTGCCACTGCCTCGAAAAAAAGGTTAAGTTTCAAAGTAAATTATAAATTTAATTTAGTTTCTTACTATTCCCTTAAAATAGCATTATTGGCATTATTAAAATGCGTTTGTAAAATAATACGTAAAATTCGGCTCATAAGCTCACTGCCAAAAAGTGTGCTATACAATACATGTTGATAAATTACAAAATATAGTTTATTAAAATATATAGTTTTCTTGCACAATAACAGGAGGCGACATAAAAAACAGTTTAATTCGTTACTTATTATTATTATATTATTACTAAAATTAGTTTTTAATTGCCGTTTATTTGATTAAATGTTACCATGCAATTTTTAAGGCCATATGCGAATTTAGTACACTGCATACTTATTTTCTATAATTTTTTATTTGAGATTGGATAAAACTGGTAAAACCTTAGCAATTTGCAGATAACTATTTAAAATTTTTTTTAATTTCAGTGATGTTTTTTTTTCCTTAAGGAATAATTTATATGTAGTATCATAGCGAAATTGCTTTTCACCCAAGGGTGAAATAATAATTAACTAAACATATAAATTTGGCTACACCCCTCATTTTGATTTTACTCGTGTCTGGGTTCTTAGAAAGCAATTCAACTGAAATCGAGTGCGTTATGAGGTAAACAAACCATTTCCATTCATGTCTGATGATATAAAAATATATATTTGTCTAAAACACTATAAAAATAAAGAGTATCAATATAATACTCAATGCATAGTAAATTGCATGATTAAATATTGAAATATTTGAAACACTCTGAAAAACATTACATTTAAAATGCATTGAATATTGAATATGGCTTATATTAAAAATATTAAAATAAATGAAAATCAATGCAAAAAATATTTAAACTGAATGTGAAATACTTGAATTTAATATGTTTTTTTTCTTACAGTGTATATATGTGACATAACTCCAATCAGCAGCATTACTCTTCCATGGCGAGATCTTTCCGCTTGCAGTGGAGCGGGCAATATGGCACTCCGATATCTGGTTCTCGTAGTACTTTGCTCCATGGGTGAGTGGTACCGAAATATAGCGGTTCATTCAACGGCAAATTTGCCGCCATTGCAGGCACCCTAACCCCCTTCCCCGCCAACAGGCCACGCCCCCTCCGTCTGTTGTTCGCCGACGTGACAAAGTCGCGCAAAAATTTTAATTGCTACGTTTTTTTTTTTGTCGGCATCGGTCTTCGTCGTCGCATTGCATTGCACATTTTTGCCTACCTTAAAATTATAAGTAAAATTAACAATTTTTAATTGACTCTGAAAATTAAAGAGGAGGAAAAAGCACAAGTTTTCGGCCAACAACAGGAAAAGCGGGGAAAATGGCATACATTCGGGTTTCAGCTAATTTTTATAGATTATTTTCGTGCGACCATATGCCCGAGGGTATTTTTTCGAAGGGGTATAATGGACTCTCTAACTATATAAATTTTTTTTCAATATTTATATAAACAATATATTATTAAACAATTTTGTATGTATTTTAAAAATTAATAACATGAGCTATATTATATTTATAAGAATGCATATATATAAACATATAATTTGTGAGGCATTGCAAACAGCTTTTAAATAATAATTGCTAACAAATTCAACGATACGTATGAGTGATATTTAAATGTATAATCGATATTACGTATGAGTGATAATTACATACATTTAAATATCACTCATACGTAGTAACCCTTATACGTTTGAATATTACTCATACGTAACGTAAGTAATAAATTCTTTTTTTTGCAAATAAAGTTTTGTTTTTTTTTTAGAGCTAAAGGTTTATTTAGGTTTACATAAATTATTTGTTATTTATTTTTATTTATTATTTATTTTAGTTTATCTAAAAGAAAATTCTTAGTTAACAATACTTAAAGGGTGTTATTAAGTTGATTTTCACCGTTGAATAGGCTTTTATTTGCTTTTCTATTTTGCAATAAGTTGTGCAAATATTATTTTAGTATAGCGGCTGCCGCTCTCTTCTTATTTTCCCTTTTTTTTAGTTGCAAGTGGAGCATTTGAAGTGTTTTCATCTCGATTAACTTGTAATTAGTTGCCGCTTTTTTCCATCGCATTTCCATTTTCAATTCCATACTGACTTTTCCTCACAGCGGAAGTGCAGGTGAAAAGCTGAAACAAAAATATATATTAATGCATTTCTTTGGTTTCTTTTCGTTTTTTTTTCATTTTTGTTTTTTTTGGTGGGAAATGGGATTGGATGGAAGATGGGATATTCCGCGGTGGCAACTTTGTGACACGGACGACGACATGGCCAATGGTGGCGCCAAATTCCTCATTGCCAGCGGAGCACAGCAAAAACGCGTCAAAGCGCCAATAAATTGTTGTTTTGCTTTTGTGTTTTTTTTTTGTGATTTTAGCATATGCATATTTTGCAAGCCATTTGCATACATCGAATTTTATTATAATATTTTAGTTGGTTTTTTTTGTTGCGACGCTTGATTTGGTTGGCATTATTTTGCGTTTCATTAAATTAAAGTTGCTGCTGCTGTCGGAAGGCGAATGCGGAATGGTTGGCCAATTTGGCCATGCTTTCGATGCCTTCGATGCACGTGAGTGTTCTTCGTCATTGCTGCGGCCCAGGGGCATCGAAGTGGGTGGCCACAGGGGTGCCGAAATAGGTGACGAAAGGGGTGTCGAAATAGGTGACGAAAGGGGCGCCGAAGGCAGTGGCCAATTTGCAATTTGTCAAATTCATTAAGATGCTTTTCTGGCACTTGCTCGACTCGTCATCATCACAAAACATCCCAAATGAAAACAGAAACTCAGATTTTTAGCTAGGCAACAACAACAAATGATATTAGCAATTATTTTAATCAGTTATTGAAAACATCAAGCTCTTAAACAATCCTGCATAAATTAAAACTTTATTCTTTTCTATATTTACGCATGACAAATCTAAAATTTAATTAAAGCAATCAAAAATGTATTATTAGTTTACAAAACAAAGCATGTTTACTGACACATATGTGATAAGGTTCATGCAACAATAATCTCGTTGATAAGACTAAAAACATAATTATTTTGAGCATGGTTATCGACGATTCCAATCAAAATAAACAATTTTGGTCTTCTTAAAAATTGTTGATTGTGATTGTGGGGCACTGAAAGGGCAACCGACCACTGATTTTTAATTGAGAACCCAAATGGATTAGCAGCTTGTTTCTATATATCTTCAGCTATCGTCTAATTACAAAAAGTATTTACAAAAAATGCTTCTGATTTGGATTCAAATATTTAGAGCACTGATTTTAGTTTGAGAATTTGAATAATATTATTCTTAAGCTGCAAAATGAAATGTTGATAAAAATAAACCACAGTAGTTCTTTAAAAATAAAAATCTGCAATAAAGATTACTGCCCGGCAAAGATGCTAGGATATTCTAGGCAATTGAAGTTTTCCACTCAGAAATGAATCGGTTTTTGAACTCTTAAAGCTATTACAAAGTTTTAATGAATATATCTGAATATTGGTTGTCCCATATTTCGGGGCTAGTTCACGGCAGCATTGAACACTGTACCAGCCTGGTGTGGCGGGCATGTATTCTGGTTATGGAACTTGGGATCGTTTCCAGCGAAATCGGGTTAAATCGAGTGATTTAAGCCACCCCAGACACTCACCCGGAGGCTGATTGCCCCGAACTCTGCCGGATCTCTGCCAATCCCCCCCTTGCCATCCGGCGGAGATCGTTCATCATCCACTGATGGGCGGCATTCTTGGCGCAACTCCAGAGCGCTGTCAGAAGTGCACAAATCCATGCCGACATTCCCGAACACTCGTTTCGAATGTACGGATATGTGTATCCGTACATCCGCCGGTCGACAAGTCATCCATCCATATCCATCCGACCGACCATTCAACTGCACGGCGCGGAAATATCCAAAATATCAAAAATACCCAAATGTCTTGTTTTTGCAACAAAAAAATTTGTTAATGAGAAAAAAGAATAAAGCCGATTTAATTAAAAAATTTTAAGAAAAAACATTTGCTAAAATATTCAAAACAATATTATTTTAATATTATTATTGAAAATTATTAATGTTAAAAACATTTTTAGACTTTACTTTAAAATTGCTTACGTTGTTATAGTAAATAAATAAAATATATAAATATGTAATCAAATTATGTTTGATGTTTTTCCATACATTTTTTAACCAATAATTTGATATTTTTTGCCATTAGTATTTAAATAAATATAGCCCGTATATAAATAATGTTTTTCCGAGTGCCCCCCGTCAAAGAAGACATGCAACAATGTGCTGTTCATCAATCCATCCAAGTGAACACCAGGATTTAAATGGGGATTGTCTCAGGGGCTCCTGCTCCCCGGGTTCCCCCCCTGCCCACCCCCTTTCTCGATCCACCTCGAAGACATCGACCAAAAAATCAGGGGGCGATCATCGTTGAAATCTGGTTGAGCAGCCAGCGATCATCGGCGATCGTCGGGTTGCGGCACTCGGCTTTTCGACGAATTTTCAGCTTTTCGCCAACTTTTCACATAAAAATCATGTAAGGCTGGAAAACGGCGACAGTTTACTCACGGCAGTCGCGAAACACGCTCCCCAGGCAGAAAAACCAATCATCATCAACTATAGCCAGAGATCGGTGGAGATCGGTTGAGAACTAAACTAGTTAGCTAAAAAACTAAAGTTAAACAAAAAATAATAATAAATATCAGAGATTATTTGTTTTTGGTGTAGATCATTAGATCAAAAGTATTTGGAATTTACTAAGGAACTCAACGAGATTGTGTTAAAAACTGATTAGATTTAAAAAAGAAAGGACTTAGATATATTAAATCCGAAGTATTTATAATATCGTTGCTCGTTTTGGAATTGTTTAAATAATTGAAAGGGATTGTGTTTTTTATAAAAGAAATCAAATATCAGAGTTTATTGGAGTAGATCTTTAATCAATACTTATAAAAATCGATCGATCTCTGATTTTACTACAGCGGTGATTGGACAAGGATTATTTGATTTTGGTGTAGATCATTAGAACATAAAGTATTTATTTACTGGAATTAATTAAAGAACTAAAGGAGATTGTGGGAAAAAAGTAATTATTTTGAATTTGGAGATCAGTACTTATACTATAGAGTGATCTGTGATTAAACAGCGGTGAAAATAAAAACGCAGATTATTTGATTATTGATTAAATCATTAGAAAGTGACTATATTTTTGTTTGAGTGCCTGCTGATTTAGTGATTTTGAGTGTTCATCCAATATCCCATATACCAAATCCCATATCCATATCCAATATGATCTGCCCGAAACGCACCTCGGAGCTGCTGGACCTCCATTTGGCGCCGTTCAAGGACAAGGATCCGGCCTGGGAGGTGGGCGTGTCGAAGATCGCGGGCCGCGGCGTGGTGGCCACCAGGAGCCTCAAGCGGGGCGAGATCATTTTCCGGGACAGTCCGCTGCTGATTGGCCTGGCGGCCCATGAGGAGGATGCCCTGAATGCGTGCAGTGTATGCCTGAAGATGCTGCCCGACACGCGGTTCATGTGCCGCCAGGGATGTGGCCTTCCGGTCTGCAGTCTGTGCGCCAAGAAGAAGCAGCACAAGAGCGACTGCGACCTGTTCAAGTCGTGGGCACCCAACGAGCCGGACGTGGCCAACTCGGTGATCATACGGCTGCTGTGCGTGGCCAGGGCCATCAATCTGAGCAAGGAGCAGAGGGACCTGATCTACTGCCTGCAGGCGAACCTGGACAACAACCACCGCACCGAGGTGCGCAATGCGGCCAAGTGCTTCAAGCACTTCCCCACCGACAAGAAGCTGATCGAGATCATGAACCGCACCGTCGCCGTGCTGCGCACCAATGGCTTCGACAAGACCACCGACCGCACCAACGACAACCAGGAGTTCAACTACCGGGCCCTCTATCCGCTCTTCGGCGTGGTCAACCACGACTGCATTCCCAACGCCTACTACACCTTCGAGGACAAGACCAACACCATGCTCGTCCGCGCCGCCGTCGACATCCCCGCCGGCTTCGAGGTCACCACCACCTACACCAAGCTCTTCGCCGGCAACATCGCCCGCCACCTCTTCCTCAAGATGAAGAAGGGCTTCACCTGCAAGTGCTCGCGCTGCTCCGATCCCACGGTGAGTAAGCTGTGGCTGCTTAGCCGACAGTCCGACAGTCCGACAGACCCAAATAACCGAGAGTACAGTGTGTCTTCAAAAGAAACTACAGACAGTTTTAAAAAAGTTTTAAGCATCAACTACATACACCCAGAGAAAAACCCCGTTGCAAAACATTGTAACATTGTTTTTTAAAACATTAACTTACTTCAAATAAACTAAAAACATGATAATGTATTTATTAACATATTTAATTGGTTTATCCAATTAAAAATTCTTAGATTTCAATTCTTATTAAATTAAAATAACATCTTTCCATACTTGAAAATAAAAATGAAAGTGTTACACTTTGATTTAAACACAACACACCTCGGGACTTAATCAGTACCGATAATATTTAGTTCGAAGTGATAATAATTGGATTTACCCTTTCCCTGGGTGTACTAAATAATATAACCAAAGAGTCTGAAACTGTAGTCTAAGGCTTTGAGTACATAAGTTTTATTTCGATACTTTTGTGGCATTCATTTATACTCATCTTAGCTTATACTTATTAATAGCTTAGATTCTATGACAATTTTTTTTTTTTGAGTGTAGGGATTCGCTGATCAAAATTTTTAATAAATTTGATAAAACAAATTAAATAATCAATATTTTCATTTGCTGTAATTAAGTAAATATGTGTTTCCTTAGAGCTGGTTAGTTTTTCTGAAATTTTTCTTCTTATTTAAGAATATAATTAAAGATATTTTTGAGTTGAAGTAAACCTTTAAAATACCACAATTACAACTTCTAATAAAACAATACCTTTGAGCATTGGTTTGCTTAGGATCAGTAATATACAGTATATTCTCTATAAATACTTGGTAGTTACTACAATTTTTGCTTGTGATTAATTATGACCCCTTAGGGAATCAAAAACGTCCATGTGCATAGTGATTCCTCACAAGATCTCCTATTTTGCGCATCTTTTTGACCAAAAACCACTTGGCCAGCAAATCCAAAGTTCAGCCCCTGCCCCCAAAGTCCAAGTGATGATCGATGGGCCAGCTGAATAAACTGTTTAACCAATTAACCAATGAAATAATCAAACATCTCTATAGTTTCACTGAATTTCATTTCATTGCATTGTCTTGGCGTTTTGAAGTAAGTGATTTCACTAGATTTTCACCCATTTTTGGGCCATGATCCAATGATCCATCAAAGAAGACAATTTGCGAAGCTGGCCGACTTTTTGATTTTTAGGTGCGCAAAAATTTCATTAAGGATTTCCTGTGCCCATCAAAATTCATCCGAAAACAATTAAAGACCAGATCGGCCAGATCGATTTTTGCCCGCCGCACTATTATTATTACAATTTGTGGATTTTGTTGTTTTTGGCCATCGATTGATTTCCTCCCCACGATGTTCTCATTTCCCCGGTTTTCAGCCACTCCCACCCCCCATTTTCCAGACGCAACAAGTGGCCAACAAACAGCAACAAAACATGGCTATAAACAATTTTGTTTATTTTTAACGGACCGAAAACAATTCAATTAAATCACAAATAAATAGATGGATTCCAAAAAAGCTTTTTAATTCGCTTGGCAATCATTTCAAAAATTCCTGCAAAAGTTGGAATAAAAAAAAAAATTAAATAAAATTCATTATCTAAACTCTCGGTTTTCATATACATGTTTTCATATATGTATCTTTGTGGCATTTTTGGTTTGGCGGAATTCTCAGCTCATATTGATTTGATTTTGATTTTGATTTTCGCTGCCCAAATTTCAGCTTTTGTCACATTTTTTCTCATGTTAATATATTTTTTATTCGCCTCGCATCGCATTGTTGTTCTTTTTGTTTCAATTTGTTTCTATATGCATATAGAAACAGATTTTCTTGGCCATGGCCACATACAGCGCCTCGGATCGTAATTTTCCGTTTGACATTCGCCGAGAATGCGAGGCGCTCAACACACAGAGGCCAAATAATGCAAACTACGAGTCGAGTGTTATGCCTATAGAAAAACCCTCGGAATCATCTTAATTTAACCATAAAGAGACTATAGAAGAGGTCTTTGTGTCGTAAATATGGGCTGGCGGCCATAAAAATGCTAATAAAAATCATCCGAAACAGCTGAATCTGGCCAAAATAAACATTTACTAATTATCAACATGGAACAATATTTATTACAAAAAAATATAAATGATTTTATTTAACCCAATTTACGATTTTTGTTAGGCAAGAAAATTCTAATAAAACTATACAAAATATTAAAATGGTTATTTTTAAAACTTTTATATCAAGCAATTTGTTAGGCACTGTGTTTAATATTATGATTTAGTAACTAGTTCAATAGTCAGATATATATTTTTACTATTTTATTTTGTTATCAGTGTAGTATTTATTACGAAATAAAAATAATAATAGTATAATAATAATAAATGAAACTGTACAAATTGTGCTGATCAAGAATATATTTTACTTTATAATTCCCTCTGCAAAGTTAGAAGAACATGAACTGTGACACTTTAAATTTACTAAACATATTTCCTTAACAAAGTTTCTCCATTTACGGAATCCACTAAATTGCCTATTTGTAAAATGTCAAAAATAGCCTCGACTGTTCTTAGTTTCATGCCCTTGTATGTGGCATGTGTTGATGTAATTAATTAAAAATATATATTTTTAACTATAGTTCAGCGAACTCCAGCAAAGGGAATTTAGTTTTATTTTTATATGTTTATGTTTATAGAATTCCTATGCTTCAAGTGTTCATCATTCGCTTTCCGCTTCGGATAAACAAAATGTTCAATTACAAGCTTTTAGTTTGTGTAATAAATAAAATAATAATTCCCAAATAAAGTAAAAACATTTAGAGTAATTCGTAGAAATACAAAAATGTTAAATTAAAAATTGCCTTAATCAAAAATGGAAACACTAGTAAAAAAACGTAGTAAATTAAAATATTTTAAATATAATATTTTAAAATAAGATCATGCTATTAAATATGCATTGTATTTTATATTATGATTTTATAGTTAATTTAAATAGTATATATATATAGTACATTCAATGGTGAGATATTTGTTTTTTGTTATTTTTCATTATCACTTCAATATCAGTTCTATATCAAAAGAGTGGATTTTTTGTGTCTATGCTGCAGTCTGCGGATCGGAACCATTAATTATCTGAGTTAATTTACGAGCAAGCAAATTGGGCGAACGATTCGGATTGGGAATTTTATGCCGATGACGTGGCAGTCTTAACGAACAACCTGTGTGTGGATATGGATATGGATATTTATCGATCGCACGAGCGCATATTAAAACGCACACGGCACAAGCGACATCTTCTTTTATTTATTTATGTGTCAATCTCGCGGATCTCGCTGTGGATATACTATATAACTATATATTTTTTGGGCTGAGCATATTCATATCGCAGCAGATATGATACACGGCGATCATTTGTTGTGGAGGTGGTTCAATCGGATTTTCGGATTTTCGAATTATTTTTAGCTGGAATTGGAATCCCAGAAATGCGAAAACGATATTTTTATTTGCCAAGACATTTGGCCCCAATGATTCACGCGCCAAATATCCCAAGTGCTGTGTCAGTTCTCAAGTCATCGATGGGCCGGCAAGTGTGCCGATTATCGACTAACAATGGGACCGATAATTATGTGTCGATCACCCAATAATATGGTCATAAATTCGGTTGAATATATTACTTGCTATTTCTTTCCGAAAATCACTTCAAAAAAGTATTTTCATTCAGCAGCTAGAATGCGAATAAGAATTTTTTTTGTGGAAAAAATTAGTTTAAAGTTCTAAAAAACATACATGTATTTATAAGGTAAAATCGGTGCTTGTATTCAATGTCTTACAATTGATCCCCTTGATTCGATTGCAGGAGAAGGGCGCCTTCATCTCGGGCCTGTACTGCCGGGACACCAACTGCACGGGTCTTGTGGTGCCTGAGATCTCCGGGCTGCCACATCCCAACTGGAACTGTCTGGAGTGCAAGCAGAAGTCCACGCATGCGCAGGTTGGTTCAAAAAATATTTATTTACTTACTTTAATTAACAAATCAAACATTAAAGAATAACTGAAAATTCAGTTTTATTAAGTGTTTCCTGAAAATTATAGATGATTAAATTATGGGTATTATTATAAGTGTGAAGCAGTTCATATATAGTTTAATTACACATGCCAACTAAAATGGGACTTTGTAAACGGTGCAGGCTTCTCAATTTATTCAATAACAATAATAAGAAACAATTTGCAAGCTAATCTCAAACAATTTCCCCTAAAATCGAATGTTATTTTGTTGTTTTGCAGATGATGAAGTCGCAGGATTTTGCCAGCGGGGCCATCAACGCCAAGGCCAACTCGAATTCGCTGCGGACACTGGTGCAGTACCTGAACGAGAAGAGCGACAGCTTCATCCCGAGCTCCAACTACGTGGTGGTAGACGCCAAGATGTCCGTGCTGCAGCGCCTCCAAGTCGGCAGGGAGGACTGCTCCGAGGAGCTGGCCAACAACACGCGCCTGCGCTACAGCCGCGACATCACCCAGGTGATGGACAAGCTGGGCCTGGGCGACAGCCTGCTGCGCACCCAGCTGGAGGAGCTCCTCCGTCGCGAGGAGGAGCGCCGGGCCAAGCGGCTGGCCGCGGAGGAGGCCGCCAAGCAGCAGCAGCAGAAGCTGGCCGAGGCGGACAAACTTTTGGAGGCGGCACTGGCCAAGGATCAGGCGGATCAGGCGGATCAGCATCAGGATCAGGTGGGCACATCGGCGGGAACAGCCGATCCTGGCACAGCACCTGCTCCTCTGCCAGCCGCCGCCGAGCTGGCCTAGATGTTTACAGCACAATGACGCACTTTTCCCGCACTCGAGGGGTTTTTTTTATTTCTTTACTATACTTTATTATTTGTTAAATACTTAAAATACAGATGTGTGAAAAATAAGGGTCTTAAAATACTTTCAAAAATAATTATATTTATGTTTTTTCGGACCAAATACAGCAAAAAAGCTCTGGCACAGAAATAAAAAATGTATATTATTACCCATTTGAATATTAATTTTAACGTTATTCATTGTGAATATCAAATTGATAGTGGTATTTTTTTTCTGTGTACACCTGTGTTAAATATAATGGTCATAAAACAAATTATTTCAAATTTGTATATTATCATTTATGTTTATTTCGGATATGCTACAGCAGGAAAGCTCTTACACAGAACTATTTTTAAGCAGAACATTTTCGGGTCCTGAAAATGTGGCTAAATACGTATAGTCCGTCAAGAGTCCTCTGATCACCTCTCCTAGTTCTGTGTTGTGTGTGTGCTAAACTTAATAATTGCATCTGTATTTGTATTTCTATTTATTTATTTATAATAAATTACAAATTATACTCGACGAGCGCTAAATTCTGGGAAAAGTCTGCCAAAATTGTGTGTGCTCGTTGAGACTTGGGGCTTTGGAATCGTTTTGTCAAAACGTTTTTTAATCCATCTAGCTAGAAATATTTGCGAAATCATAACGAAAATACCCTACGTTTTGGAGGAGGAGTGATGTTGTGTATTCATTAGTTTGTTGTTCCAAAATGTAGGTGAATTTTTTCTTGGATTATAAAAAAAATAATCAGTTCTAAAACCATTGCGCTGCTCTTTAAGAATTTAAGTTGCATTATTTTTTTTTTATTTGTTTAAACGATTTGTTTAAATATTATGGATTATTCAAAAGAGTTTTTTTAACTATTTGCCAAACTGAAAGTAAATAAATCACTTGAAGGACCCTAAAATATGGTCTATAAAAACAAAACATTACAGTAATGTAAGTAGTTTTTTGGCGATCACAGGAAACAGAAAAACAATCCACCAACTTTGTATGCCTTATTCATACATTTTTAATTTCTTGCCATTTAATGCGATTTGCTTTTGCTGCCATTTGTTTTATTTGCCATTAAAAGTTGCAGTCGACAGTATTTTGGGCGACCGTTAAAGTTGGCGGCCGTGTCTATTTTTGATCGTAGCAGGCCAGCGACGCCTTCACAACCGCCTCCCGCCGCTTTACGATCGAGTAGATATATATAATATATATATATGCCCGATATACATATAGTCATAATCATAAGTTTATACGCTGCTTGTTGTCTAATGCGAATTGGCCATTTGCCGCATTCAATATTCGATTTGATTCAGTTTTGCCCCAGTAAACTGCTCATTAAATCGAAAATCGTGTACATGAAGATAATTAAATAAATCTGCGGAATTATCAGAAACATCTTCAGCTGGATATGTGGATATAGATGGTATATAATGGATATAGATTCCTGTTCAATTCGGCCCCACCTGTCTCATCAATTTGTTCGAGAGCCTGTGTCGATGTCATCGCGTGATCTTAATAGATGGCTGTGCGAAAAGATATAGTAAGCCGATATATATATATATATATATATATCTGTATCTCAATCTGTATTTCAATCTGTATCTCTTTCTATATCTCTATCTGTATCTACTTCTCTATCTGTATCTGTATCTGCAAGACAATAACATTAAAAGCTCGACAAAAGCGTAGCAGATATCCAAACAAATTTGAAAACTTAGAAATCATAAATAAAATTATAATAAAAATGCCAATAAATTATGCGGCATATAGCTGAAAATAATGACCCAACGACATGTATCTATCCGTCCATCCAGGTCTCTATCTCTGGCCATCTATCTAGCTGTATGTCTATATCCCCGATATATATGTAGTACTATATATCTGGCCCGACTTGTCGCCAGATGAAAGGAGCTGGTCGCATGTGGCTGTTCTAATCACAAATTGCTTTTAGCCCATGATATTTTTTTTTTTTTTTTTGAGTTCTGCTGGGCCACTTTGGTTCCACTTTGATTAATTAGACGTGTTTTCCATTCGCATATAATACTTTTATTTGGCGATACCCTGTGCAGGGCAGTTACCATGCAGCATATCGGCATTGTGGAAATTATATTGGAAAATTTCAACCAATAAACTCTATAAAACAAAGGGGTCCCTTATTTTGCAGCAATTTTAAAGGGGAGGCATTTTAAACAATTTCAAAGTTCAGTTTTAGTTGTTTTAAATCGAACCCTTTATTCAATTTAAAAATAATTAAAATTCAACTTTTATATAAAAATTATCTTAAAATTAAGTAAAGTTAAATTTATTAAAAACCCATTGTCTTATAATGTTTTATTGCCATCCAACGATTTATTGTATACATTTAATCATTGCGTTGAGATGTCAAGCTAATGGTTGAGTTTTTTTTTGGACTAATAATCTACTGGGTATCAGCAAGGTCGACCCCCGCCGACCATCCTCTTTCCAAGTGATCCAACCGTGACTCTCGATTTTGCTCGGCCCTCCGTCCAAGTACAAGTGTCTAGTCAGGGATCCCCCACCCAAAAAAAATGCTACTTAGTGGGCACGCAATGAGTGAACGATGTGACAATGGATCTGACAAAACTGTCCGGCTAAATAAGCCTAGTCCTCACAGCAGAAACACGAAAGGCCAACTAGCAGTGTTGGTAAAGGTACTAGTTTTTTGGATCTAGGTAATGTACAAGCTATTTAAGAAAATAAGTACCTAGGTAAGGTAAAAGGTTCACAACTTGAGAAGTATCTTGGAAAAGGTACAAAAAAGGTAAAGTAAAAACCATTTTTTTAATTATAAATTATTATATTGTGTCAAATTATGCTATTTGTATTAGCATATTAGTGAAAATAATGTCAAATTAAATGAAGTGGTTTCAGATCCTAAATACCTAACATAACCAGTTTTTAAGACAAGAAACCATATTTACTTTGGTAAGGTAAAAGGCATTCTCACATACTTTAACATAAGTAAGGTGATAAGGTATCATAAATTCTTACCTAAGTACGTACCTAGGTACAAGTATCTAGGTACAAACCAACACTGCGAACTTGTGAGTGGAATCCGGCAGAAAACACGTTCCGTCGAGACGAATCATATTTGAGTTTTGGCATGCACTTCGAACGTTATTTATTATCCGATCCGCCTGCATTGTGTATAAATTAAACGCTCTGATTTACTTGCTGTTTTTGGGCCCCCAGCTGCATATAATTTATTACTTTTTAATGGGCGCCCAGTTGGGGGTTGATTTTCCCCTTTCCGGTGCTGAAAATCAGACAATCAGAAAAATAGGTATATGAAAATGCAACTGCAACGGACGAGTGTCCAGATTATCTCAAGTTTATGGCCAAAGTCATGGGCCACTGCCAATGTGGCACTTGGCACTCACAATGTCCGCAAGTTAATGGCCGAAAATGATTACAGCTTCGTAAATCTAGACCCAGACAGCAGGGACATAGCCATTACTCTACTTTTAGGTAATCAAAAGTGCACATCTTGTTTTGAAAAATTGTATGCCAAGGAAACGACGAAATCCATAAACGCTCAACATTTTTTCAGGTGGTTGATAGCGAACCAAACTGAAAAACTGTGCCTTCAATTTTTGCTGTGCTTGACGAAAAGAGTCAAAAAAGACAAGTATTTGTATAGAAATTATTATTTTTATTATTTTTCCCACATTCAGAAAACAACCTAAAACCAAAATGACACAAAAAGTATTAAATTTGGTTACATTTTAGGATTAATCACCTAAAAACTTTCGAAATGGATGTAAAATTAGAAAAACAAATTTAGTCAATTTGAAAACTTTTTGTTCTAGTATTATAATTTAATAATATGATGCTAATATTTGTACTATTTTATAAACAATACATATAGTTGATTTTGTAATTTTTGCAAATATAATATAACTGGTAAATAATTCTTCAAAATTATTAAAAATTTATAATTAAAACAAATTTTAATTTCATACCAGTATATCAAACTTGATTTTCGCTTTTATGCAGTTTAAATTCATGATTAAAGTAACGTGACCTCGATTTATTACTTATTTTTCGCAGTTTGACAAGTTTATTTTCGTTGATAATTTGTGCAGCTAACGGCATACTTTTCGGCTTTATTGTTTATGTAAAACACGTGTATTCAAAGATACGTATGGAAAATCTACATTTTATTTAGTTGAATACCAAATGCCTCATTGGTTTTTAAATCAAACATAAGTGTTACTTGGAGATAGATTGAAAAATTAAATAAATATTAATACAAAAGTTAAAGAAAAAAAAAGAAATATTTCAATAGAAAAGCCTGATTTAAGAATATATGATTTTTATTGTATATAAAGCGGCAACTTTCAATCGTTTTGGGGCTTAACTCACAATGCAGCTGTAATTTTGATGCAATTTAATTTTAACAATTAGCAAGAAGAGCAAAAACAGCTAAGACCATAGACCAAACTCAATAAAATCACAAAAATGCAGAAAAATGTGAGCTATTATTGAGTTATAAACAAACTAATGGATCGCATAAATATAAAGAAAAGAAGTACCTAAGACTATAATTCTATATTTTATTTCTCCTCCGACTGAAATTTCGATGCAATTTAAATCTAATAAAAACTCGTGAGTTGTTTGGGTATTTAATTTTCGACTTTTATTCGTTATAAATTTAAATAAATTAATGGTTCGAATAAATAGGAAATAAATAAGTGCAATTTGTCAATTTGGGGACCCTTAAGTAGTTCTTAACTCTATATGTTTTCTTTTCATTTGATTTATTTCTCCTCCGACCAGCTGCGGCGGTACAAAGTATTTACACTGTTGCCCAGCATGTTGGCAAACTCGCGCTGGCCGCTCAGTTGAAAAAATCCAGGATGCCGTTCAGCAGCTCGTAGGCGAATCCGGTCTCGTCCGTCGCCTCAACGGCGCTCGACTTCTTCTTTTTGTTCTTTTTCGTCTTCTTGGACTTCTTGGACTTGGGCGTGGTGGAGTCATCATCGTTGGCGGTGGCGGTGTCGGGCGTAGGGGTCACCACCACTTCGCCGCCTTCGACTGGAGCAACTGCAGCGGCGGTTTCGCCAGTTGCCACAGCTCCCGATTCGTCCTTGCTCTGCACCTGATCGTTAATCGATGTGGAGGTCGTGGTGCCCTGCCCATCGGGTGTTACATGCTCGCGGGTTTGATCCACGGCGGCCACGGCAGCTGGCTTTTTCGCCGGCTTCTCCTCATCGTCATCGTCAAGTTCATCCAGCAATCCCGCCAAGCTGAAGCCACCATAGTCGGCATCCTCGGGCGCTTCGGCCTCGTCATCATCCGCATAATCCTCGGCGTCGTCGTCGTCATCGGTATCCGCATCCGCATCCGCATCGTTGTCGCTGTCATAGTCATCCTCATCATCCTCGTCATCGTCACCACCAGCTGGAAAATAGGATTCGAATTTAAACGTAAGTGAATGTTTAGTTAAGCAACAAAAATAGATAACAACAAAATTTTAGACATTTTTAAACAATTTTATGAAGGTTGGCCCTCAATAGCGATACCACATGTCGAATACGCAATATTACAAACAAAAAATTAAGTATACGTACTCAAACGCAAATACTTAAAAATGATTTTATGCAATAATAATTATGAATATTTAGTTTGTTTTGTCAAAATAGTAGTAATTTTTGTAGCTCATGGAAATAGCTATCAAAAATAGTTTGGAAGCCACTTTTAAAAATAGATCAGATATTATAAACATTCGTATTGGTATACAAAGTGCAGATGAACTAGTATTTATAATAGCTTTTCTTTATTTGTAAAAGGAAACTTTAAGGAATTATGAATAGTTTTGATTTCGCAAAATAAAACCAAAAACAATATGGAAGCATTTTTAAAACTGACTTTGAAAATTGCCTTAACACTAGGAATAATTGCCCTTAATTTGAGCCTTTCATAAAAAATTTAGGAAGACATTACCTATAACGACTCCCTAAATTTTCATAAACTTATTTATGGAAGGTCCAAATTTAAGGCAAATATTTCCTAAGTTTAAGGCAATTTTGTCCCAAAATTAAGGCAATATATTTTTCTGAGTGTATTTTTTAGACCTACACCCGGACGTATATTTGTATGTCATAGCTTACCGGCGAATCCAAAGAGATCATCATCGTCGTCGTCGTCGTCATCGGAGCTGGGCTTCACGGGCAGCGGCTCCGCCTCGGCGACGCGGAGTCCTTCGGGTCCGAACTTGAAGCAGGAGACGCGCAGGGAGGCCTCCACCTCGTCGTCGGCCCGGAGCTCGAAGGCCAGACAGGCCTTGAAGTCCTTGGAGTCCTTGGACCGGGAGAGACCGTAGACCTTGCCGCAGAACTTGGAGTAGCCGCCGGGGAGGCCGACGCAAATGGGACGGGCCCGTTTGCTGGAAATGCGACGCGAGGCCAGGGTGATGTCGCCGTACTTCAGGGACACGCTCATCTCGTCATTGCCCAAATAGGCTATCTTGGCACAGCCCGGTCCACTGGGCAGCAATGGCAGTCCGAACTTGCGGCAGCAGTCGCAGTGCGACTCCGTGCACTTGCAGAACTTGCTAATGGGATTCTCCGGCTTGGCAGTGGTTGAAGCGGCGGTGGGCTTGGGCTTGGGCTTAGCGGCCAGAGTGGTGGCCACCGCTGTAGCGGCTGCCTCGGGAGCGGCCACCTCGGCGGCAACTGCATTTGGTGTCTCCACATCCACATCCCCGCTGGCAATCTCATTGGCACTCTCGTCCACCAAAGCGGCTGGCGTCACCACTGCCTGCTCTACCACATCCGCATCCGCATCCGCATCCACCTTGGGCGGTTCCGATTCTGGGGGGCCACATTGGGGTCAATCTCCTCGGGCGGCAGATCCAGCTGCTTGAAGTTCTCCGAGATCTTGTCCGTGCGCCGGAAGACGGTCTTGGCCTCCAAATGGGCGATGCAGGCACTGGCCACCAGCAGCACCATCAGCAGGAAGTTCCTCGAGCTGGTCATCTTGCCGCCAAACTGCAATAAACGATGTGGCCATCAATAAAGGTAACCAAAAACCAAAAACAAGAGAACCGCATAAAAATTTGTAGCTACTTTAAACTAAATCCATAATTAGCATAGGTATGTTTTTTAAAACTTTTTCCACAGCCACATGTTCTGTAGAAAAGTATTGTTTATATCTCTATAAATTTGTTGTTGCCTGGCCTCGGTCTTATCAGTAAAGAAATGTTCCGCAAGGAAGGAACGAAAAATTGTTAGTGTAAAGCGCAGGGGTGCTCAAAATTCCCTTATGGCAGTGCATTTACCAATACAATTAAAAGAGTAAAACAAAAACGAAGATAGTGTAAGTCGAGAGTAAAACAAAAACAAATTGGCGAACCAAAAAAAAAACGGTATATAATTTTTGTTGCCTTGCCTCGGTCTTATCAGTAAAAGGAATGGAAGAAACAAAAAATTGTTAGTGTATTTTGCCGGCACTCACATCTTCCTTTTCCTTTTCCAAATACAAAAACAAATGTGCTTAGCAACTGCATTAAACACTGCTTTATGCGAGTTACATATTTTAGTTTCGAGAGTATTAAATTAAAAGTCAATGACCAGTGTAGCATAATCTATTTCATATTTGTGAAACAGTAAATACATATGTACATATGTATGTGTGATTCGAGAAGAGAGAAGAGAGCCATTTCTGCGTAGGCAGAATCCGAATCGGAATTGGAAATCGAAATTGAAATCAAAGTGGAGCGATTGAGGAAGGTGGTGGGTACAAAAACACCGAGAGGTATTCCAAAAGTCAACAGCTCGGAAATCGCTTTCAAGTGGCCAGCGATTAAATTTCACCGCATTCTTTCTCCTCTTTTTTTTTTTTGGTCGCCTCGTATTTTGCAAAAGAAATGAATTTAAATAAATATTGACATATGTAATTTCTTTCACTTCGTTTGCTACCTTGCTTCGTTTTCGTTTCGACTGCCCGCTTCCAAATGCAAAGTAAACAAATTAGCAGCGAAAATCAATGGCTTTGAAAACCAAACACAAAAAAAATGTGAATATAACAATAGACCGCGAATAGACAAAAAACGAGAGTGAAATCTCTCTGCAAAGTTATTTAATTGACGAATTGGGTTAGCCACATTAGAATAGCCCCAACTCCGGAATTCATTCATTTCCAAAGAGCCAACAAGTTGGAGATCGCTGCCAACTCAAACTTGACTGTGGCCCTTTTTTGTTTTTTCTTTTTTTTTTTTTTTTTTCGTTTTTTGGTTATTGCTTTTTGGGGTGGCAGGGGGAGTCACCGATGGCAAAGTGAAATTTCAGCTATTGACTCATTTACCTCAAGTGCTTGATGGTGGTGATGGTGGTGATGGTGGCAAGGGGAAATTTCAGAGCGCTCCAAGATGTCCAAATCAATTAGCGGCTCTTAACTGGAGCTCAACTGGCGGAGAAACCCGAAAGGTTCAGGCCGATAGCAGAACTATTTAAAGGTAAATATGCATAACGGTACACCCAGAAGTTGGGCTGGGCCAAGACATTCTAACTGATGATCCCAAACCCTAATTCTTTCAAAGCCATAATCCCAATTTAAGCAAAAGAAAAACAATATTATAAAGAACTTCAAACAACAAAAAATTAATATTTAGTTTTCATTAGTGTGTCTTGAAAATAAACTACTTTTGTCTGTAGTGTAAAAACAAAAATGGATGTAAAATTAATATTGGACTACATTATGTTTAATTTAGGCTTTCCATTAACTTTTTGAAATTGTTTTTAATATTGTAATTAGGTATCTGAATCTATTTCAATATTTAAGAATATAACTATAAAAACTCTGTCAAAAAAAGAAAAACAATTTTAAATTGCTTCATCGCTATTTTTAATTGCTAAACTTATAGCACTTTAATCGCATCTTTATATAATAACTTCAACTACATAACTTGTATTAAGTAAATAAATTTGACTGACTGACATTGCTTTCAATCGTCAGCTTGTGCAATCTTGAATGAAAATGCTTTGGCCCACATGGTGAGATGGTAGATTACCATCTCTTCCATAACTTGCTTATTACCAAGTATTATCTGAGTCTGTTACCCATTATTATACCATTATAATGGTGCCCATTTCCTTACATCACTCATCATTTCCTTTTCCATTTTCAATTTTTTGTCTGAGAATGGCTAATAATATTCAGAAATCCAGCTGAACCTGTTCCACTTTCATTTTTCTCCCTGTTTTTTTTTTTTTTTGGGGCCCTCTTTCACATGGTACGTGGGCTCACAGCGTGATATGTGGTATCTGGACATTCCATTGATGACCTTCCGCTTGGGTGGAACCACAACCACAAACACGAACACCATTGGGTGACCCAGTTGGTGGCGGTGGCTATTTGGGTAAAGAAAGTGTGTGGCTGAATATGGCTCTAGCTGTTGCTGTAGCCAAACTCTGAATTCGGGTACAAGTCCAAGAATAATTGCTCGGAATAATGCCAGTGGCCAATGACAATGACAGTGGGTCCACCCTAAAAAAATTTGCATGGAAACTAAACTTTTGTTACATAAATTTTAAACTTTGGGGTATGAGAAATTTCTCAATAAGATGAGTGTTAAATTAATACCAAGAAAGAATTAAAATAAAACTTATTTGGTTATTCTATATAGAAATGAAACTAAAACGTATAGGGAATATTATTTAGTAATGAATTATACTTTAAAACCGTCTGTAGTTTAGACACGATTATTTAAACAAATCATTCAGTTTATTTTTTCGGTTTTATAGATTAAGTGTTACGTTGTTTAATGTAGGCAGGACCCACTGTACCCACTCAAGGTGCTCTTAGGCAGACATTTCCACAAGTCTGTCCACGGAAACTGCACTTTGATGGTGCACTTTGCTTCCTTATACCAAAATTTCACCAGAGGCCAGCCAAAAATTCCAATACTTCGAAAGTCCAGTTTTGGGCCTTCATTTGCATGTGGCATTTGGAAACGGGCCGAATAAAATATTTGAAAAAAAGCCCACGTGTGAATGCCCTCTCTCTCACTCACTCCCACTTATTTGTTTTTGTTAGCTTGTCGGGCATTTTCGAATTTTGTTAATAAATTATAACGGTTGTGAAAAGTTATTAGCATTAATTAATTATTAAACGCATAGGAAAATAGAAAGTGAGACAGTGTGTAGTGCTTTTTTTTCTTTTATCGGAAATTATCATAATACAATCTGCTTCTTCTTTTTTTTTTGGCAGGGGGGTTTGCTCATCGAATCGAAATCGAACTGTTAATTATTCAGTATGACAGCGAAAGTGATGCAAAAATTCGGAAAAAAATTTCTTTTGATATTGTCTGCTTTTTTTTTTTTTATTATAATGGCATTTGTTGTTTTTCTTTCTGAGATCTGTGCTTCTAAGCCACACGTTTGGTGATTACGAAACCAGCTCGTTTTGATTATGCTAAACAGTTTTTCAGACTTTAACATCCTTCGGTTTGGTTTATATAACCCATATACACACTCGTACAGGCCCAAAGAAATTTGCATAATTTGTATTGCCTTTTTTTTCGGCTGCTGTAAGATGTCTGCTTACCACTTTCTTCTGCCTGTGTGTGTGGGTGAAATCGCTGGGCAACAACAATAGCGACAGCAACAACAAAACAAAGCGAAGAGGAGGTAAAAATCAAAGTTACCATAATAATAATAATAATGATAATAATGATGACCATGTCGAGAGACCTATGCCAAAATTAAGGTTAAGTTCTTTAATGCAGTCAACGGTGAAATTTTCTGTTTCTGTTTGCCATGGGCGTGGCTGGGGGCGTAAGCGGGGGCGGAGCTTAAAACACATATACTAATGGGGGATATTTCCGGTCAAGGCTGATCCGATGGACCAGAAAATTAGACCGCTTGAGCTGGAAAACCTTGGATTTCAGCGCTTAGATGGACAAAAAAGCCTAAAGAATCAATGTTGAAAGTTTTTAAGGTGGTTTTTTAATTTTGTTAACACTATTTTCAACACTATTATTATCTTGGAATTTATTTTGTAGAAATATACTTTTATTTTAAGCTCTTATTTGGTCTTCATATAATTCATATTTCTTCCTTTGAAACACATTTTTAGGTGTGTATAAAAATTAAAAATATCTATAAAAGATATATATAATTTGGGTATATATTTGTTTAGAATTCTTTTAAAAATCTTGAATGATAAGAGCAATTGTTGTGAAGATAAAAATCATCTTATTTTTGAAAAAAAAAGTAATGCGAAAATAATACAAAGATCATTATTTTTCTGTCCGATATAGCACAACAAATTTTCATTATGAATGGTCTTTGGTAGCTGGATTTGGTCCTCAATTAGGAGCAGCTGCCTCCGCTGCCTCTTCGGCCCAGAAGCCAGCCACCTGAGCCACCTGAGTTGGTCTTTTGGACCAGCTGAGCAAAAAATGGACAACTGGACAGATGGACAAACGGACAGACAGTTCCACTTTCCAGCACCTGAGACAGCAAAGAATGCGACGCTGATGGTAAATGCTGATGGTGATGGCGGTAGTGATGGTGATGGGTTGTAGAAAGTAAAACGAACGAAGAACTCGAATGAACGAACGAATGAACGCTCGCCGCGTTTTTTTTGTTTTGCCAAATTCAAATAAGTTAATGACAAGGAAAAGAAGAACGCACAAAACGGCGCAAACAGAAGCGGATGGATGGATGGCCATACTACTATACTACACTATAGATGGAGATCTGGAGAGTTAGGAGCGGTGAGCGGTGAGCGTGAAGCGGGGTCTTCGAGGGGACATTGTGGGGGCCAAACTGGTTGACACAATTCCACGACAGACGACCAACGACCAACGACTGTCCACTTTTACGTGCAATTGCCGCTTCGGCTTTGGTTTTTCCAACTTCAACATTATTGGCCCACTTAGGCGACGACCGCATTTCACCATTTCGCATATCTTTACCTCTAAGTATGTTATCCTGGTATCCTGCAGTCAATATTTATTGGCCTTATATATGGATATATATATATATATGTATATATATAGCTTCTGCTCCCGTCACACTTCCGTTTTTTGCACTTGGAACACAAAAAAAAACTATAGCACAACGCGCCTTAGAAAAAATAAAAAAAAAACAAGTAGGATTTGAACTTGGCGCGTAGGTTGTAGTATAGATAGTATAGGTAGCTGGCTGTTCGCTGCTCTTTATAAGACTGAACTCAACGCTCGGGGACGCGGAACTCGACTGCGCGGACTTGGAGCCACCAGGCCGAGTTATGGGCGATTCCATGGGTTGTGGGGCCCCCAGCTGATCGAACCAACACCACCACCACCACCACCACCAACACCAACAACAACAGCAGCAGCAGCAGCAGCAGCAGCAGCTTTCTTTTCGCATCGCATCGCATCGAACGTGTTCGGGGTTCGTTGGCTTGCTGGCTTTGTTGTTTGTTGGCCTGTTGGCTTGATGGCTTGATGGCCTGTTGGTTTGCTGGCGGCACCTGCTCCACAGAGTACGGTACGTACTAGGCCAAGATCCAATAATACAAGATACAATACGGAAAGGCCTAACGGTAGTGCGCCGATCTATGGGCACGTAGCACGTAGCACGCTGCATGCAATTAACCCAAGGCACAGAAAAAAACATTTTTGAGTACAAACAAAAAGTAAGCTAATGATCATCAAGACCCCCTTCTTCGGCGCATAGTTACAAATAGTCTGATCAATGAATGTTTGGAACCTTTTAGATACTATCTGAATCTAGATCTTAAATTAGTATTTAGTATTACATCAAACAAATTGACAATAAAAATTGACAAAAACTCGATTGAACAGAACATGGTATTAAATAGTCTGTTCAAGAAATGTTATATCTTTCGGATCTCAGCTCATTTAACATTAAAATATATATTTTACATACAAAGGTGTTATCTATCACAAGTACCTCAACCTACAAATTTTGATTTATTTTTAAGTATTTTTAAATGGGGTTACATTATTAAAATTTAGACAAAATGTATTAAAAATTGATTCAAAATGTTTAATGACTTTTAATGTGGATTTCTAGAGAATCAAAGAACAAACAAACAAACAAATTTTCGGAAAATTAGAAACTGAAATCCTTTACTTTAAATATAAAACCAAAATCGTTATAAAATGTAACTTCAAAGTTCGAATGCAAAAACATATACATATATATAAAGTATTCGACTGAAAACTTACGTTAAAAAGTATTTAAAACCTTTTCAAAATTTTAAACAGGTTTTTGTTTTGAGTGCACGCAGTGACTCTTCCTCTTCCTCGTGCCAAGTTGGTTACTTTTGCTTGAATCAGCAGATAGCAGATGGATTACAACAGAGGACTTCCTTTGTCTAGCCATAAGATCCCCCGATGAGTAACACTACAGTGGGGCACACCCTCAAGGTATGGAAACCTTGAAATCGGTCATAAAGACAAAGAATACCAAGATCCTTGGACACTCCCACACTTTAAAAGTTGAAACCTACGTGAACGCACTCTCTTGCATGCTAATTTCAGAATCTCTGCAAGATCAGTTTCCAAATCACTTCTTTATGAATGGTATACAATTAATGAAGCAATAATGACAGAGTTATTCATCATAAGTCATTCAGATCTTGAGACTTTAAAAATACATACAAAGCTGGTCTCTATTTAACAAATCGTAAGAACATATAATAAAACTGCTTACTGATATACAACTTATTTTGAGATATCAAATTTATTGCACATAATTTGAAACATAAACAGCTTTAATTTAAAAATTACTCCCACAAAAGTAAAACCAAATCCTGCCGAAAAGCATTGGTTAAAATAAAATAAAATAAAAACATTTTTAAAGGGCAGCAAAGTTAAGCTTTCTACGGCACTAAACTTAATATCATTCGCTGGCCCACAACTCGTTTGACGTCTTATCCAATTTTTATGTAACCCCATACGCCCCGTGATTATTTGTCCAATCGATTGATATTTCAAGCTTTATCTAATGAAGCATCGAAAAAAAGACTTCCCAGACACGACAAGAGAAAAGTATAAAGGTTGAATTTAAATTTGAATTTGAAGAAAAGTGTTTATAGCTGATGCGAAAACAAACAAGAAAGTTGATATCAGAGGCGATCGCTTAAGCGACAGCTGCCCAACTAATGAATCTTGTAAAACAGACGTTGAGTGTTCTCATTCAAATGCTGATAAAATACAAAACACGGGTTACATGCTCAATTTACATAAATAAGTTAATAGACAGAACCGTTTGGGGGAATGTTTGAAAACATGTTTTAATATTTGATTTATCATTCACATATGTAGTTTTTGTATAAGTATGCATTTTCTATATAGTAGTTAACATATGGTGCTGATGCTTTCCTCTTTCTCTACATTCAATTTGAACTGATTTCGTTCCGTTCGATAATTATACATATGTACACAAACACGAAGCCCTGGAAGGGACACTAAAGATCCCCCGGAATACATATTATATGGTTATCTAATGGGGGGCCAATGGGGGGCTGACGGCAATTCCGCTCTGGGTTTGAACACTTGACAAAAATATGCGGCCTGGGCCGGCAATAATACTCGCAACAAAACTACATACAGACACAGTTTCATAATATAATATACATTAAACAATTGAATAACAAGGGTATGGGTGGGGGGACAAACAAACAAAAAAAAAAGGCATATCGAAAAAAGGCAGGAGGAAAAAAACGTATCATATTATTATTATGTTATTGTGTATGCCAAATGATCGTGCGCTTAGAAGATGGGTATGTAGTTGTCGATCTTGGCGCGATGCTTCTGGGCGACGCACTCGGCGATCCACACGATGTTGCGGCACTCCTGCTCCTTGAGCTTGAGGTACGCGTAGAAGACGCCGAAGTGGAACTGCTGCAAGAAGGCGTACACATTGAGCTTGACCTCGTGCTCGAAGAACTTGTCCTCGAGCGTCTTGTCGCCGGGATTGTTGCCCGATCCGTCGAACAGGGCGGCGTACTCCGCATAATACTCGGCCACGGTCTTCACCTGCTCGTAGTCGTCGGCGCGGGCCAGAGCGGCCAGGCCATCGGGGTACATCTTGCCGCAGTTGGGGTACAGCTTGGCGCGGTCGTCCTTCGACAGCTCCGTGCCAAAGGAGTTGATGGTGATGATGATGGCACGACGATCGGCCTCGAACTGCAATGGTAAGTTGTAATTACATTATTATTATTATTTCTACAAGTGAAACAAGTATTAATGACTGTAAAAGCTTACTAACTTCCTAATTAATTTATCAACATGGGTCAAAGCGCCATTTAAGGTTGTGATTAAGTTGTTAAAGTTATATAATTATTATACAATTTTAAAGCGAAACAAAAAAGTGTAACTAAACGATATCATTTGAATTTATGGCTGTGAAAAGTTTCTTAGTTTTCTATTGAATTTTTTAGCTTCACAGCTTAGTCAAAGTCAAAGATTAGACTATGAAAAGTTTCCTAAACTTCCTAATAATTCATGGTTATAAAGTTGTTTAAGTTACATTACTATTTTTATATTAACAAGTGAAACAATAAAGTGTTAGCCTCTAGATTTATGGCTGTAAAAAGTTTCCTAAATTCCCTATTAATTTTTTAAAATGGGTTTAAGCATAACCAGAGATTGCTGTGAAGTGTGATGATCTAACAAGTCTAAAAACAATCAAAATGGAATATTTAAAGTCTGAAGAGTAGTAAACTGAGATAATAATATGCTATTATGCTTCTGCTATTGAAGCTTTTTCCTAATATAAGCCTTCTTGAGGGTAAGTTGCACAGTGAAAACCTAGATTTCAAGTACTCTATTGACTTAGTAACGCCCCCATGCTTTTCTTATCCAAAGTTCTGGCATGCAATGCCCCCACCCCCTGAAGAGAAGGGATGGCCACTCACAGCCAGGATCTCGCACATGACGTCGGCGGTGGCGCCGCCCATGTTCTTGCAGAAGTTGTAGAACGCCTCCAGATAGGCCTTGTACAGGGTGTTGCGGATGATCTCGATGTTCATCTCGTCCAGATCCTGCTCGGAGATGCAGTCGACGAAGAAGGGGGCCAGCGGAGTGTCCACCAGGACGGCGTTGTACAGCTCGGCGGGCGTGGACGCCACATGGATGGCCTCCATCTGCTCGAAGCTGCCCAGCGGATGGCACTTGGGGATCAGCTCGGAGATGGGGCGTTGGTGCAGCGTGCCGGTGATCAGCAGGATGATGTTGTCGATCATGTAGCCGTAGGTGATGAAGTCCAAAAAGTTGGACAGCGGCTCCACGGCATGGTTCCGCATGTGCTGGAACTCGATGACCAGCTTTTCGCGCAACTTGTCGTCGATCACGGACACCGACAGAGGCGAGGGCTCGTTGGCCAGGAAGCTGCCGTAGTCCGTTCCCTGCAGATGAAGCTTGAGATCTGTAAAAGCCAGAAGAAACAGGTTAGTATACCATTTTACTTGTAACTAAACAATATACATACGGCAAGGTTTTAGAAATGGTTTTGGGTATATTTTATAATCTCTACTCTCAAACAAACAAGGTCGAGTAATAGGATCTTATTGATTTCACCTACAATTCGTTCCTAATGAAAACAAAACTGTGTCTAGCTTTATGAGTGGAAAAAAGACTGTGAAAACTCTTATTAAAAAAAATGTAAGATTAAATTAAAAAGATTTAACTAGAAAAGACTTTGGCAGAACACTTTGGAGTCGCTATTAAAGACAATTATACAATTTGAATTCAAGAATGGTATCATGATATTGTTCAAACTTTGCTTTCACAAACTGAAGTTTTGTTAAAACATGTATTCTCATTTAATTTATTCAAATTTAAAGATAGTTTGAAAGAAAGTAAATAGTTTTACAATAGTTTTGGAAGTCCATGGAGTAAGCTTCGAAAACCAGGTCCTTAGATATTATTTCCCACATTCTGAAGTCCACAATATACAGGAAAAATTAGTAAAATTTGATTAATTAATTTTGCATATTCGTGGGTGGTTTAAGCAGTTTATGAAGTTAGCTCCCAAATGCAATTTTATGCTAAAGTAGGTAAGGTTTAAGGTAGCCTTCTCTTGAGATATGTAAAGTCCATGAAAAATCCTTGGAAAAACTATGTAGAATCCAGTTAAAAAACGTCAACAAATCACAAGACAAGCTTACACACACCAGCGCATAGATATATTAACAGTCGTGTGCATGTATACATACACACACACGCACGCCACTGTTATCGCGGCGGTCATGTGACCCAGGGGCGTGTGGGAAAATAGGGTTTTCGGGGGGGTGTTTTAGAGTTTTTAGCTTGGAAAGTACTCACCTTCCAAGGTCTCGCACTGCACCAGGTTCAAATAGTCGGCCTGCTTGAGGATGCCGCACTTGAAGCCGCGGCACAGACCCTCCAGATATCCATTATCGATGTTGAACATAAAGCCCGAGCTGTTCATCTTGATGACACACTACGCACACACACACACAAAATTGGAGTGAGAAAGAGAAATAGGTGACGAATTCCACTGGATTCCTGGCTGGCGCTGGCGGATTCCTTTCTATTGGACTGCTCTCGCTCGACCGAAAGTTGCGCGAATTGTGTGGCAAAAAGCGTGCAGTTCGAAACGGAGCGACGGTGAAAATTCAACCTTTTTTCTCTATCGATCGACAAGTCATATGATTTCCAACTCTTCCTCTTCTTGTTTTTTTTTCTCGCCCAACTGTCAGCGCAAAAGTGCCTAAAAATGGCCAAATGTGACGTGCGCCTTACAGCACGCTGTTAAGTTTCCCCCAAGTCTGGCAACGCTTCGAGAATTTAAATTTGAATTTCGCCTTTTATATTTAATTTGTTCGTTTACTGCTTTTTAAGCATTAACAAATAAAACGAAAATCTTAATTTCTCCTAGTTTAACACTTAAACTTTAGCTTGTGCTCAGACTTAAAGTAAGTAAAAGTCTATGTTTACTTATTTATATAACCTATTAACAGCAAATGTTAAATGTAATTTATAGATTTTGTAGGTTCGTTGTTAATAATTTGTTTATTACTTTAATTTAAAGACTGAACTTTAAAAGACCTAGATAAATTTATGTTTTTATAATAAATAAAACTTTCTTTCTTAATGCTGTTTTAAGGGGAATATTTATTAAACAGAATCTAATTAAACAGAAATTTATCAAATAAAAAAAACACTTATCTTGTTTTTTAATGCTCGAATTGAAATCATATTTATTGACGTGCATAACACAAATCAGATTATTATAACTGTTTAGGACCCTAATCCCTCTTCAGTTGGTCGTGCTCCTGCCGCCTTCGTTCCCACTCCCGGCGCCTGGCCCTCATTCTCTCGGTGATGGCGGCCACCTCGTCGTACGGCTGGTAGAAGTGGGCCACGAACATGAAGATCAGCATGTCGAAGAACATGAGGCCGGCGAAAAGGAAGAACTCGCTGGCCTGCGACTCGAAGAACTTGAGTTCGGCGACCACCACAACGATGACGTTTCCAAAGGCCACGGTGAGCAGCCAGCATGCCTGCAGCACGCTCTTCATGCTGGCCGGCGACTGGGAGTAGGAGAACTCCAGTCCGGTCACGGAGAACATCACCTCGCCGAGCGTCATCACCACGTACTGCGGCACCAGCCACACCACACTCATTGAATTCGGGGCGGTGACCTCCACCATTCGCGACACGAACTCCCCATTGCTCTGGCCAATGAGCAGGGCATAAACGCCGCCAGCTCGCAGTGCCACTTGGGTGAGATTGTGATCGGCCACCTGCACCGCATACCCGCCCGTGTTCAGCTCGTAGAGATCGTGATTGCGGGCGGGCTGGTCCAGGGCCACGCCGCCCGTCGAGTCCTCCGTCCAGACCACTCGCGTGGTGGCCAGCAGATTGGCCAGCGTGCGCACAAAGGCCCACGAGCGGTTGGACTTCTGCACCTCGTCCTCGTACCAGTACTTCACTATCGCGTGCGCAGGTCGCAGGAACAGCGAGTGGGCGGTGGCCTCGTACAGCTGCTGGGTGCCGCCCTCCAAGGCGGAGCATCCTAAGGAGTATGCAGGTGAGTCAATTATTTACTACTAAAATCTATTTATGCCAAAGGGGAAAAGGGCATTATCTTTAGGGACTGGCATGATCACTAGTTTACGCCATATCATTATCAAAACACAACTGTCAAGAGTCCGAAAAAAATCTCACGAAGTTTCGGTTTTAATATTAACAAAAATAATAGTGCGAATGCAATACCTCTTCGAACTCGTCTCAAAATTTCAAAACAAATGACCCAAAATCAGCCAATTTCCGCAAAAAATCATGATGCAAAAAGTGGTCACGAAGGTAATTTTTCAATAAGTCTATTTTGAAAAATTAATTTTTCTTATTAAAACCAAATAAATGGCTCTAAACCGATTTTAGATGGGTAGTATAGGTTGCTAGCTGTCCAAAACAGTCACTCTTATGGCTCTACCTATAATTTTGGCCAAGTTACAACAAAAGGACGCTTTAGGAATTTTTGTATTTGTCAAATCTCCAAAAACCCAAAAAAGGCACCTAAAATATCGGTTTTAGTATCAAAACCTTGGGAAAAAATGGCCACCAGATGGAATGTCATACATCGACGAACTCGTCATTAAATTGCCAATGAAATGGCATTCTCAGTTAAAAATTTTTCAGATTTTCAAAAATTCGGAAAAAATGAAGATGTACCCCCTTATCAAAAATGCAAAAATTGGTCATAAAGATAATTTTTCAAAACATTGATTAAAAAAATCGGTCTTTGTATCAAAACAAAATTAATTATTCTAAATTGATCGGATATTTCCATCGAATGGCTTTCCCAACTAAAAGTTTTTTATTTTAATAAATAATCATGATGATTTGCCTTATATAAAATGGCAAAAATTGCAAAAATTATTATCCAAGTTCACCAAAAATCGAACACAAAACAGTGTGTATTTGAGGGGAATATGTATGTCACCGTTGGATTCTTTGAAGGTATTTCCAAGGCAACCGACGTCATTCTTTGGGACAGCTTGATTGGTGATCCTAAATCTCTAGCGGTTTCGGTGTCAGCACCCCTGATATCTTTTAATGGCATGAGCTAAGACTAAACTTATCCTAATTTGCGGGGTCTCACTTATCTCTAGGGATTAGCCAGTCGTTGGCTTTGCCAGGTCTAAGTTGACCTTTAATAATTTCACAAGTTAATGCTTTGATTTCGATTTTGGCAACTGCGGAGAAGCTGTGGCCAACTCACCTGCGGTCAGGCTCTCCACGGTGTAGGTCAACTTAAAGGTGCCGTCGGCGCTTGTGGGCACACTGCCCGAGTAAAAGTAGTCCAGACCCTTCAAAGTGAAGCTCTGGCGGGCACCCAGGTTCGTGTTGAATCGGTACTCGCAGTCGGGGATGCCGCTGAAGACCCTAAGCTGGGTGAAGCCACTACTGGGGATCAGGGGATAGGTATGCTGCAAGATATACACACAGGTACTGTACTGTAGGTGCAAAGTCGGAACTTGGAGAATTGGTGTGAGAATGTTCCACTAAGAGAACCCCCTTCAGTTAGGCATGTTCAAAAAATACAAACTAGTTGAGGGGACTACTCAAAAGCTGAATTTAATCATTGGACAATGCCCGCCATTGCCCATTGAAATCGAGACTTACACACAGAGAGGTACACAAAGCACACAGTTCAGAGGGAAATAAACATTGTGGGACAGACAAAATAGACGTTACGCAGCGGGTTATATATCAATAGTTTTCATTTATTAGATTAACCAGATGGATGTCTGGTCATATGCAACAACGCACTTACACTTAGCTGGGAATGGACAGTGGCCACTAAGGATTCACATATACACATCTACAAATACATATAATACACAACACAGGAGCGAATTTCAGATCGAATTTAGATCGTAGATCCTAGATCGTAGATCCTACTCGTCAATGTCCTTGCCCTTGTTTTCCACGCCGCCCTCGAGGGGCGGGATCTCGGCCTTGGCATCGCCGCCCGTCAGGGGCTGGGCCTCCTCCGCCTTGTTGGGATCATTGGGCACATAGTAGTAGGCCATCACCATGAAGAGCAGCATGTCGGCGAACATGAGGCCGGCGAAAAGGAAGAACTCGCTGGCCTGCGATTCGAACAGTGCGGCCTCGGCAATGATGACCACGATGACGTTGCCAAAGGCCACGGTGAGCAGCCAGCATGCCTGCAGTACGCTCTTCATGCTGGGCGGTGCCTGGGCGTAGGAAAACTCCAGTCCGGTGACGGAGAACATCACCTCGCCGAGCGTCATCACCACGTACTGCGGAACCAGCCAGAGGATTGACATCGAATTGGGTACCGTCACCTCGACGAGATTGGATTGATAGTCCCCGGTGTCCGGTTTGGCTATGAGTAGCGTGTACACTCCGCCCGTGTGGACATTGAACTCGCCAAGGAGCGACTCATCCACATAGACCTTGTAGTTCGCCGAATTGACGCGCGTGAGTAGCGTCTTGGCGGCCAACGCCTCGTAGGCCACTTCGCCCTTGGAAACACTTTCCCAACGGATGGTGGCATCCTGCGGCACATTGGCCACGTTGCGGATCAGCGGATGACTCTCGCTGGGCTTGTCCACGAAGTCCTCCTCCCAATAGTGTTTGCTCGCATTCATAGGATTCAGGAACAGCGACCAGGCCTTCTTCTCTTTCAGCGTTTGGGTGGCATCGAGCACTTCGAACGTGCAGTCCGGATTCGTCGTGGTCAGCGAGTATTGGAGGTCCACCGAGCCGGATACATAGATATCCTTGTTGGTGTACGCATTCAGCGCCGGCACCAGCACGCTCTCCACGCCCGCCAAATCGGAGGTGAAGGTGTAGTCACATTTCTCCGTGTTGAAGACGCGCAGCTGAATGTTCTGGCTGTAGGGCAGGGCGGGATAGGTTTTCTAGCGACAGCAAGGCGTGCAACGAGAAAGAGCAGAAAGAGGGGAAAGTGCAGAAGCAGGTGCAAATACAGTACAATACAATATATATAGGCAAAGCGATCCTTGGTTTTGATAATGCAGGATTTGATTTCTTAAATGGCAAGATAATTTAGCAAGCTAACGAGAAGTTTTTAAGCAAGACTCAGGCAACTTTGGCGAAGAGCTTTGTGTGACTCCAGCATTTTTGACCTTGGCTATCCATGAGTCCAAACTATTTTCTTCTCATTGGACCTTAAGGACCTCTTTGGAATCAGTTAAACATAGGTTTTATAGCTTATGCCAGCAAATGAGAAACATCCATTTTGAACTAAGGAAAGCTCATAAGAAGTTATTAAACAGAACTTAATCAACTATGCTTTAAGTGGCTTTTGACACTCACCTCCAGATTGACCTCCACCACACCGGAAATAATGAAGGCAATGCCGGCCAGGATGCCGCCCATGGTGAGCTTCTGCAGTGGTCGTCGGATGCCCACGAGACTCAGCACCGGATAGAAGGCCACATCGTACAGGGGGATGAAGAGCAGGATGAGCAGGGGATTGAGCACTTGCAGCTGGTCGGGCTTGATGTCCCAGGAGCCCATGTCGCCGTCCATGCGGGTGGCCTGGAAGGTCCAACGCGAGCCCTGCTGATCGAACAGTGCCCAGAAGACGGGGAGCGGCAGGTAGAGGAAGAGGACGCGCATCAGCACCTTCACGTCGTCGATCAACTGGCGGTCGTACTTGACATCGGCATAGTCCAGCCAGTGCTCGCGGGGATTGGTCTTCTTCTGCTTGCACTTGGTGGTCAGGGCCGTCCAGATGGTGCTGCTAACCAGCACCACCATGTTGCCCGCCGGCGGCTTCATCTTGTACAGCGATCGTCCCAGAACGAAGACGATCACCGAGACGATCATCAGAACGGCGGGCACTCCGAAGGCCAGGGGATAACAGTTGATGTCGCCGAAGCAGGACACATCCTCGCGCAGGATCGGCGTCACCGTGGTGGAGATCAGCGAACCGGCATTGATCGAGAAGTAGAAGAGCGAGAAGAACGAGGTGATCTGCTTCACCTGCTCCGGCACCTTGAACTGATCGCCGCCGAAGGCCGAAACGCAGGGCTTTATGCCACCCGATCCGAGGGCGATTAGCGCCAGGCCCAGCATCGTGAACGTTTCCATGGGCAGGTTGAGTGGTCCAATGGCCCCCAGGGTCAGCAGCACCGACCCGCATATGTACACCATCGATAGGTACAGAATCGTCTTGAATTTGCCCAGCCAGGAGTCCGAAATGATGGCGCCGAAAATGCACAGGAAGTACACGAACATGGTGAAGATGTGGAAGACCACGGTGGCTGTGTCATCGGAATAGCCCAAAACTCGACTCAGATACAGTACCAAAACGGCTGTGAGTTGGAAAGAGTGGGTTAGTGAGGATTCAGTTGATTATGTCTCAAGGGAAGCACCCACTTCTCATGCCGTAGTAGTTGAAACGCTCGCAGAATTCGTTACTGATGATGAAGAACACGGACTTGGGGTACGGCAATTTCTGTAAAGAATAGTTCATTAGTTAGTAAAGGTTAATCTCTTAGTATGAAGGCCAAGCAAATACCTTTTGCTGACCCTCAGCTTCGGACACGTTCTTGAAGTCATTGTCCTCCTGCAGTTCCTTGCCATTCGACTCGGGCTCCTTGCCATTTTTCAGGGGTTCCGCGGAGATTTCGGGCAGCTTCTTGGCCTCCACCAGTGCCTTGCCATTGGTCTCGGCTGTCGATTGGCTTTCCACGGGTGCAACAGGAGTCGGGGTAGAGTCTTCTACGAGTGCAGCAGCACTTGGGGTGGAGTCCTTGTCAATCGAAGCTCTTGGGGTAGAGTCTTTTCCGAGGGAACCTCTTGGGGTAGAGTCTTTGCCAACCGAAACCCTTGGCGACGAACTCGCTGCGGGAGCATTCTCCGCAGCAGGAGAGGACGCTGGCTCAGCCGCCGGCTGTATTTCTGCGGAAGGAGAAAAGGAGATCCAGGTCAGCAAAAAATGGGACTCTAGTACGCGAATGTGAGGAGAGCCCACCCAGCAGTGGTACTTGCTCCGCCGGCCGTTCCATTTCGTCTGTCCACACAGATTCGCAAGTGATCAAGTAAGATCTGCTAGATCTGCTCGCTATCAGCTATCAGATTTCATCAGAACAGGTAAACCGAAACGAAAAGCGAGACTTGTGGCCTTGTGCTTGACACCTCCGTGGCAGATAAGGACTGCTCTATATTTGGCCAGGCCATTACTTTACCCGTGGGCGTGTGAATTCGGTGGCCCGGCATAAATTAGCCAGCATTAGAGCCCTGCCTGAGCTGACGTGCCAGAAAGATAACCCAACACAGATAGCTCTCTCGGGGATTGCCTTTACTCAACTCGACTTGCGCCAACTTGGCCGAGAGTATGGCTTTCCACTCCATAAATCACATGCTGATTGCGATGCTGCGTCTGAGTGTCTGGTTGCGCCTAAATGGACATGTCCATAAGGATTGCATTGATTGATGAGCGAGTGTGCAGCGAGTGGACCGAGTGCATGGCCATGTTCGGTTTCGAAACTGGATCAGGAAGCGAAACGATCTGGGAAAGTCCCTAATGACGTATCCATAAGCGGTTCCGTTCTGTTCAGTTCAGTTCAGTTCGGTGCGGGGCTAATCCATCGATGCTCTATCAGCGTTTATGGCCCGTCATTTGTGGCAGCAATGTTGCCATCACATGGCGCCATAAACTATGGAAACAATGCTATTGCACGCACTTCACTCCACTCCATTCCACATCAAACATCCATTAACATAAAAGACCTTATCGCAGGAAACACACACAATTGCGAGTACACAAAGTACCAGACGTGTACAGCATTGACCCGCTTTGGTGGCCGCTTGAAGTCGGGAGACCAGGTATGCCAATCAGCAATCCGCCACTCATTCATTCATGTTATAGCATAGTACTAGATAATCGCCAATGTCGCGGAGAATGGGAATCGGATTTCAAACAGGAGGAGTACTCTTCGATCGAGAGTTACTTAATGGGCGCACACCAATTGAAGTCGCTGTTACGCCGGAATTTACGGCAAGGTAATTAAAAGATAAATATAACGAGTGCTTTTTTCTATAAATAAAAAGATAAGCCTGCTGGCATGTCTGGTATGCGAGTGCAGTTGTAAAGAGTCGGAGAAAAGTGTGTGAATGTGTTCGAAAGTGTTCTCAATTTCACTTTCTCAAGATTTCTTTTTTTAAAGCTTTGGGAGATAGGGATTGAGAAATATATTGATTGTTGAGTAGATATTTAAGTCATTATAAAGGTTTCTAGAAAAAAACAGAAATCGATTAATCACTTTGGACTCCGCAACTGAATTGATATCGTAATTTTTTTAGTTTGAATTAATAATAAATGATTATTACAAATTAACTAAAAAATGAAAAACATATATTTAGATAGGTAGATATGTCAAAAATATTGGAATAAGATAGCTGAATATTTTCATTGGCAACATACATGTTTTATACGAAACGAATAGAAAAACCAGCAAGTGCGTACGTGCCTCTCGAAGTATTTGTTTTTGGATGACATTGCAGATTGGATCGATCGGTACTACCCTGACTACATTTGCAATGCTATCGGCATCGTTATCGCACTCGGTATTGCTCAGAGATTGCCCATCGAATCGGCTGTAAATTTAACACCGACCCAATATCGTAATCGCCATCGTAATCGTAATCGCCATGGATAGGGGTTGCCAAAGTAGAAGCCCTATCCGACTGATTTACAAGCGATTAGGTCGAGAGCAGTTTGTTGTTGTTGATAAGCAGGTTATCGGCCCAGCTTTAATTACAAATGTTCTTCTCTGCAGAAGGCAGCCATGAAGAAACAGAATTATTCAATGGAAGTTGTCGGCAGCGAGATAAGTTTGTGTATTTGATTGTCTTGTTCCGTTCGAAATGGGAATGAGAATGGGGCTGACAATTACGACCCGACATCGCTACCGCCCCAGTAGATATTTGGCCAAGTTATAGCTGCTAACCGCTGGTGGAATGCCAAACAAATTGCTCACTAATTGTAAGTTACGCCAAGCGCAGGCATTTGCCAGCTCTCCCAGCGATTTGTCAGCAATTGTTCGCGTGGGGAATACCAAACAAAATCGCGTTCGCATTCGCAATCGCTTGGCAAATCACAGTTTTAAACACCCGCAATGGCAGTTTTCTATGAATATGCAAATGAGACCGGCTCTGACATTGAAATGCAAGCACAGCGCACAAATTTACAAAATAGAAAATAAATATGTAAATACTTATATTGATATAATGTAGGCATTTCGAGTTTTTTATATAGGCAAGGTTGGCTGTTTTGACCAAGTTTGGCAGTTCTTTTTTCGGGTAACCGGCAAAAGTTTGCTTATTGTTGTTGATGTGATGGGGCCCAAGCTCAAGTGGCTAAAACCCGGTGCAAGATTACCGATAACCGATTACCGATTGCAACCACTCGAAAAGTGCCTTATCGGAGCGATTAGATGTGTGGTTTGCACACGCTGAGCCAAGAGTTCTGGGAATCGTTCCTCTAGCTTGTCCCCACTCACTCGTGCCTATAGGTGTCCCCAGATATTCCGCTAATCTTTACAACTTGAACGTTACCCAACGGCCTATATTTAAGACGGGGGCGGCGGGACGGGGATTGGATGAAAGGCCCGCCGTAAATTGAATAAAAATACCAACACTTTCACAAGGGGACTTTTCAGTCATATAAATTGCAATATAATAAAAACGAAACAGTGACTCAAATCCTAAATTCAAGTGCTTGCAAACACCATAAGAGTGTTTTTCATTGATAACTAATGTACATTGAATACAGATACGAAATCAATTGAAATAAATCGATGCCTACTAAAGTATCTATAGACTGCATATATTAGACATAATGAAGACTGAATTGAATAAAAGTACCAACAGTGGGGACTTTTCATTCGTATAAACAGCATATAAAGAAATTGAAACACTGACTCAAATCCCAAATTCAAATGCTTACAAACACAATAAAAGCGTTTTTCATTGATAATTAATATACATTGTATACAGATACGAAATCAATTGAAATAAATCGCAGCTTACTATAGTATCTATAGACATAATGACCCATTTGGCCCATAAATCTCGGTTCAGTGATCTGTATAATTACCACCCCTCTGTAGAAACTATAACTATGCATTTTCGTTTTTGTTTGTAACTAATAAATACCATTTTCTTTATCCGTCATGTTGGGAATCCGTAATTCGCTTTACATCCGTTACGCGTCACTTGAAATCGAAGAGAAAAATTTAAATTGCATTTATTTAAAAATCGTGTATAATATGTAGGACGAGTTGCATAAGCTCAAGCTTTCTTTTTTGTTAATTACAAAACAATTTATACTTTTGTTTTGTATTTACATGGAGAAACAACAGAGTCAACGGCAAACAAACGTAATAATCCTTGCCTGGGTTTTATTTAATATTTAATATTTTCCACTAAATAATAGTTTATTTGACCTTGCAACGTGCGGAATATATTTTTATCAAGCTGAAATAAATATGATCTAAATTGACGTTGAATGGTCTATTAATTCATTTTAAAACGAAATGGAACTGAGTCTCTTCCGAGAAATGCATTCATAGTCGTCAATAAAATTTGTAGGTGTAAACTATATAAGTTTTTAAAATGTTTTCGTTGTTAAAATTTAAATGTAACACTGTTCATAAAATTTGTAGCGTTTACATAAATCTTAAATAACAAAATAAAATGCACCTATAGTTTGTATAATTTTACAAGGTTTAATAATATAATTATTCTCTGAATACTTTTTGTCTGTGCAATATATTTAGATATTTTAAGCAATGTAAGGCTAAGTTTAGTGTTGTTTTTAAATGATTTTTACGGTCTGTTTTTGTGTTCTCTGGAAAAGTTCTCTGTCATTATCGTTATTGCTTTTATTGTTTATTGCATTTCGCGCACTCGTAACTCACATTAAAACATTTAGCAACTGCAAAAAAATAATATATATGGAACGCACGTCGGATCGGTTCGGTTTTAAAACGGTTGAATCGGTTGAATCGGGAGGTGGGTAACGTCCGCCAGCGGCGATCAACAGCCTCAGACTGAAGTCGATTGCCCACGAGCTTTGCTAAGAAGCCGTTAACAGTTTCGTTATTCCATGCTCTCTGCCCGCTGCGACTGCGCGCGTGCCCTGCCTCTGCCGCTGCCGCTGCCAGCGCCTCTGCCAGTGTCTCTGCCAGCGTCTCTGCCTAAGGGATAACAAAAACAAGAAGGAAATCAAATGTCGGGTTCACCGACTACTAGATACCCGTTATTCAGCTAGAACAGATTACAATCGGGTTTTAGGTGGCGCCATCTGCCGCGCTGCAGGGTCCACACTGGAAGCAGGGAGCGGGCAGCACCCCCTGTTGCTCTCTTTTTTTTTTTTGGGGTGTTCTCTTCTTCCTGTTATATACTTTGCTGCAAATGCAACATACCCTTTTTCCCAACGATTAATGGGGTATAGAATGTGTTAAAACTAGTGATAAGCCTAATCGCAGTGTTATCGACAGGCAGGTGGAAGTATTTACGGCCCGGTGTTCGCTTACCCACAATGAATGAAGCTCTCGCGTTCCTAATTTATAACAGTCTAGTTCTAGCCATCAATTTCAGATCATCTAGTGCTCTATTTTGAGGGCTGTGCCCTATCACACCTGCCACGCCCCGTCTGTCGTGGGCTGCAATTGCGCGCAGTCATTAACTAAATATTTTCAACGCCACAACGAGTTATAGTTTATCTGTGGGCATTACTTGCAGATCTGTGGGATGAGAGCTTCCCGCTTTTGACGGCCATAAGTCATGAATCGAAAAGTTGTCTAATGATAACAATTCAAGAGGCTAGTGCGTCTATATGCTGATAATACTTCAAAACAGAAAAGATAATAGATAGTCAATGGGACATTTACGGGCTAAAAAAGACAGATTTAATATCATAAATATTTACTAAATAATTAGTTAAGTGTAAAGAAGAAGGGTTAATAATTTACAGTCTCTAAATATGAAGTATAAAAAAAACGTGACTTTTTTCCCCACTTTTAGTGTGTAATTAACTAAACTTAGCACCCAACTGATTGGCATTTTTTCGGAAGTACAGCCGTAAATTATAATAGGACCTTAAAAACTATTAAAACGGGAAAAGTAATCTTTGATTAGTGATAATATTATAAAAGGCTACCGTTTCTCGGAAACAATCTTAATATTACATTTAATCGTTCCATAATTTAGTCATTTCAATTATTTTTAACTATTAAATCAACCATAAATTATAATAAGACCTTAAAAATGATAAAAACGGGAACAGTAACGCATTATTATGACTTATTTATTAAAATAGGGAAAGTTTTCCTAGAAATTATCTTAAAACTACATTTGACAGCACCTATATATAATATATATTTAAATCATTTTTAAAGGGGGGAATTTGAAGTCTATAAGGGTTAAAAGGTTGCCGTTATTAGAAATTATCTTAAAATTACGTTTGTCCATTCATAAATCTTTTAAATGGTTATTTAAATGATTTTTAATTAGGTAAATTTGTATGCGATGTAAAAGGTCTAAGAAGTACAATATATATATATGCCAAATGAAGAAAGATTGAAGGACGTTCCCTGAAATAGCATTTCCGATCAGCTCGGTTAAACCCCCTTTTGGCTCACCGTCATTGATTGGCACCTAATCGGACGTGTGTCCGCAACACTTGTGGCGTTTTTGTTTTATGAACTTAATCGCTGCGAACTCGATAGCTGCGAATAGTATTTATGGCCGCCTATCATTGTGGCCATGCTCAGAAACAAGTATAAACATCTATTGGCCATAGCCGATAGCCGATTGCCGATTCCTGATAGCCAACGGCCTATAGCCAATAGCCTATAGCTCATAGCTATTGTTATTGTTATTGCTGAACATTATTATTGCTCAACGAGAGGCCCTGACTGTGCGACAAATGAACTTTTTGTTTCGCTTTTTGCTCTCGATTTTACGATTGTCATTTGGCCCGCGATTGCATGGTGTCTAGTCTCTTTAATGCCAGCTATGCGATCGATTGGGTAACACTCAATTAAAGCCATCTGCGTGTAGATCGATCGTATCGGATTGCGTGTTGACCAGTAGTCTACTATATATATATCACTTATCAGGAATATGAAGGGGGAAGAAACTCTTTGGTGATCCTGGTTAATCCCAGCGTATCACTATATATGGTGGTCAGCTGACTCAAAGGTCTTTCCGATTTAATCGCGCCTAATCGGTGGTCTAATCGTAAGTCGCAAATCGCAACTTGTGTCGATTAAGTAACCGGGACCATAAATACAAAGATATGGCCAATAATAACGATGATGTCCTTGCCGCAGATACAGATACCCCATCGCAGATACAGATACAGACACCTAATACCCAATACCCAATCGATCGATTTCTTGGGACGGTGTCTCAATGGGTTCAGATAAGGGCACTTGTGGAAGCCAAGACCCCGATATCGATGCTGATAACTGGTGGATTGTTTGCTTAATTGATTGGATTTGTATATATACTATATATAAGATATTGCAGAGTGGCTGTTTTTATGGCTATTTATTTGAATTCTAAAGTTTAGTTTTTAGGTTATCACAACAAGTGATAGAATAAAAATCACAATTTAATAATTATTTTGGGATACAAAACTAGTTTACTTACTTATTGTTTTCTCTAGCTAGTTCCTTTGCCTTAGCTGTCAATCCGGACTCCTAATAAAGTCATATATCAAATATGTATTACAGACAGCGGAGTCCCGAGATTTCCGGCAGTTGTAGCTCTCTCTGCAGCCGCAGCTCCGATCTGAGTCGTGTGATAACCGGTTCCCAATTCAGGGGAGGTAAATCCATAGCCCCGCATCCTTATATAGTAAGTCCCTACCTAATTTATTCTGCAGTTCAACGGCTTAGCCGCACTCGAAGAAAGGAAACGCTGCTAAAGGTTCACTATGACGCAGATGGGCCCTATTATATCCCAGTGGTAAGTCTTCAAATGAATATTACCAAATTGAAATCTAAAAAAACATACATTCAAAAGTACATACATATGTAGACGCATACTTTTATGATCGCCCAACTTAAATGATACACCAGGGCGCTCTGTTCTCGTGAAAAACCTTAGTAATCTCGATGCGAAAGCATTGCCAATACGGTTCGTAAATCATTACAGCTGGATAGATTTATGGCAGCCTGGGAAAGTCCCACAAATTACTCGAAGCCGTAAAGAAAACAAACACAGATAACCGGCACTTGCCACTCGTTCAGTATGATTGTTAGAATAGGAATGGGAATGGGAATGGGAATGTGATCGAACCGAGATACATAAGTTCGATCCGGACTAAGTATATTTGCTAAGCGCAAAGGAAAACGACAGGGATCACTAATCGAATAGCCACAGATAATGAAGATAAACACAAGATATCGTTAAATTATAAATAAGAAACGTTTTCAAAGGAACATAAATAAAGTTAGTGTAGGTGTAAAAACACATGCTTTCAATATCAAAGGTTAAGAAGAAAATATATAAATATTTGAGACAAAAAATCGAAATTCGAGTGATTAGTAGTTTTTAAACCTCCTGGAAAAGTGATCATAAGACCTTAAGAAAAATTTACCTAAGAGGCAAGCGTTGTAAAACAGGTATAAAAAAGTAAATTCTATTTCTTTATTAAATATGATAGACTGGCTTACAAATTTAAGGCTTGTATTGGATGACATAATAATAGCTTCTCGGCCTTCGACTATTTATAGGTTCAATTAAAGCAGGTTATAGCCAAGGACAAGACAATGAAAATCAATTTTTGTAACATTCCTCAACAAAAGCTAAACAGTTGCCACAATAAATAATGTATTCAAAGATAGGTTTCCGTAAGTTTCTGCAAACCTCCTGGAAAAACGAAAAGACACATTTTAAATAGATAAGCGACAGCTGATCCCTCACTAAATACAGTCATACAATCCAATAATGCCAATCGGTGGGCTCTGCCATCCACTTATTCAGAGAGTAGAGATTCGTCGTTCCAGCGTCATTGAACTTGACTGTCAAAAGCTTTTCGTAGAAGAGAGGAACACCCCTATCCCCTATACTAAGAAGAACGTCCCTGCATTTGCAATGATCTCGGAAAAATAAAAGAGAATGATAATAGTATTTATCAATTCAAATAATATTTAATACAAGTAGATATGATTATGAGCATTCCCTATGACTCACCATGATTCCATTGTTATATTAGCAATAATATGGTATAAATCCAATTGCTATATATTGTGTAAGGTAGTGGACAATAAAAAAACCGTCATTCCATGTTATTTGTCAAATAAGAACTTTTAGTTTCAAACCATTATTATCATCATATCATAATACAAGCGGATGGATAATAACAGCATTAACTAATTAACTTAATCGATTTCATGATCTGAGAACTTTAAATTGTAATTATAGTTATTATAAATTATATAATTTTCTTATCTTTATTACTAAACTACTATTTAAAAGAAATAAGAATAAAAAAAAGTATTAGTCAAAATGTAATTACTTTCTTACATAGAGCTTTAAAATTATGTTTAGCCTTATTTTTGCTTAAAACTCTGTTCAACTCATAATTAATACGATTATTAGGCTTGAAAATTAACCGTGAAATACATTTTTAAAGGTCACTTCCCAATACCGAGCTTAAATTTATTAACAATCTTTTTTACACATAATTCTATTTGATCCAACGCTTACTTTTCTTAAATATTTGAACCAAAGTAATAAAATTTCGCTGAGTGTGGAGAGCGCAGCTTAAAGCGAGAGCAAAGCTTAACTCTCTGATGCTCTCCTCTCATCCACCTGTTTATCTAAAAGTTTAATTTGGTTTTTGTTCTTGCTCGATTTGTGTTTTTATTTTGTTTTTTGTTTGTTTTTTTTTTCTCTGCCGACGTCAACTGCGCTTGGGGCTCAAGTTTAAAAGCGCAGCTTGCAAATGGGCAGAGCATCATTTATCGTCGGCCAGCGACGACGACGATCGCTTTACGATCCCCCCCTCAGTCCCTTTCACCTGTTTTTCTGTTAATTTGTTTTAT